GAACACAGTATTACTCTTCTGGTGTTGATGTGTGACACACAGTACGCATGGAGTATTACCCACCATGGAAGCTCACCCAGGTATTGTTGTCTAGAGTTTTTTTATTGGGACTCCATGATCAACTGCCTACATACGTAAACTTAGTTTCCAGCCCTTCTGGAGGTTGAGCTGGTCCTTGGGACTCAAAGCCCCTTCACCCTCATAAATCACAGTGTTATACTTCTGGTGTGGCCCAAAGCCTCCAGGTGAACAAGGGCACTTTTATTAGGCATGACATTCTAAGACTTCAGAGATGACCTTCCAAGAAGCCAAGGGTAAAGGCCAGATGGACCTCCTTTGGTCTTGGTGAAATTATTTACAGTTTTACAAAAATAGTTAAATATATTTTCATATTTTGAGTCTACATTGCTATTTAGTTGAGTTTGATTAGTGATGGAAAATTGGTAAGAGAACCCATAAATATCTAATTAAGATTTGGTATTATATACATTTAATACTTAAGTAGCTAGGGAAGTTTCATCAAGAAATTATATTAACTTAATATTACAGTGCTGCAAAACTGATGTAAACTCATAATTTTGGCAAGATGGTTCAGTTCTGTTTTACTAAATTTGAACTCACTATTTTCTCTTGTGGGAAGAGTTTCAAATAGTGAAGTCCATGAGCCTCCCAAATGAATTTTTTAGCCATAGATTCATATTTTATAGTATAGTTTCACCTTTTCATCTATTCCTCATGAAACATGTCTGAATCCAGGTGAGTAACAGGCATCATAGGGATAACCTTGAATTTATTTCTAAAAGATAAATCATTTTCAAGTGGTATTAACTGTTAGTAAGGAAAAACAGCATATTCTACAACTACTTTATGACAGTGACACTATTTTTGCCCATCATTGTTTTTGAGAATAAATGCATTCCCACCTCATTGGCTTAAGTGCAAATCTCATTTCCTGGTTGATATCCATTACAAATTAGATCTCACTGTGAGAGCAAAAACCCTTAATAAGCCTAGTTAAAAACAACTTGAAGCAGTATGATGCTTATTCCAGTGGCACCACTAGGTGTGGTGTTTGCATCAAGTCATTTTGGGGTGCTTTATGGAAATGCTTCCTGATAGGGAATTCCCTGAATTCATACTTCCAGAGTGGTGCTTTTTTTTTGTTGTTGTTGTTGTTGTTGCTTTTTAGTGCTTACAAGAACTGGACGAGACCACATGTAGCCAGGAGATACTATATCCCCTTGCACATGGTGGATTGTTGATGTGAGGTCTGAGGATTTGGGTCATTCAAAATAAATGACCTCTCAGATTTATTACATTTTCTGTATACTGAGAATAGGTAACTAAATGAGCGGTAACTATATTTGCATGTGGTTTGTATGTTAAGTTAACATTTAAATTCTCTTATGTACTAAAAAGTTTTTTTGGTTTGCCACCTTAAGCCTCTCTCCCTTCAAAGGCACAGAGTGGCTTTCCATCTCCATTTTTGCTTCAGCATATGAACCCTAGAGGGCCATAGTACAACTAAAAGCACCTAACCCATGAATGATATTTGCTTCATGTTTGAACAACAAATGTTTTAACCCACTGTCTTCACTAATATTGTAACTACTGTCTTACAGATTGACTTGATGCAAAACATCACAAAGGCTCCATATTATACAGTATGCGATTTTTGAGGTATGAGCTTTAGAAACTTACCTCTCATGTGGCATGTACATCAGGCTTTAACTTCACTTTAATCATTTGGGGGAAATTTATGCATTTCTCTTTTTTCTCTCTCTCTCCATAATATTTTTAGAGTATTAAAGGGGCTGTGGAGGTATTTTTGATCCTTGCTAGTATGATTCTTAGTTTTAACAGATACATTTTTTCTTATCACTAAACAGACACTACTTTCTGGCAGATGATAGCTTTTTCAGCCCTTATAACTGGCTTGATATTTATACCTGCCTCTTTGAATTCAAATCTGTATTTTGTGCCTTTGATTGCCTCATTTTAAGTGCTCATTTCCGTTCGTTAACAGTTTTCTATTTATTGGACTTGGTGGTGGTGTTGGTGCTAACAGCCTGGTACTGACTTTTTTTGAGACCTAAGCAGTCTTGATATTAAAAAAAATCAAGATTTCATATAAATGCTGAGCCATTTTGTGCTTTTGGAGTCAGACTACCTATAACTTGAATTCTGGTTGGAAATGTTTTGATCAGTTAGCTTTAAAAGAATGTGGCAACCAGTGAGTTTTTAGACAGTTCTGAGACAGTAGTTCTAACCCTAGTGATTGTTTTTTGTTGTTATATTTCTGAAAACCCAAACTCGGGGGGCGGGGGAGGTAGAACTTGGTGTTCATAACTCATGGGATTTTAAAACCTATATTTCTAATAAATTGGGAAGTTTTTCCCATTCTTTTTTTCCAGTTTAGTTTGAAATCAAATGCTTTGTAGGTAGAAATGAATTTGTTGGTAGGAGATTGCTTAATTTCTTCATTGAAGAACTTAAAATCAACTGCTATGTATTGGGTATGAAAACTTGTTTTGGTTGTATTCCTGTGCTGTTGAACTGCCTATATATTATTTGTCTGTTAGACTGGAAATCTTGAGTTTAGTATTATGGTCTTAACTTTCTTTTTAAGATTTGTTTATTAGAGAGAGAGAGAACACGGGGAGGAGGGGCAGAGGGAGAGGGAATCTTAAGAAGACTCTGCTGAGTGTAGAGCCCTATGTGGAGCTTTATCTCACAACTCTGAGATCATGACCTGAGCTGAAACCAAGAGTCGGAAGCTTAACCGACTGCACCATCCGGGTGCCCCAGGGTCTTACTAACTTTGAGCATACCCTGTAAGTTAAGTATTAGTATCTCATTTAAGCCTCACAACAACTTTACAGGTGAGATAGGTATTATCCCCATTTTATGCAAGAAACAACTGAGGCTTGGAGATTAAGTACCTTGTGGAAAGTCCCACTTACTTTCCGTGTTGGAGTTGGGATTTGAGCCCAAATCATTTTTTAACCCACATTTTCTGCTGCCTTATGTTTACTGCTATGTCCCCAGAAGAATGATACAAATACTTAACTCTTTGTAGTAAAGGTAGTATATGTGATACATAAACATAATTTAAACAGGAAATTCAGACATTTTAAATATTGGTAGATTTTTGTTATCTTGTATCTGTTCATTTGCTAGCAGCTTACTTATCCAGGTTGTGTTAGGTGTCATACATATAGCCAAGTTCAAAATCTGTCAGAAAAGCTCTTAAGCTCTCTTTTATTTTTCATTTCCTGTCCAGAAATTTATGTTACTTTATGGTTTATTGTAGGTGCACCTTTAATGTGCTATTTTTAAAAACATGGGAGATGCCATTACATTTGTTTTAAAAAGCTCTCATGCACCATTTAGTGTTGATGGTACTTAAATGCTTACAGATTAATATGCTTAGAAAAAGTTCTCTTTTTTTTCTTGATATTTCATAAATTATATTTTTTCATCTGTTGGAAATACTGAGCTTTGTTGATAAGTGAACCCTGGATGTTTGAAGAGATACTCCATTATGGAGCCTTAGTCATTTTCATATGCTAGGGTCAGAATTTTATCAAGTTTCCAATTAAGAGCCTTTAGGAATAATTTAGATTTGTGCCATTTACCCAAGTTTAATTGGACCTGTTGTTTGCATTCCATATTAACAGTGGTTTCAGTAAGTATAGATCAGGTTGTCTGACTGAACTTATGCTAAGTTCCATGTTTAGTATTTTTGTGGGTGGGGCAAAGAAAAAATGATAAATTGAAATATATAAACAAACACTGAATTCATTTTTATATAAGAGGGAGGAGCCGCGAGGGTTGAGGAATAGGCTAGTTTCTGCTTTTTCCAGTATCAAGTTTCCCAAATAATTGTGGGTTCAGAAGGTGTTTTTAGTACATACCATAAAAGTGATTTTTTTCAGAAAGTTGTTCCTCAGAAGTAGTATCAATAGGACAGGAGCTTTTTTCTTGGTATTTTTCATATGGTGTTGTAGTGTTGTCTTATTTCTTGATGCTTTATGTTTGTTTGATTGTTGGAAGAATGAGGCTCATGAGAAATTATGAGACTCAGCTCCTGGTTGTACTGATGAGGACATTGAGGCGTAGAACTGATCCTTAGATAAGGATAAGGACTAATGTTACCTTGGGGCTGCCACCACTTCTTTATTAATGGCCAAGTATCAGGGATTATTCTACACAGTACTTGACTTTTAAATAGATGATGGACTGCAACCTTTAATTTCAGCTTTATTGGATTCCTGATATCTTATTTTTATTTTTCTCAGTTTTTTTAATTTTGATAGTGTCTATAGCTAAGGCGTCTTCAGTGAAGTCTCCCAATACATTAAAATAATCTTACTTTCCAGCTAATGTGTTTTTATATCCTGTCAAGCTTGCTTTCAAATATCATTCTGTAATTTACTTTCCCACCAAATAATCCACCAAAATTTAGGAATTCAGGTGAGAGAGAGAGAGACTATGCCACATTGCCCCTGCCTTATATGTTGCCCGTGCTTTTTATTTTTATGACTGGGGAAACTGTAACTTTTCCACTGATTAACCTCTCCTGGGAGGAGAGCTGAGGAAGAATGATTCCTTTTATCAAATCATGTGAAGAGAATCCTGGACAAGGCTGACCAACTGTCTTATTTTGCCTTGGACTGAAGGGGGGGCGGTTCATGGACATGGGATTTCCATTGCTAAAATATTACCCCCCTTGACCACAGCAGGATGAGTTGGTCGCTCTAATCCTGGTAATTATCCGTATTTCTGAATGGGTCTGTAGAAGAGAAGGGGCTGAACAGCTAGCTTTGCATTCATTGACAATCTCTTCCCTATTGAAAGACTTATTAGTGATTGGAGTGCTTATTTATAATAATGATTTAAAAATTAGAGTGGCAGGAGAGGCTTGAATAAAAGATTAATGAGTTGGGCTGTGAAAATATTTGTTTAAAGTTTAATCTTATACTTTTCTCTCTTTACAGAACTGATAGTGCATCAGCCGACCCAGATACTTTAAAATATTCTTCATCCAGAGATCGGGGTGGGTCTTCTTCTTATGGACTGCAACCTTCAAATTCAGCTGTGGTGTCTCGGCAAAGGCACGATGATACCAGAGTCCACACTGACATACAGAATGACGAAAAGGGTATATATGCTTCCTTTATTGTTAGAGGCATGTTTTTTTGTTTTTTAACCTACCAGCCTTTCCCTAGCTTTCTCTTTCCCTCTCTTTTTCTCCCTTACTTCTCTCTTTCTTTTAATATGCTTAAGATATAAATATTAAATAAGTGCTGTTGTTGAAACTTCATAATAAGTTTACCCCTTTGTTAAAAATTTTTTAAAATTTTCGTACATTATAATACACATAGGCAGTTTCCTTGCCACCCAAAATATCACAAAGGCTGAAGTCTCCTGACTACTATCTCTCCTATAGACTTTTAAAAGTTTTTAAAGTGCAAAATCTGACTTAATTTAGTTTACATTTCTCTTATCTTCTGTGGATGGACAAAATGAAATCAAGATGATTTCAAAGCCGGGGCAGCGCAAGGGAAGAGTGGGAGAAGCAAAGGCTGGTTGAGCTGTAGATGGGTAGTAAGATCCTGAACTGTCAGGAATTGATTGAGTAAAGCAAAGAACCCTATTAAAATATGTAAATGTCGTTGTTTTTAGGTGGCTACAGCGTCAATGGAGGATCTGGGGAAAATACTTATGGTCGGAAGTCGTTGGGGCAAGAGCTGAGGGTTAACAATGTGACCAGCCCTGAGTTCACCAGTATTCAGCATGGCAGTCGTGCGTTAGCCATCAAAGACATGAGGAAATCACAGGGTAAGGTTGGACAAACTGGGGGCCAGTGACAAATGCCTCCACAAACACCTGTATCCTTTCTTTCCCCTGGATGCAATATTCTTCTTCTTCTTTTTTTAAAAAATTATTTATTTATTTATTTATTTATTTATTTATTTATTTATTTATTTATTTATAAATATTTATTTGACAGAGAGATAGAGAGAGCACAAGTAGGCAGAGAGGCAGGCAGAAGGAGAAGGAGAAGCAGGCTTCCTGCAGAGCAGGGAGCCTGACGCGGGGCTCGATCCCAGAACCCTGGGATCATGACCTGAGCCGAAAGCAGGTGCTTAACCAACTGAGCCGGGGAGCCCGATGTGGGACTCGATCCCATGACCCCGGGATCATGACCTGAGCTGAAGGCAGTCGCTTAACCGTCTGAGCCACCCAGGCACCCTGGATGCCGTATTTCTTACTAATGCTTTGCACACGAGTTGGTTCGTTTACTTCGAGTTGAAAAACATGTACAGATGATAATTGTTTGCATTCTTTCTCCTGTAAACTGTTTCTTAGACTAAATCCTCACAGGAAAGGCTTTAATACTTTATTTTAGAGTACACTTTCTAGAGAATTCTCCTAAAGATTTGAAGTCTAGATGAGATTTAAAGAAATTATTTTTCTGGTCATAGTGGATAATGAATGTCTGGTGTGTGATGGACTCTCCCTGCAGCAAGTCCTTGAACTCTAGGGTCTGTAGGGGCTATGGGTATAAATGGAATGGGTGCTTTTCTAAAGTTAAGTATGCTGATAGCACCTTCTGCCTTATAACACAGCCTCACTGTATAGGTAAAGTACCTTGAATGTGAGGTGATCATTAGTTTTCTAAAAGAGAATTTATTCTGTTGGTAAAGCTAAGTATGAAATCAGGATTTCTGATTTATATACTTTGTTGGATGTAGTCACTCTTTGGACATTTAGTTTATGACCATTTGCTCCCACGGGGTTGTGTGTATATGTACGTGTTGTGCGTATGTGTATGTGTTGTGCATATGTACGTGTTGTGCATATGTACGTGTTGTGCGTATGTGTGTGTGTTGTGTGTATGTGCGTGTTGTGTGTATCTTGGTGTGTATCTTTGTGCATCTAGCTGCTTTTTTTTTATTTTGAATATGGCTTTTAAAAAATGAATTCTTTTGGAAGAAGAAGAGAGCAGGAGGGGAAGAATGAAGGGGAGTAAGTTGGAGGGGGAGACGAACCATTAGAGACGATGGACTCTGAAAAACAAACTGAGGGTTCTAGAGGGGAGGGGTGTCGGGGGTGGGTTAGCCTGGTGATGGGTATTAAAGAGGGCACATTCTGTGTGGAGCACTGGGTGTTATGCACAAACAATGAATCATGGAACACTGCATCAAGAACTAATGATGTAATGTATGGTGGTTAACAATAAAAAAATTATTAAAAAAAAAAATGAATTCTTTTGGATAAATTTTCAGAAGTGGACCCACTAGTCAGAGGCTATGCTGTTTCTTAAGAGTGTTGGAAGCCCTTGACTTTGGTATGATAGAAGCTAGAAAGTGAGTCCAAAGATAATTGAGTCTAGTTCTTTCTCCTCTGAGGCTCAGAGTTAAGTAGTTTGCTTGTGGCAGAATTGTAAATAGAGCCTAGATTTCCTGGCTTGTAACCTGATGACATTTTCAGTGTCCATCTTTACTGAAATACTCAATGGGCTAGGGATTAAAAAATCATTTTCCTTCCCTCAGATGTTGTAATTTCTTTTAGTAATTTTTTTCCATGCCTTAGAAATGGAACTATTAGACCCTTTAATGTGGTTTGTATTTACTGTAAGTTGGTTAATCATGAAATAGCACACCTGAAAATATAAAAAGAAAAATTTAGTACTTAAATGTATTTTTATTGGCAATTGTTTGAGCATTCTTGCTTGTTCTTGTCATTAAAAAACAAAGGGCAGAACAGTTCTGGTTTGCCACTTCCCTAGTGGCATCATGCCTTGTACATGGTTGGTGGTAATTAGACATTTGTTGAACTGAATGTTTGATTGCAGTTTACAAAAACTTTGTCTTAGGAAAATAATGATAATGTGAACAAGAGACTTCCCTCCACTGGCTACCACGTGAGAATTAGAAGCATCTAGCCTCTTTTCAGCCTGGTTGAGACTTTATCCCTAACCTGTAGACGTTTCTTACCTGCACTCATGCTCTTTACCTGGATGTCGAAAAGATTATGGAACAAATCTGAAGAAAGTAATTTCTAAGCCGCTTTTTTTCTCTCAACTGGTCCTCTGGAATGAGGTCTTTGCTTAGGTCTGTATTTTTTGAGGGTCTGCTTTGTGCCTAGCAGTCTGCTGGAATTTGGCTTCTAGTGACAAAAAGTGTGATGGGACCTGCATTCGGTTGAAGTTTTACTGTTTAGTGGACTGTGATTTTTGATGTACTTTAAAATATTTGGGCTGTAAAGTTTCTGTGTTTATACTCAATGCATAACATGTTTATTTTCACAGAGCGATCGATGTCTTACTCTGATGAGTCTCGACTGTCGAATCTTCTTCGGAGGATCACCCGGGAAGACGACAGAGACCGAAGACTGGCTACTGTAAAGCAGTTGAAAGAATTTATTCAGCAACCAGAAAATAAGCTGGTGAGTACAATATGGAAGTGTTGATAACTTTTGTGTTTCCATAATAAAGTAGATAATGCTATCTGGAGTGGTTTAAGAAGGAAAAAGTTTTGCTTCTTAGGAAAAATAATAGGGATTCCTTATTCTAGGTTAATTTGGCCTATATTATAATGATTGAGAACTTGATGACCCTGATGTGGAATTTACCTGTCATTGGTGGATTCACACTGGTGTCTTCTACAATAAAGTGCTTTTAACCTCTAATACATTTATTCTGTTGTCCTCAGAATTTTATTTTCTGTATGCCAGGACAGACTATGTCTTTGTTTTTCATATGTGAAATTGGGATTGGGGTGTATGTATTTTGTTGATGGGTAGGTGCGGTCTGGTGGCCAGGGCTAACTAAATGGAAAAATCCTTTAAAGAAGAAAGTTGAGGAGCAGTTACAAATTTCTCTCCGGTCTGAGTAATTCTCCTAATGTGAAATTAAGAACTTGATATAGAGCAGGAAAAAATTAATGAGAATGGTATGGTGAATCAAATAATATTTGGTTCAAAGCAAGTTTTCTGCCTCCCCCCATTTTATTATGAAAAAATTAAAATATATAGCAAGTGAAATTTTTGAAAACATTTCAAATATATATAGATACTGAATATCATATGTCTGCCATCTAAATTCTGTTAACATTTTATCATGTTGCTTTGTCACGTATCTCTTCCCCTCTTCATCAGTCCATCTCTTAATGCATTTCAGAGTAAATAAGCTTTTTGAGTTTATGTTTTTCATTGATGATCATGGCAGTACATAGGAATGGATAAATTTCTTTCAGGATCTGAAAGGAAACTTGTAATACTCCTGATACATACTAATTGCGGACTGGGAATAATAAGAAAAGGAAGGTGTGCTGTTTGATTAGAATTTGGAGGGGAACGCAAGTAAAAAGTACACAATGTTATTGAAAGTATAGGAATTTGAAGTTTTTATACATGTGGTTTTTTTTAAGGTACTAGTTAAACAATTGGATAATATCTTGGCTGCTGTACATGATGTGCTTAATGAAAGGTAAGTAACCAGTGGGTAATTTTAAGACTTTATATTTTTAGAAATTACTAAAAAATGTACAAGAAGGTAAACCCATTGGTAGCTTCATTTATGAATATCTACTTAATGTTTTACTGGGTTCTCCTGCCGTCTTTATCTATGTTAAAGTATTTATATGTTAATTACCATTGAATCCAATTGGAATCCACTTGAAAGGAAATGCCTTTTTTTTCTTTTTCTTTTTTTTTTTTTCTAATTTGTCAACATGACTGAGTAATTGAGCATTGACTTGTGGAATGCCATAAACTCTTAATGCAGGCATGAATGAATGCGATTAACTTTTGTAAACTAGAGAATTTTGAAACTGCTTAGAGAATAGAGGTGAAAGGGAGCTTCCTTCTTTGGGCAACAGTGGATTCAGACCACCTGCTCTACGAGGCTACTGGGGTTCTCCACAAAGGTGTGCAGTCTGTTCTTCGTATGGGGATTCCCAAAGAATTGCAGTGTTGGAAAGCACCAAAAACTCATCTCAGCAGGTCACGAACCTTACTGCTTTTTGATGGTTTCATTTTATATAGTTAGTTATTAATATACTTAAATCAGTGCTGTTATCCTGTTAAGTTTGTTGTGCTTTAACTAGTACCATTTCCTGTTTTATAGTCCTTACCTACTGAACACTACATCATATGTAGTTATTTGTAGTGTGTTTTATCTGATCCTTGTTGCTGCCCTTTTCTGTGGATTATTTAATGTAGCTTCAGATGGAATTTGAAGCCTGATTTTTTTAGTATTTCTGGGCCTTTCCTTACTGTTTGTGAATAATTGATTCTGTAAAAGAAAAGCTAATGTGTCTAACAAAGGTACTTTTGGGCACTGTGGGATAGACAGTAAAGAGCATATTTAAAGATAAAGTTTCAATCTTTTATGTAGTTTGAATAGAAAATTAAAAAAAATCGTTGAAGACATTCTTTTGTAAAATGTCATTCTTGTCATCTTTGAAAGCTTAAACCTTTCATGTGTTTTATTTTGTTTGCATTGAAATAACACAGTAGCAAATTGCTTCAGGAGTTGAGACAGGAGGGAGCTTGCTGTCTTGGCCTTCTTTGTGCTTCTCTGAGCTATGAGGCTGAGAAGATCTTCAAATGGATTTTTAGCAAATTTAGCTCATCTGCAAAAGATGAAGTTAAACTCCTCTACTTATGTGCCACCTACAAAGCATTAGAGACTGTAGGAGAAAAGAAAGCCTTTTCATCTGTAATGCAGGTAAGAATGAGGGGGGGAAATTGATGCATTTGGGAAGAAAATTATCCTTAACAATTTTCTAGTAATGTTTTTGGAGAGGAACTTGGAGAAAGGAAACTTGGTATAGGGGTTATCTACTGATAGTAAATATGATATAAATAACATTTCTTTTTCTGAGTTTGAGTTAAAGGATACAAATTAAAGGTAGATTTAAAATAAGTTAGATTTTTCTTTTGTCTTTTCTCGCTTTTTTGAAGCTTTCCTTTGAATTTTGCTTAGTACTAGCATCATTTGCACATTTGAAAATAGGGAGTCAGTGAGGACAGCTGGATAGGAGGGGACTTCACTTTTCAGAGGGAGACAAAAACTGAACGACACAACTCATTCTAGGCCTTTTTAGGTTTAATAATATGTCCAAAATTCTTATTCCAAGTGATATAAAATAATTTTGTGTAAATGAAAACCAGCCTTACTTAGCTTTATTTCACTTTTGTGTAAGTATATTAAAAGATCATTCTCAATTTAAGTTTGAGCAAAGTTACAAGCAGTTAAATTTTTGTTCAGTAGGTGTGAGAGAGCAGAGAGCAGGGTGAGGGGCAGAGGTAGAAGCAGATGTAGAAGCAGACTCCCTGCTGAGCAGGGAGTCTGATCAAGTCCCTGATGCGGGACTTGATTCCAGGACGCCCAAGCTGAAGGCAGATGTCTAACCTACTGAGCCACCCAGGTGCCCCAGCTATCTTTTATTTATATGTGTTCTTTACAATTGATGATACGCTTTATTTTGCTTAAGTCACTTTAAATGATATAGTCTGTTTTCTAAAAATCCATTTTTCTTTAATTATAGAGGTTATGTGAAAAATTTTGGGAAAGATTCAGAAAATTATCTATAACTAAATATCATAACACCAAATTAGGCTTATTCTGCATATAGTTTTAATATTTTGAACATTTCTCCAAATACTTATTTTGAAAATTTTCAAATCCACAGGAAAACATGTGGACCAGTATAATAAATACCCATATATCCTTTATCTAGGTTTGTCACTTATTAGCATTTTGCTACACTTGTTTTATTTCTACACACATAGTTCAGCTTTTTTCTTGAACTATTTGAAATTACACACGTCATGGCAATTCACCCTATAATGCCTCAACATACATCCCCTAAAAATAAGGCCGTTCTCTTTTATTAACAAAATTATTATCATACCTAAGAAAATTAATTTTATTACATAATGTAATCCATATTCAAACTTCTGCCCTTAAGATATCTTTTACAGCTTTTGTGTTACCTGACCCAGGATTCCATCAAGACTTGTGTATAGTTTGGTGCTGTGCCTCTTTAATTGCTATTAATTAGAACAGTTCACACCTTTTTTGTCCCTCCTTTTTGTGGAATGTTCTACTTCTGGGTTTGTCTGATTGCTATTTCCTGATTTTAAACCTTTTGGTCATGAATACTCCCCGGGGTTCATTTTTACTGTTGCATCACACCAGCAGGCACATAGCTTCAGTTTGTCTTGGTGTCAGGGATGAAGAATTTGATCACACTTGGTTGAGGTGATGACCACCAGAATTTTTCTGTTGTGGAGGCTTATTTTTCTCCTTTTGTAATTAGTAATCTGGGCATGATACCTTGAGACCTTCTGAATATCCTGTTTTTTAGTTCTAGTCCACTCAGTGGTTTCGGCCCCCATTCATATTCTGTACCTGTGTACATTATAGCATTGGCTGTGCAAGATGTTAGGTATCCAGTTCTAGCATTTTTTCTGTAGTTATAACCTCATTCTTTTGTAAAGAAGAGCTTTACGTTTTAGGAAAAAATGGTTTCTAACAGCTGCAAAATATTCTGTCAGTGGCATGCCATATATTTGTTTAAAAAATAGATCTATAGGGACGCCTGGGTGGCTCATTCGTTTAGTGTCTGCCTTCGGCTCAGGTCGTGATCCCAGGGTACTGGGATCGAGCCCCACATTGGACTCCCTGCTCAGTGGGAAGCCTGCTTCTCCCTCTCCCACTCCTCCTGCTTGTGTTCCCTCTCTCGCTGTGTCTCTCTCTGTCCAATAAATAAATAAAGTCTTAAAAAAATAAAAAATAGATCTATATATAGTGGTAACATGAGCCTGCATGTCTGTTACTCATGTGTTGGGGCCATGCTAATCTTCTCTAAATCATTCAAATTTGAAGCAAGTACTAATAACCTAAAGCATAAATTTTATAAAATTTGCTATAAATTTTGAATTGGAAAGTAATTGTGGTACTTTAAAGAAAAGTTTTCCAAGCACATCTAAATTTTTGTTCTTGATATTTAATCAAGTCCATGATATTAAAGAGAGCACTTAGGAATAATGTGAACAGACATTACTTAGGAATAATATTAAGAGACATTAAAGAAGGGGAAACTATTTATTTTCAGCCTGTTCATGGTGGAATGAAATGTTTTCAACTTTTTTAGCTAAAACTGCAGACTTTGTTTTCTTTGGTATCATAATCAATTTTAGATAAAATCACTTTTTTTAAAAAAAGATTTTGTTTATTATTAGAGAGAGAGAGAGCACACGCTCACACGAGAGGGGTGAAGGGCAGAGGAAGAAGCAGACTCCCTGCTGAGCAGGGAGCCCTACTCCGAGGCTCAATCCCAGGACCCTGGGGTCATGACCTGAGCCAAAGATAAAGTCATTTTTAAATAATGAGCCCAACATGCTCGTTTTCTTCCTGTTTTGTTGAATATTCATGGTTTATAACTTTTATTTTTTAGCTTGTAATGACCAGCCTACAGTCCATTCTTGAAAATGTGGATACACCAGAATTACTTTGCAAATGTGTTAAGTGCATTCTTTTGGTGGCTCGATGTTACCCTCATATTTTCAGCACTAATTTTAGGGTGAGTTCCCTGACTCCCTCTGTTCATATGATGGGGAGAAGGATTGGTTGTGTGTCTAAGGACTTTGGGAATCAGAGAGAAAACAAAGCTTCTGCTTCTTGGAGTATAATCAGTGATGCTTGAGGGTCCAGGATAGAATGGTGCAGTAATACAATTTTTATAAATACCATCTGTACTTTCTGACATTAATACCTCAAAATATTTAAAGAAAAAACATTTCCTCAAGGTCATAAACGAAGTTCCATTATTCTCTTGCCCTGCCCTCTCCCCTTCTAAGTTTGTATAATGTCAAATAGGTAGAGCGCAGATGCTTTTTCTAGGATTTCTTAATCTGAAATGGTCCACAGGAGAAGTAGCAGTTAGACCTTAAGATGATTAGCCTTTTTCTCTTTGTCTCCACTCAGGATACAGTTGATATATTAGTTGGATGGCATATAGATCATACTCAGAAACCTTCGCTCACACAGCAGGTGTCTGGTAAGTTATTCAGCATGTATCAGTTGTTTAAATGTTATGGAAAGGAGCTCTGGTTTCTCAGAGTCCAGCATACTATTTCTTTCACAATGCAAGAAAAATAATTGCTTCACAGGAATAATTTGGTTATTACATATTTTTTCTTTTTTTAAAGATTTTATTTATTTGTCCGAGAGAGAGCACAGCAGGGGGAGCAGCAGGCAGAGGGAGAAGCAGACTCCCTGCTTAGCAAGGAGCTCGATATGGGACTCTCTCCCAGGACCCCAGGATCATGACCTGAGCTGAAGGCAGACATTGAACTGACTGAGCCACCCAGGCCCCCCAATAATTTGGTTATTATAAATGAACATTACTTGTTAGCAGAATTTATCCTTTCAGAGGAAGACTGTGTACTTCGTAGTAGGTAGGGGAGAGTAAGTACAGATTGTAATGTTGCCCCTGTGAGAAATTGACTTTTCACGAGTCGTTTATAGTGTGTGCTGGTGGCAGGAGACATTACAGTGGCAATAGTTGAGTGTAGATTGAAAGATCCTGGATATTTGTGATTTGTTTTCCTGGTTATTAAAAGAAAAAAAAAAACCAGGGTACCTGGGTGGCTCAGATGGTTAAGTGTCTGCCTTCGGCTCAGGTCATGATCCCAGGGTACTGGGATTGAGTCCCACATTAGGCTCCCTGCTCCTTGGGGAGCCAGCTTCTCCCTCTGCCTCTCTCTCTCTCTCTCTCTGTCTGTCTCTCATGAATAAAGAAATAAAATCTTAAAAAGTTTATATCATATCTACATATTTAAAAAAAATTAAAACAAATGGATGAATTTGGGGAATTGTTTAAATGATAAATTTATTTTATTTTTTTTTATTTAAGTGAATGACTAGCACGACTCATTTGGACATTTCAGCTTGTTTCAGGTGCTATAGTTTCTCTTAGATTAATTGGTGCAGTGGACTTTTGAAATTGGATATACCACTGAGAGTGGTTCTGACCCATTTCCATTGGAGAGATTAGTGGACATCTTTGGTGGTTGGTTGGGGTTCTCGAGTAGAAAGCCAGGCTGGTGGCAGACTGTGGCATTTTAGTCTAAGCCTTGTGTATATTGACAATATGGATGTTAAATCTGCTAAAAAATAAGGACTAAGAATCACATTTTAATTTCTGGAGACTTCATTTTTGCAGCATTAAAAGAGACTGGTTCATCATGATCAGCATGTTTAATAGTTAATAGTTCTAATTTTATGAAATAGAGCATTGTTTAAAGGTATGCAACTTGAAAACCAGATAACTTTAAAACGCCTTTGGATATATTTTTAATTTGGATTTTTTGTTTTTTCTACTCTTGAATTTTTTGATTCCTAGGGTGGTTGCAGAGTTTGGAGCCGTTTTGGGTAGCTGATCTTGCATTTTCTACCACTCTTCTTGGTCAGTTTCTGGAGGACATGGAGGCATATGCTGAGGTGAATATGTAGAAAGTTATTTCCTAAAATTTCAGTTAAGAACAAAACAAAAATCTTAGTGCTACATTTATTTTATTTTTTTAAAATTTTTTTAAAAGATTTTATTTATTTGAGAGAGAGGGTGTGCACACAGGGGCGGGGAGGGCAAAGGGAGAGCGCGAAGCAGGCTCCCTACTGAGCAGGAACCTGTTGTAGGGCTTGATCCCAGGACCCTGGGATCATGACCTGAGCCAAACGCAGACACTTAACCGACTGAACCACCCAGGTGCCCCTAACAGTGCTAGATTTATTTTAAAATAATTCAGACCACTTGACATTTAAATAGAAATTACAAGACCATTGCAATATTAAAAAAACTTTTTTAGATGCTTTTTTTTTTCTTTTTAAAGATTTTGTTTATTTATTTGACACAGAGAGCAAGACAGCGAGAGAGGGAACACAAGCAGGGGGAGTGGGAGAGGGAGAAGCAGTCTTTCAGCTGAGCAGGGAGCCAGATATGGGGCTCGATCCCAGGACCCTGGGATCATGACCCGAGCCGAAGGCGGATGCTTAATGACTGACTGAGCCACCCAGGTGCCCCTAGATGCTGTTTTTAAGTTACCAGCTGAATTACCAGAAAGACTGAAAGAAAAATAGCAGGCCTCATTTTGCAAAGGTTGAAATATTCCTGGTAGCTGGTAGTTTTCAGACATTTCCTACAGTTCATTTTTATTTTTTGATCCCAAAAGTATATTAAGAGTAATGTGAATTGATGTTGTATAAAAGCCCCTAAAGACTTTTGTTTTACATATATTGGGGATCTTGGATCATGCTTTGCAGGAAAAGACTTGGCTCTAGCAAATTTTTGCGACTATACCAGTATAGTATGACGACTTTAAGGGTGCTACTGAAGTCTCTGGTATTGGGTCTTGGCTTTCTTAGCTCACTGGTCATGACTTAAATTGGCCATGTCCTCTGAGAACTTCTTTGTGGTTCTTCCTTACTCAGGCCTACCATGATTTTTGCTTGGTATTTAAGGCTCCTATAATGATTTAGCTTCAGCTATGCTATTTCGAGCCTTTCAGAGAAGAGTGGAAGGAAAATTTCGCTTCTACATGTTTCTTTGCCTCCACACCTAGAATATCTCTTTTCCTAGCCCACCTTTAATGCTGATCTACCTCACTGAAGCTGCCCATTCTGGTTTGTAGAGACTCTTCCCCCTTGGTATCCATAAGATGAAATTCTCTTCTATTATTTTGTATGCTTAATTATATGTGGGTATATGTTGGTTCTAGTATCCCATTTTTTGCTAATCTTTTCTTTTGAGTATATCTTATTTCCTTAACTAGATTGGTAAACCAGATTTTCTAATTTAACACTTCTCTCCCCCATTTGCCCTTTGTGTGCGTAATGTTGGTGTGGGGGGATTATTGAGTTGAGTGGCTCAAAGAATACCTGGAATAAGATTTTAGCAGAAACCAATTCAGGAGTGGCAAAAGTTTCTGGCTCCATTTGTACCTATATATAACAGAGCATATGTACTATTTATTTTTCCCCCACTACCTTTCTGAGTTGGTATGAGTTTTTATTTTGTTGTTTTAAGATTTTATTCATTTGACCGAGAGAGGGAACACAAGCAGGGGGAGTGGGAGAGGGAGAAGCAGGTTTCCCGCTGAGCAGGGAGCCTGATGTGGGACTCGATCCCAGGACCCTGGGACCATGACCTGAGCCGAAGGCAGACACGTAACTGACTGAGTCACCCAGGTGTCCCTGAGAAGTTATTTTCTTAATCTGCTGAGGTTACTTTTGGCTTATTTAAGTATAGATTTGTTAATTAGTGAAGTATAATTTACTTTTACATTTAGATTCATGTTCCTTTCTCTAACAGATTACTTTTTAATTTTATTTTATTTTAATTTTTGGTGATGGGGCCAGAGGAAGAGGGAGAGAGAGAATCTTAGGCAGGCTCCATGCCCAGCACGGAGCCTGATGCAGGGCTCGATCTCACAACCCTGAGATCATGACCTGAGCCAAAATTGAGAGTCGGACGCTTAACCAGTTGAGCCACCCAGGCGCCCCTCATGTTTATTTTTCTGATAGGCTAAAATTCCTTTATTTGTAAAAACAAAGTTAATTGACTTAAAAATTGGGAGTTTGTTTGTTTGTTTTGAACAATGTGCTCCTTAAATAAGAGTGCTGTGATTACATATCTAGGACCTCAGCCATGTGGCCTCTGGGGAGTCAGTGGATGAAGATGTTCCTCCTCCATCGGTGTCGCTACCCAAGCTGGCCGCGCTTCTCCGGGTGTTCAGTACTGTAGTGAGGAGCATTGGGGAACGCTTCAGCCCAATTCGGGGTCCTCCAATCACTGAGGCATATGTAACAGATGTAAGTGTCTTTAGGAGTTTTAAGTATCATTCAAAAACAAAATTGTTGTGTATTGTAAATGCTTCTTTTTCTTTACCTAGTGAACTATGTTACTAACTCTTCATTTGTTTTGTATGTATGTACACATGTGGCTACTTTAAATTGCCAGAAGAGTAGGGAATCCTATTAATATCCCATCTCCTTTCTGTCCCCTCCCCTATATGAGAAAAAGGCTATACTGCATTTTAAAATGTGCATGAACTTTTTTCTCATGAGATCCTTCATAGGTTGATTATTCTTTTTTTATATCCTTTTAAAATCTTTCTTTAAAAGTAATATTTTAATTTTTGCTTTATAATTATTGAGTTTAGTTTTTCAACATAATGAGAATAATGCATTGTAGAGAAAGCCTCAAAAAGTAATTTTTTCTGAGCATGACAGGATGAAACAACTTGATAGTCTGACATTCAAGATTATAAAGATACAAGAACTTAAATATTTAGTAGTCTGAGATCAGTTATAAAGGCAGCATGATTACCACACTTGAGCAGCCCCAAACATTAGCTGTACTCTGCTACAGTTCACTGAGTGGCTCAGTGTAATAGACGTGAGAAATGAACCTGCCCCTGTACTGTTCTTGAATAAGAAGGGAGAAACATGCGTGATACAGTCATAAAATATTAAATGATTAAAATTTTACTGTTAGGATACAAGTCTAACTTTTATTTATTTCTGTTGATACGACTTTTTGCTAGGTTAATTGTGTGTTTGAACAGAAATGTCAGATCCTGAAGATAATTAGAGCCAGAATTTTGATATTTTAAACCTGAACAAGATGATTGTCTTCATTTTATTTTTTCCTTTCTAAAAGTTGGTGGTTTGGTGACTGTGTCAATATTGAAATAAAGGCAATAAACTCAGATGTAAAACAAAAGGAAAGAAAATAATCATTTCCCAGGATAGTTACATATTTAATGTATTCTTGTATGAATGTCTTTTAGGCCTTCTTAACCTATAGGTTTAAAGCCTATATGTAGTGATTGTTGAAAATTACAGAAAGATACTGTATCACTTTGTTTCTTAACTTATTTTTATTAGAAATTTAGTATATTAATATTGACTTGTAGTTTAGTGGGGTTTTTGGTTGGAAATTACATGTTATGAATGAGAGACTTAACTTTTCCAAAGAGATCATCAGTACATGAACATTCATAAGCTAAGGTGACTTAGGTATTTAGTTTTAAAAGATTGCTTACCAAAAGCCCAAGTGCTTTATTGCAGGAAGATTATTCTCATGGCAGGTTATTCCTGTGTTTAGTGCTACTGTTGGAAGTACTGGTGTATTTCATGAATATAAAAATTCTGAGCTCCAGCCACTTTGGTTACTTTGGCTGTGGGAGAGAGGGTGATAGAAATTGGGTATAAGGGAAATAGAGGATCCATTTTCTGTCACAATAGTACTTTAGACTATTTTAGGCAAGATCATTTTTGCATATTTTACTAAAGATACCCTTTATTATTCAGCCACCGAGAGCGAGAATATTAAGAGACTACTGACAAGGCAGGCAGTTAATTTTCAGTTCAAACTGCATTAAATAGAAACTATTTTCTTACTCTGTGGAAGCATGTGAATTTTTTTAAAAAGCTGCTTGTTCTCCCCATTTGCAGGTTCTATACAGAGTAATGAGATGTGTGACGGCTGCAAACCAAGTGTTTTTTTCTGAGGCTGTGTTGACAGCTGCTAATGAGTGTGTTGGTGTTTTGCTCGGCAGCTTGGATCCTAGCATGACTATACATTGTGACATGGTCATTACATACGGATTAGATCAGCTGGAGAACTGCCAGACTTGCGGTACAGATTATAGCATCTCAGTCTTGAATTTACTCACATTGGTATGTGAATTCTTTTTTCCTTGCTTTTTCATACAGAATTTATTCGGGCCCTTATATTTAAATTAGTGTGGAAGAAATGAAGGCCTTGGTTTTTTATGTTTTTTAAAGAGTGCATTAGTCTTATTTATATAATCTAGTTTGCTTTTGCTCTGTTATCTGTTTACTTTTAGTGTTTGATCTCAGGGTAGTTTTTATTCCTTTTCTTCTTTTTTTTCTTTGATGAAATGTTGTCTTTCATGTAAGACTACCTAGTATTCCTGATAAGTATCATATAGGTACTTGATAACTATTTAGGAAGACCTTGTTATGTTTTGTTTCCCATATGAAACTTGTTTTATAATTTTTATTCTTAACAATAAATATTCTTCCTCTTTCCCCCATTTATTATGGACATTTTGGAGTATATTTAAAAAAAACAATAGCATAATGAATCTCTGTATACTTAATACTCTTTCTTATAAATAGAAACACATGGTCTATCTGGTTTCATCTAGGCCTCTCTGACTCCCTGCCTCTTCCTTGCTGTGCCTCCATCCCCAACTGGATTGTTTTATTTATTTATTTATTATTTCTAAAGATTTATTAGAGAGAGAGAGAGATCACAGTGGGGGGGTGGGCAGAGGGAGAAGCAGGCTCCCAGCCAAGCAGGGAGCCCGATGCGGGGCTCGATCCCAGGACTCTGGGATCATGACCTGTGCCGAAGGCAGACGCTTAACTGACTGAGCCGCCCAGGTGCCCCTCCAGCTGGATTGTTTTAAAGCAAATTGTAGGTGATACTCTGCTGAACATTTCTGTCAAAGTTATACCTGTCTTTGCCAATGTAAAAAAAAGTTGCCCATGTTTAAGTATAGATACCTATATCCTATATAGGTATCTAGACGTTTTACTGTCATAATGTTAAGGCCTTAAAATATAATTTAGATCTATTACTTCTTTAATTAATAGATATTTTTCAGAGCAGTTTTTAGGTTTACACAAAAATTGAGCCTTAGGTGTGGAGTTCCCATACACTCTCCCACAGTAGTTTCCCTCATTATTATTATTTTTTTTAAGATTTTTGTTTATGTGTCAGAGTGTGTGCATACAAGCAGGGGGAGTGGTAGGCAGACAGAGAAGCAGACTCCCTGCTGAGCAAGGAGCCCCATGGGGGACTCGATCCCAGGACCCTGGGATCATGACCTGAGCCGAAGGCAGACAGTTAACTGACTGAGCCACCCAGGTGTCCCAGTTTCCCTCGTTATTAACGTCTTGCTTTAGTGTGGAACATTTATTACAGTTGATGAACCAAATTGACACGTTATTAACTGAGGTCTGTAGTTTACCTTAGGGTTCACTCTCTGGATTGTACATTTTGTGGGTTTTGACAAATGAATAATGCCACATATTCATTATTGTAGTATCATACGGAATAGTTTCACTGCCCTAAGAATGTCTTGTGCTCCACCTATTCATCCCTCCTGAATCCCCGGTAACTCTGGATACTACTGTCTCCATAGTTTTGCCTTTTCCAGAATGGCATATCGTTGGAATCATAGTGTGTAGCCATGTCAGATGGGCTTCTTTCAGTTAACTTGATGCATGTAAAGTTCCCCCGTGTCCTGTTGTGTCTTGGTAGCTCACTTCTTTTTATTTTATTCTTTTAGATTGTTGAACAGATAAATACAAAACTGCCATCATCATTTGTAGAAAAACTGTTCATACCATCATCTAAACTACTATTTTTGCGTTATCATAAAGAAAAGGAGGTAAGTGTTGCATTGACAAGGACTTTTAGTAACTTCAGTCATTGAAGAGTTGATTCAAGTTACTTACTAGGCTATATAAATGAAATGGAGTGAAATGATAAATGTTTTAAAATATAGTGATTAAATGATTTATATAACTTAGTATTTGTTGATTGTCGTACTGTGCCACATATTCTTTTCAGATTTCCATAATTTGTTTTTATTAAGTTTGTTTTATTAAAATTTCATAAAACAAGCAGCTGTATTAAGTCATAAATTCAGAGATACTGTGTACGTCAGAAATTTCATTATTAGCTTCTCAGCCGACTCCCAGTCAAAACCACTACAGGCTTTCCAAGTAGATAGAGGAAAAGTAATTGTAATAAATAGCTCTTTTTATGTGTGTTTTGATCCCAGCCATTTTTTAAAAATGGCCTTTTAAGAATTTTTTATTTAGAGGACTCTGTAATAAAGTTTTGAAGATTTTTATAAGCTTACTGACATAAATTTACTGACACATGTAGCTTCCCTAAGGTTGGGTTTTAAAAAAAATTTAGGTCTTTGGTGTTTTGGACAGTGAATTTATTGGTCTTAAAATTGATTTGTACCATCACATTATGCAGTTAGTAATTTTCTTTTCTGTTTAACACTTTCCTGAATTCTCTCTTTAAAGGTTGTTGCTGTAGCCCATGCTGTTTATCAAGCAGTGCTCAGCCTGAAGAATATTCCTGTTTTGGAGACTGCCTATAAATTAATTTTGGGGGAAATGACTTGTGCCCTAAACAACCTGCTACATAGTCTACAACTTCCTGATGCCTGCTCTGAAATAAAACATGAGGCTTTTAAAAATCACATGTTCAATGTAGACAATGCAAAATTTGTAGTTATATTTGACCTCAGTGCCCTGACTACAATTGGAAATGCCAAAAACTCACTAATTGGGGTGAGTTCTTACTTGCAGTGCTTTGTTTTATTCTCACTTAAGCCTCTCTTCATTGCATGTTTACCTATCTTATTTACTACTTTTACCATATCAGTATTTCCAGAGTCACTGTAGAACGCACTGCCATATGTAGGACGTGCCTGGATCATTAAAATTGACAGGAATGTTTTCTTGCCATTGTATTTCGCTTTCCTCTTCCTTTCCTTGACAACGCTTCAAAGACTTTTTGTATTTTATCTTTTAAAAAATGTCTTTTATGCATTTGTATGTATGCTAGCATGCCTATAAAACATTTGTCAACATTTTCCACAGCTCAGATTTGTATAGTTCTTTTAATATGCAACTCCTTCTTCCCTGCTTTTCTCCTCTTCACTAACGTTAGTGCTTACATGTGGTCTTCCTTTTTGAGTGCCTACTTTTCTCTAGGAATATTCATATATTCTTTTGGGAATAGAATAAAGATTTCCTCTTTTTAAGAAATTTGACGTGACCTTGCTTTTGATTGATAATTATTATTGCTTTATTTTTTTCCCTTCTGTTAGACCTTGCAGGATTGGAAGACATTACTTCTAATAAAAAAAAAAAGGATATAATTAAGGGATAAAATTTTCTAAAAGAGAAGGGAGGGGAAAGTCAAGTTTGATGTTTAGATTTGCATGCTTTCCTGATTAGATTGTTGCCTTGTGTCACTCGATGAGTAGCAGTTCCTTCCCTCACTGCTAGTCATGGCTGATGGTGTACAGTAAACTCTACTCAGACCCTAAAATTTCATTGTTGAGGAATTCACATTGTATATAGATTTGAGGAGGTTTTTTGTCTTGCATTCTGGAAACAGGGAGAGTGGGTCAGGAAGGGGCAGTCAGGTGTAATGGAGTGTATTAGCAGCAGAAGGAAAAGGGAAGGATGGGTAAAGCTTAGGAGTGGCAGGATGTTCCTTTTTTCTCATTGGATAGGGCACCTTGCCATGTGTAGTGTATCGAAAATTGAGGAGAGGCAGTTTGCTACATTGGGGGGTACAGAGGATTTTGTTTAAATCAGGACTCAGTAGACTACAGCCTATGGGCCAAATACAGCTCAGTATCCTTTTCTCTTTCTTTTTTTTAAAAAAAATTACTTTATTTGAGAGAGCGAGCACGAGCATAAGCAGGGAGAGGGGCAGGAGGAGAGGGAGAAGCAGGCTCCCCAATGGGCAAAGAGCCTACCACGGGGCTCGATCCCAGGACCCTGAGATCATGACCTGAGCCGAAGGCAGACGCTTAACCGACTGAGCCACCCAGGCGCCTGTTTTTTCTTTTTTTTTTTTTTAAAAAAAATCTTTATTGCTATATAAATCAAACATCGTATAATTCCCACTTAAAGTGTACAGCTCAGGGACACCTGGGTGACTCAGTTGGTGAAGCGTCCAACTCTTGATTTTGGCTCAGGTCACGATCTGAGCTACCCAGGCGCCCCTGTCGTTTTAACTTTTAAAAATGTATACACATATTTTGAGGAATAAGCTCATGTGTGTCTTAGAGGAGCCAAACATTTGTTTTCTTTTGTACATCATCAGATGTGGGCGCTATCTCCAACTGTCTTTGCCCTGCTGAGTAAGAATCTGATGATTGTGCATGGTGACCTGGCTGTTCACTTCCCCGCCATTCAGTATGCTGTGCTCTACACGTTGTATTCTCATTGTACCAGGTACTGTACTGTACAGATACTTCTTGTAAACAGGGTTTTGTTTTTTGTTTTTTTGTTTTTTTTCATTTTTATAGGGGAGGATGGGCTCTTGAAAGTACAGATTTTTAAAAATACATGTTGACTTTGGAGTTACCTTTTTTTTTTTTTTTAAATTAGAGCTGAAAAGATGATTTTTCCTTTGTCTTCCAGGCACGATCACTTTATATCTAGTAGTCTTAGTTCTTCATCCCCATCTTTGTTTGATGGAGCTGTGATAAGTACTGTAACTACAGCTACAAAAAAACATTTCTCAATTATACTGAATCTCCTGGGAATATTGCTTAAGAAAGATAATCTTAACCAGGATACAAGGTAACTAAATAATATTTCCTAATACTAAGTATTCTTAACTTTTATTAACTTAGCTATGTAATTTGAGGATAGGAAATCCAGATTATCGAGATAGTAGGGTGGAGCAGCTTCATTATGAAACACTTCAAAATATGGCTTTATTATTTAGGATTTCTTGTTCTTTCCCAAAAGAATTAAATGAAACCTCCCTGCCCTGCAATGTTTTGTAGAAGAATGTATCTGTAGAGGTTTTTTTATATTTGCACCAACTTAATGCTAGTTTGGGGAAATTTTTCTTTCTTTTTTTTTTTTAAGATTTTATTTATTTGAGAGAGCGTGCGAGCATGAGCAGGGGGAAAGGGGAAAGGGAGAGGAAAAAGCAGCCTCCCTGCTGAGCAGGGGGCCCCACATGGGGCTCCATCCCAGGATCCTGAGATCATGACCTGAGCTGAAGGCAGACCTTAACTGATTGAGCCACCCAGGCACCCCGGGGAAATTTTTTAAAAGGCATACAACTTTTTGACAAAGGAATTTCTATAGTTTCAGTTTTTGTTTTCTGTTGCTTGAGATATTTAAAGAAACCAAAAGCAAAGTAATGTAAGAAGAATATATTTTTATATTTTTCTTTCTCTTTTAATGTAAAGTCAACTGGCTATTTTGTGTTTCAGGAAACTGTTAATGACCTGGGCTTTGGAAGTGGCTGTTTTAATGAAGAAGTCTGAAACATACGCACCTTTATTTTCTCTTCCATCTTTCCATAAATTTTGCAAAGGCCTTTTAGCCAACAGTAAGATTCTGTGATTTTTAAAAATTCTTTTACCTGCTCTTAAAAGGGATCTTTGGTCATGAGAGAAAGATAGTCACTTGAACATTTTCATAACATGAAATGTATAATTCGTATCTCAGTGGCAGATGCATAATCTGTCTTAACTTATTTTTCTTTTTTAAAGATTTTATTTATTTGGCAGAGAGAGACAGCGAGAGAGGGAACACAAGCAGGGGGAGTGGGAGAGGGAGAAGCAGGCTTCTCGCTGAGCAGGGAGCCCAGTGCTGGGCTCAATCCAGGACACTGGGATCATGACCTGAGCCGAAGGCAGATGCTTAACGACTGAGCCAGCCAGGCGCCCCTGTCTTAACTTATTCTTAATATGTAAATTATTTTTAAGTGATTGTCACATTTTTAAGCTTATGTGAATGTTTTTACATTCTGTATACTTTTAAATCTCGTTCAGAAAATGGTTGAGGTGAAGGCTCGTGACTTTGAGTGGGTTTTGTTGAATGTGTGATTTTCCCAAATGTTACCCCATCAAGGGTTCTAGGCAGGAGCAGGGCCTAGTCCATGGGAGGCACTTAACTGTTTGTGGAATGAGTGAGTGGGTTCAGGAAGTTAGGACATGCTGGCATGTAATTTTGGCAAGCTGAAAGTGTCTTTTAATTTCTAACAGCTCTTGTTGAAGATGTGAATATCTGTCTGCAAGCATGCAGCAGTCTACATGCTTTGTCTTCTTCTTTGCCAGATGATCTTCTACAGAGGTATGGACTAAAGACCCTATCATCTCACCTGATCCTAATAACTTAAAGCTGTTGCCACACTCAACGTTATCTGTTTCATCTTTCTGTAGGTGTGTTGATGTTTGCCGTGTTCAACTTGTCCATAGTGGAACTCGTATTCGACAAGCATTTGGAAAGCTGTTGAAGTCAATTCCTTTAGATGTTGTTTTGAGGTATAACAGTTGTGTTGGAACAAAAGCATCCCACTGTTTAGACTGCCTAGTAGTCCTTTAGGAAGAGACAAATTGCCTAATAGTGAATTAATGTCACATCTTGTATGGCACTTCTCAGTGATTGAAGAGATGTCAGAGGATCAAATTGTGCAGGTCTAGAAGAAAGTAACGAAGTTTAATATTTTTTATAAACTTAGAAGCTCATAATAAGTACTGAATAACTTACATAATGTATATAATAATTTTTTTAAAAAAAGATTTTATTTATTTATTTGACAGAGACAGCAAGAGAGGTAACAGAAGCAGGGGGAGTGGGAGAGGGAGAAGCAGGCTTCCCGCTGAGCAGAGAGCCCAATGCGGGGCTGGATCCCAGGACCCTGGGATCATGACCTAAGCCAAAGGCAGATGCCCAATGACTGAGCCACCCAGGCGCCCCTATATATAATAATTTATATAATATCTAACACATGCCAAAATGTGTTTCTTAGTACAGTTACTTGAAAAATTCAAGTGTAATCTTTATTGTTTTTAAGTTAATTTTCAAGTTGTAACAACATCTCTTATTTTGAAGTCTCAGTTTTATTTTTTCATTTCTACATTTAGTTAGCAAGGAAATAGCCCATTTACAGTATGAAGTAACCTTTTAACTAAAACATTTTGTGTAACAGTGACTTTATTTTCTTTCTCCAGCAATAACAATCACACAGAAATTCAAGAAATTTCTTTAGCATTAAGAAGTCACATGTGCAAAGCACCAAGTAACACATTCCATCCACAAGATTTCTCTGATGTTATTAGTTTTGTTTTGTATGGGAATTCTCACAGAACAGGGTAAGATTTTCTTTGACTCCTTCATGTGCAAAAATAACTTAAATATTCTTGAATATCTTGACCCTATTCCCATTTTGAGGAGAAAATATGTCCGGAGTGGCAGAATAGAAAGTGATATCTTCTCAAATGGGTTATTTTTGTTTTCGGCAGTAAGAAGAATTGCTTTGAAGATAGTATCTGAGGAAACAAAAATGGGTTTTGAGATTGAAATATTTTGACAGTTAACTGCTCTGACCTAGTCATGAATGCTTTGGGGAGAGGCCTAGGGACATAGACATTCTGCAGATGCTTAGTTGCAATGAATGTTTTATCCTGATAGCTGAAGTGTCATAAGCCATTTACCCCTAATAAGCCATCCACACCATACCCCATCCTGTTTTACTGTAAAAGACCTCACAATGAAAGGTAGGGATATAATGCTTCTCAGTGTTAAAGGTTTTGCCTTTTTGAGGTAGGAAAAATTGTAATCCCCTACTCCTATTCCCCTGGCAATTTTTTTTTTTTTTAAATGAATTTGTCATTGTCTGTTAAATATGAAACTGCTTTTCCCAGGAAGGACAATTGGTTAGAAAGATTGTTCTATAGCTGCCAGAGACTGGATAAGCGTGACCAATCAACAATTCCCCGAAATCTTCTAAAGACAGATGCTATCCTTTGGCAGTGGGCTATTTGGGAGGCAGCACAGTTCACTGTCCTCTCTAAGTTGAGAACCCCATTGGGCAGAGCTCAGGATACCTTCCAGACCATTGAAGGTAATCAGCTCTTTGTGCTTTTTCAAACTTTGTGATATAAATACTTTCAAACCCTTCTTATAGTAAGAAATAATGGACTTCTTATCTTTGTTAGAACAAAAATTTGAGAGTATACGCTTTGTTTTTCTTTAATACTCTGACAGTCTTTCAGGTGCTATTTGTTAGAATAAACTTTAATCAAGTAATTGTGTTGACAACAACATGGTTATCTACTTTTGTTCAAAAACTAGGGGATTTGCGTAGAGAAAACATTTTTTTCCCCTAAAATAAGAGATCTTTCATGTTGGGAGTTTTGTTTTTAAATGATGGATGTACAGAGGATGCTTGATAAATGTGATTTTGTGAAATTATCTCCAACTTCTAGACTCTTTAAAGATTTCTTTTAAATTTGGAATGTTGTCTTTGCTTTAAGGTATCATTAGAAGTCTTGCAGCTCACACATTAAATCCCGATCAAGATGTTAGTCAGTGGACAACTGCAGACAATGATGAAGGCCACAGTAGCAACCAGCTTAGACTTGTTCTTCTTCTGCAGTATCTGGAAAATTTGGAGAAGTTAATGTATAATGCATATGAAGGGTGTGCTAATGCATTAACATCACCTCCCAAGGTTGGTTTCAGTGGGCTGAGTGTTGCTTTGTAGCATTTTCATGGGCAAGCCTGGCAATGCGTGTAGAGCTGAAATCACCATACTCTTGTGTATTTGAGACATCTGTACCTAGAATCTTGAAACCAGTCCTGAGTTCTTCTTTTTCTTTATTCTAAAGGTCATTAGGACTTTTTTTTATACTAATCGCCAAACTTGCCAAGACTGGCTGACGCGGATCCGACTCTCCATTATGAGGGTTGGGTTGTTGGCAGGCCAGCCTGCTGTGACCGTGAGACACGGCTTTGACTTGCTTACAGAAATGAAGACAAATCTATCTCAGGTAAAGTGTATTTGGAGTTAATTTTAAATCTGTTAATTAGAAAAATTTGAGTTTAATTCCTTTATTGTGATTTAATCTATGGATGAAATAAGTTAAAATTTCTACTCATTCAAAACTTATATTTCAGAGGTTTTGATTCAATATTTTGTAAAAGCAGTAACTTCCAAAGTCACCTGTTCATATTTTGTGCTTAGAACATGTCAAAATATGTATTACTTATATTTAAGATTGGAACTTTAAAGGTAATTTTTAGAAAGTTTTAGAAGAAAATTCTCATCATAATTTTTAAGAATTGTATAATGTATAGGAACGTATATATAATTTATAATGTATGCAAAGGTACATATAATGTTATATGGGGAAAGTGCTGGCTTATAGATGGGTCCAGTAAGTGGAATCCAAAAATAACAAATGTTTATTTATTTTTAAAGATTTTATTTATTTGACAGAGAGAGACAGTGAGAGAGGGAATACAAGCAGGGGGAGTGGGAGAGGGAGAAGCAGGCTACTCGCTGAGCAGGGAGCCTGATGGGGGCTTGATCCCAGGACCCTGGGATCATGATGTGAACTGAAGGCAGATGCTTAATGACTGAGCCACCCAGGCGCCCTGCAAATGCTTATTAGATATAATATCAGTAAGCAGTATTCAGACATAAAATTAATAATCTTTTAATTCATGGTTATTTATATTTGATTTTTGCTGTGTAATTACTTGACATGTTACTCGTATAGATACCACAGTTTCAATGTTTGGGTAACTTAGTTTGTAAAGATTGACACCCATGTGTTAAGGTTGTTACGTTTTGTAGATACATTATGCGTAAATTTTCAAGAATTCTAATCTAATAATATAATACCATTGTTGTAAAAATAACTGTTAAATACATTGGCCTTTAAATGGGCTTAGATTGTGATCAGTAGTTGTAAATTTAGTAGATACTTAAATTTTAATGGTATTGCGATCTATGATTAATTTTTCTGAATGAACTCTCAGGGGAATGAATTGGAAGTAACCATCATGATGGTGGTAGAAGCGCTGTGTGAGCTTCATTGTCCTGAAGCTATACAGGGACTTGCTGTCTGGTCATCTTCCATTGTTGGAAAGAATCTTCTCTGGATTAATTCAGTGGCCCAGCAGGCTGAAGGGAGGTAAGTTGGAAGGAAGGAAATAGGTGATAGGATGTCTTTACATTTAAATCCTCTATTCCCGGGGCACCTGGGTGGCTCAGTCATTAAGCGTCTGCCTTCAGCTCTCCCTCTCCCACTACCCCTGCTTGTGTTCCCTCTCTTGCTGTGTCTCTCTCTGTCAAATAAATAAATAAAATCTTAAAAAAAAAAAATCCTCTGTATTCCTGGCTAACATTGTAGTTAAATGTTAAAACAGCTTTGTTCACTTTCAGCAGTTGAAATTTGCCGTAAGTCACTTTACTAGGAGTCATCTTTAGTCTGTTCTTTAAGTAGAGCAAAACTTAGATGCCTTTATTTATGGATTAGTAAGCAATCTTCCTTAAAGTAAGATCTGCCCATTGTTTTGTAAATTAATTTCTTTCTTTCTCTCTCCTTCCTTCTCTCTTTCTCTCTCTCCTTCTCTTTCTTCCCCTATTTCTTTCCATCTTTCGGTCTCTCTTTCTTGATAGGGAGCAGGGAAAAGGGACAGAGGGAGAGGGAGAGAGAATTTCAAGGGAGCTCCATGCCTGGCACAGAGCCTGATGTGGGGATTGATCTCATGGCCCTGAGATCATGACTTCAGCCTAAATCAGGAGTCAGACGGTTAACCAACTGAGCTACCCAGGCGCCCCATACTTGTTCTATATATTTTTGAATTTGATCCGTAATTGATAACCTTTCATTTCAGAGTCTGGTACAAACTAGAGTACTTGCTCATTAGCCCTGTGTACTCAGCATTTAAACTTTCGTGATTTCGCTAGGTAAATGAACATGAACCATAATAGTCTGTGTGTATTTTTGTCAGTTTTACCAAATCTTGAAAATGTAGGAAATAAAGAACTGCTCATAATTCCATCTGCCAGTGAAAACTGTTAGTTTTGGTGTACATGCCATTTTAGTTCTTTTTTTCTTTCATATAGTCTTCCCAGAAATCACTGTTTTTGCTGGTTACTTCATTTTGCTTTTGCCACTCAGCAATATTTTAAAAAATATTTTTCTATGTTAAATATTCTACAGTGTTAATTTTATTGGAAGGCAAGGTTATTTTTGATGTTTTTTACTAATCTTAATGTACCATGGCACTTAATTTCTTAACCTGTAGCTTATAGTTGTGTTTATTTTCTTTGAATTCATTCCTTCAAGTTGATTTACTAGAACAAAGGCTATAAACCATAAGGCTTATGGTACATTCTTTTGCTAAGTTACTGTACAGAAAACTTTTCCAGTTTAATCCTTAATAGAAGAATAATAACCCCTTCCCTTCACCTTTGTTGAGTACTGAGGGTCAGCCCTGCCATCATCATCAGTGAAGATAGTTTTAATTTACATTTGTTTATTAATGATTAATAGTAGGACTTTCCCCATATGTTCTGTTGATCATTTGTGATTTTTTAAAATGTAGATTATGTCTTCATGGGCTCTCATTTTTTCCCGTATTGATCTGTGAGATTTTATTATACAGTAAGATTGTTGATGCTATCTAATTCTTGATTTGTAATTTGTTTTTAATATTTATGGTGTTTTTGGTACTTAAAAGTTTCAAATTATGTCAGTATCTGTTACTTTATGAATTCTTTTTAAAAATTCTTCTTTTTAGCCTTTGTGTACATTGAAATCAGATACTTATCAGTATTTTCTGTTATATATATATTTTTTTGTTTTGTTTTTTTTAAAGATTTTATTTATTTATTTGAGAGAGAGAATGAGAGAGAGAGAGCGCACATGAGAGGACGGAGGGTTAGAGGGAGAAGCAGACGCCCTGCTGAGCAGGGAGCCCGATGCGGGACTCAATCCAGGGACTCCAGGATCATGACCTGAGCCAAAGGCAGTCGCCTAACCAACTGAGCCACCCAGGCGCCCTGTTATATATATTTTTTAAAGTAAAGGATACCTTTGTGGTTTTTCCCTAAGATTTTATTTATTTATTTGAGAGAAAGGCAGAACAAGTGGTGGGAAGGGGCAGAGGGAGCGAGAGAGAAGCAGACTCCCTGCTGAGCAGGGAGCCTGCTGCGGGGCTTGATCCTGGGACCCTGAGATGATGACCCGAGCCTGAGGCACTTAACCGCTTAACTGACAACCACCCAGGCGCCCCTTCTGTTACTGTATTATGCCTTTTTTTTCTTTTAAGATTCTATTTATTTATTTGAGAGAGTTGTGCACAGTAGGGAAGGACAGAGGGAGAGGGTGAAAGTCTGAGGAGACTCCACACTGAGTGAGACGCCTGATGCGGGGCTTGAGATCATGGCCTGAGCAGAAACCAGGAGTCCAGACGCCCAACCAACTGCGCCACGCAGGCGCCCCTCCCTGTTTTTTCTTTTTTGAATTTATTTTCATTTGTTGTGAGGAAAAAAATATAATTTTGTTTACTTCAACCCCACACAAAATAATTAACTCATTGTCTCCACTCGGTTTATTTATTTCCTTGCTCAATTTGTTGAGTGATTAATTTTTTCTTTGGAAGTGAAATCTGTGGATAATTAAAAATAAAGACTGTTTGAATTTGCATTAAAGGTTTGAAAAGGCCTCTGTAGAGTACCAGGAGCACTTGTGCGCCATGACAGGTATTGATTGCTGCATCGCCAGCTTTGAGAAATCTGTTCTCACGTTGGCCAACGCTGGGCGTAACAGTGCCAGCCCCAAACATTCTCTGAACGGTGAGCATCTGGAATTTAAATAAAAAGCTATAGTCAGATAGTTTGTACTGATGATCTTACTGTGTATTTTTAGATTTCTGTGCTCTTTAAAATATTTATAACTGCCCTGGATCTCTCTGTTTTATGAAATACATTCACTCAGGTGAATCCAGAAAAACTGTGTTGTCCAAGCCAACTGACTCTTCCCCTGAGGTTATAAATTATTTGGGAAATAAAGCGTGTGAGTGCTACATTTCCATTGCTGATTGGGCTGCCGTACAGGAGTGGCAGAATGCTATCCACGACTTGAAGAAGAGTACCGGCAGCACTTCTCTCAACCTGAAAGCTGATTTCAACTACATAAAGTAAGGACTTTTTTTCATTTAAATAAATTTTCAGTAGCTTTAAAGTCTTCCTCTCTGGCAGAAAAATACTAAAATTGGTCATATCTACTATTGCAAGATACTTGAAGTGCTAATAATATTGCTGTTTGAAAATGACTACAATGAGAAACCAACATTAGAGGTGAGGAAGGTATTCATGCAGTGGAAAAACAGTCTTGTCACTGTTGAAACAGTCATTCGATATTGATTCTTAGAGCTTACAAAATAAACATAAAGAGAAATTTGTTAACTGCTTTAGAAAAGGTCACATTTGATGACTGTTTCTAAAGTAGGTTTGAATTGATTGAAAATATTCTAAGGAGTGCAGAGTTTATGAATATTTGTAGATTAAATTCCCTTTCTTGTCTTTTTTCTTCTTCTTGTTCCTCTGTGTATTAATCCCTTAATTTTAAATGTATGTACTGGGGGTGCCTGGCTGTCTCAGTCGGTAGAGCGTGCGACGCTCAATCTTGGGGTCATGAGTTCTAGTCCCACATTGGGTGTCGAGATTACTTAAATAAATAAATATTTAAATTGAAAAACCCCACAAAGTATATGTAGTGAATTAATCCTTTAATTCAAAATCTGCATACCCGTAAGTGGCTTGGACACGGGTCATTAGCTGTCCTTCCCATTGAGAAGCCCAGCTTCTAAAAAGTAAATGTTAATGGGTAATTTCTCCATTGAGCATGTACTCTATGCCAGTCAATGGGGTGCAACATTTCATGAAACATGAATTCTGACCCTTAAGGAGCTCCTTTCTAGAGGAGACACAGACACACAGACAAGGTTGGGAATGCCATCAGCATGACATTTGAGCAAAGACTTGAGGAAACAGATCTGATGGAAGAATGATGTGCTTTGAGTGTTCTGGAAATACCGGAGGCCACTCTTGTTGAAGCAGAGTGAATAATAAGAGATAAGGGTAGAGAGTAGGAGGGAACTGTGAGGAGGACTTCGACTCCTAATAAGAGAGAAAATCTTAGGTGAGATTTGAACAGGAGAGGCATGTCCTGATCTGACTTAGTAGTTCACTCTGCTGTGTTGTGAAGAGACCGTAGGTGGATTGATGGCAAGGGTGGCGGCATGTAGACCACTAATCTGTGGGTCAAAGGTAGAGGGAGAAACAGACACTATTAATTGAAGTAGGAGCACACAGAACAATGAGGTGTGTTTAAGGTGCAAATGAAACATGCAGAGGAGATTGTTTAATAAGCAATTAAGAATTGGATTTGGAGCAAAGGAGAAAAGTCTAAGATAGAGAATGATTTGGGGATCATTTGCATGTAGGTGACAGTAAAAAACCTTCGTTTAAACTCTATACTCCAGAGCCTTTGTAATCTACTCAGTTACAGATAAAGCTCTGGGGATGAGTGAGTGAAAAGTAAAGAGGGCCAAGGACAGAATCGTTACGAGCATCTTTTTTAAAGGAGGGGAGGTGAAGCCATTGATAAAAAAACACAAAGACACTGAGGAAGGAAGAGTTCCGAGATGTAGGAGAACCAGACTGGGGTAGTCTGCCTTGTTAGGCGCTCCAGAGACTGCACGCAAGAAGAGCTTTGGAGAGAGAGAGAGAAGGAGAAGCAGCCAGGCTGAATACTATTGAGTAGTGAAGAAACTTGGAAATCAAAAGCTATCTAAAGATTACTTGGGTAGTGAGTTTTTCATGAAGTCAAGGAGAGGAAGCTGTGGCTGGAGGAGAATGTTGTGTATTGAAGTATTGGAGAGATTAAGTGTTCTTTTAAGCTCAGGGGAAGGAGTGACTAGAAAGCAGAGGTTGAAGAAACAGGTTAAAGAACATTGATTGAAGGATTACCTGGAAAAAAGGACCCACCTTTTTTGCACCCAAGGAAAGTAGTTGGATATGGACAGAGTTTTGGGAGCGGGTAGATGGTGGATTAAGAGTAGAAGAAATGAAAGCCTGTGGGGCTGTGTGTGTGTGTGTGTGTGTGTTTTGAGGAGTCTGTCATTAGCTGAGAGTGTGAGGGCATTGTAGAGCCTAGTGGGGAAGCAGGGAACCTACCACTGGAGAGGAGTCAGACCCTGTAGCAGCAGGAATGATAAGGGTGTTGTTACCAAACCTCGACAGTTCATCAGTTGCGGCTCTAATGAGAAGCGCGTGGTTGCCTTGGCCCAGCCTTGGAGCTTTTAAGGGGGAGGCAGATGCAGTCATTGATGTTACATTTCTAGTGCTGGATTCAGGCTGCATTGTAAGGGAGGGGACAAGAAAAGAAGAGTAGATTAATGGAAAAGAGAGAGATTAAGAAATGGAGTCGTTGTCTTGGTTGGAAAGCAGCTATAGTAGGAATGGGAACAGAGTGTTCTGAAAGTAGCAGACAGTAGGTAGGGAGCTAGAAGGCCTCTCGTCCTAGCATTGACGCTACATGACTAAAGGAGTTTCAGAGGCATGAGGAGATGGAAAGGAAGAATTCAGATGACATAAGGAGATGGAAAGGAAGAATTCTTTTAAAGAAGAGAAACAGCGGGGTGCCTGGGTGGCTCAGTCGTTAAGCATCTGCCTTTGCTCAGGTCATGATCCCAGGGTCCTGGGATCGAGCCCCACGTTGGGCTCCCTGCTCAGCGGGAAGCCTGCTTCTCCCTCTCCTACTCCCCCTGCTTGCGTTCCCTCTCTCGCTCTCTGTCAAATAAATAAATAAATAAAATCTTAAAAAAAAAAAAAAAACAGCTTCTATGAAACACGTTGATCAGGGAGAGAGGGAGGGAGGCCAGTAGTGAAAGGTGGGATGAGATGGAAGGCTAAGATAATAGAACAGGAGCCCTCCAGGGGCCTGGGCTTTAGGTGGGGAATGGGGCCATGTAGCGAATTTAGAGGTAGTTTGGGGAGAATCACATGTTGGCAATGCCCTGAAAGATCTGTCAGTTTGTTGGATGGTCCCCCAAAGATAACAGGCTACAAAAAGAGGAAGGAAACATGGAGGGGTGAGTATGCTAAACTGTGAATGACTACGATAGCTGTAGCTTTCTGGTTTGCCACTCTGATTTTAGTGCTAATTAAATTGGTAGTCACATCTTCAAAATAAAAAAATGATGGCCTACATAGGAGGAACCTCATCAAGAGAATGCTGTGTAACTGTGCTGTGTTTTTCTGGAATTTGTTCTACTTTTTTTGAATGATCCCACAGGCTGGATAAGTGTAATACAAGCTAACTGGTATTTTAATTACAGATCACTAAGCAGTTTTGAATCTGGAGAATTTGTTGAATGTACTGAGCAATTAGAATTGTTACCAGGAGAAAATATCAGTCTACTTGCTGGAGGATCAAAAGAGAAAATAGGTATTTGAAATAATAATCTTAGAATTAAGTATTTTATAGACAAGTTGCTCAAGATGTTTGGCTTAGTATTTTACTGGAAAATCTGGAAGTTTTTGTACATTTATTTTGGAGCAGAATCATATGTGAAGGAACATCTTTAGGTCTGTTTTACTTTGATTTGGCAAATAAAAATAGTTTAAGTAAAATTAAACTAAAAAAAGACTATCGTGACTTTGAGATTTATCTAGCCACGTTTGAAAAAGTTTAAGTAGTCTTTAAGCTAAATATTTTTCTTGACCTTTGACTGTGGTTCATTAACTTTCTTACCACAACTGGAACATTGTGTAAAATATTACACTAAAGTTAGTATGGTGAGTGGTTTGTGTGTTAGCATTGAGTTGCTAGATTCAGTAAGGTTTGCAAAGTAGGGCTAGATTTGCCCCTTTAAATGTAGTAGGTTGATTTACTGATTTTGCAACTTTGGAAATCAACTGTTTTGAGGCAGGTCTGAGATACAATTTGAATATGGACTATTTTTTTATATAACTATCAGAAATGCTTAGTCATAGTGTTCAGCTGGCTGAATTTAAATATGAAAGAATGTTTTCATTGGTGATAACTTTTCAATACTGTCAAAATATCTTATCACTCTTAACACATTAAAAGCAAATTAACTTCATGGAATTTATTTAACTTCTGTAGATATGAAAAAACTGCTTCCTAATATGTTAAGTCCTGATCCAAGGGAACTTCAGAAATCCATTGAAGTTCAGTTGTTGAGAAGTTCTGTTTGTCTGGCAACCGCTTTAAACCATATAGAACAAGATCAGAAGTGGCAGTCCATAACTGAGTAAGTTTAATCCTAAAGAGGTTGGTGTGCACTATGTATACCGTATGGTAAATCTATGTGCTTTGGGGAGGAGTCGATTACGTGATCACTACAGTGTTAGTCATGACAGCTTCATTTTTGTTGTAGAAGTCGTATGATACAAGAATGCCACTTGGCAACATATATACAACATATATAGAGGTTGAAACTAAACTATAGAAATCCCCAGAAGCATGTCTTGACTTGCTTATGTAATTTTACTAAATAGGGCAGGCAGCTCCTCTTCCTTCCTCCTCTTTGGATGCCACTGTAGTAGCATCTTACCAAACCACCTTATCCCTTCAGTGATTACACAGGTTGGAAAATCTCATTTATTAATTGACAGTGAATATTTTGTTTCAGAAATGTGGTAAAGTACTTGAAGCAAACCTCCCGCATAGCTATTGGACCACTGAGACTTTCTACTTTAACAGTTTCACAGTCTCTGCCAGTTCTAAGTACCTTACAGCTGTATTGCTCTTCTGCTTTGGAGAACACAGTTTCTAGCAGACTTTCAACAGAGGTGTGTATATGTGTGTCCTTATCAGGATGTTCTTCTGAACATTAATAGGCATTTGTGTGGGAAAAAAAAATTTTTTTTTTTTAAGATTTATTTATTTGAGAGAGAGCATGGAGAAGGGGCAGAGGGAGAGGGAGAAGGGGCAGAGGGAGAATCTCAAGCAGACTCCCCGCTGAGCCTGGAGCCCAGCTTAGGGCTCAATTCCACACCTTTGAGATCATGACCTGAGCCAAAACCAAGAGTCAGATACCCAACTGACTGAGCCACCCAGGCACCCCAAGATTTTTTTGAATTTTTAAAGTAGCATTTGTTGGACAAGCTAGTAAACCCAGAAATCTAAAATGTCATTTTCAGGCGCATTTTCATTTGAGAAGTGTGTGAGGCAGTTGAAGGAACCTAAGATGTATCATTTCAAGGATGGCTAATTGCTTAATTTTTTTCCTTTTTTCCTTTTTTTTTTTTTGGAAGAAGGGTTGGTGTATATAAATATAAATGATAGGTGTTATAAATTGTAGATTTGATTAAAACAAAGACTCTCTTGGGCACCTGGCTGGCTCAGTTGGTAGAGCATGCAGCTCCTGATCTCAGGGTTGTGAGTTCAAGCCCCACATTGGGCGAAGAGCTTACTTTAAAAAAAAAAAAAAAAAGTTAATAATAATAATGATGACACCTCATCCTCTTCCAGATAGGGTAAAGTTTAAACCAAAGATGGGCCCTTCCCAAGGGAATTATAGTCTTTGAGAATCTGCTTATAAAGCCAATAGTTTTATGTTTCTCTGTAATTCAGCTTCTTTATAGTAAATATGCTGTGTTTATTTTTTATAAAATGTGCTTTATTCAGTATATTGATAAATTGGAATTTTTTTTCCCCCCAAAATAAAGATTTTGCTCTTACAATGTCTTTCCTCTTGTGATCAGAAGATAGTGAAGAAAGTGGAGAGTTTAATTAGATGAGCCTGGAGTAGTTGGCTTATGGGGGGTACAGCTTACCTCAACCTACGAATATATAAGGAGGCTGTTTACATTAAGAGGTTTTGGTTTTTCCTCTGGCAGGATTGTCTTATTCCACTCTTCAGTGAAGCTTTGCGTTCATGTAAACAGCATGATGTGAGGCCATGGATGCAGGCATTAAGATACACCATGTACCAGAGTCAGTTGTTGGAGAAAATAAAAGGTAATTAGGTTGGTTTTTTACTAGCTTTGATTGAGATACAGTTTTTTAATAGCTTTGATTGAGATATAACTTACACATTTTAAGTGTACAATTCCATGAGTTTCGACACATCTTCACCAGTGTAACCACCAATATAATCAGGATACAAAACATTGACCTTACCCCGTAAAGTTTCCTTATGCCTCTTCCCAGTCACCTCTCCCATCTGTCCTGTCCTGGACAACCGCTGATTTGTCTTCTATCACTGTAGATTAGACATGTCTTTTTTTTTTTTTTTTTAAGATTTTATTTATTTATTTGACAGAGAGACACAGCGAGAGCAGGGGGAGTGGGAGAAGTAGGCTCCCAGCCAACCAGGGAGCCCCATGCGGGGCTCGATCCCAGGACCCCGGGATCATGACCTGAGCCGAAGGCAGACGCTTAACGACTGAGCCACCCAGGTGCCCCAGATTAGAAATGTCTTTACTAAAGTTTTATTATATAAATGGAGTCCTACAGCTCTCGTGTCTGGCTTCTCTCGTTCAGCATTTTATTTTTAAGGTTCCCCTATGTTTTGTGCAGTAGTACTGTGATCCTTCCTGTTGTTGAGTACTGCCCATTCTATGGGTATACCATAATTTATCTCTGGGTCTTTTGGTGGGTATTGGAGTTGTTTTAAGATTTGGACTATTATGTATAAAACTGCTGTGAAATTCACGTACAGGTCTCTGGGTGGACATATATTTGTGTTTCTCTTGAGTAAATGCCTATGAGTCAAATTGTTGGGTCATATAGTTTAATGTTAAAAATAGTTTGACATTTTTTAAAAAGTGTTTTGTACATTTCTTCTGGCATCTTCATCCTTGGTAGTGCTGGTCTTTAATTTTAGTCACTGGCACCAGTGTATAATAGTACCTCATTGTTTTATTTGCATTTTCCTGGTGATTAATGAGATTGAGCATCTTTTCATTTGCATAGTGGCCATTGTATATCTTACTTTGTTAAGTGTTCAAATCCTGCCCATTTTTAATCAAGTCATAGACTTGTTTATTTGTTCTGGATACAAATTCTTTGTCAGATACAATGTACTGCGAATGTTAAGTTTTAAACACTCCAAATGAATAGAGAAGTAGTACTTGTATATATAGGGGCACCTGGGTGGCTCAGTTGTTAAGCGTCTGCCTTCGGCTCGAGTCATGATCCCAGGGTCCTGGGATCGAGCCCCGCATCGGGCTCTTCGCTCTTCGGGAAGCCTGCTTCTCCCTCTCCCACTCCCCCTGCTTGTGTTCCCTATCTCGCTGTGTCTCTCAAATAAATAAATAAAATCTTTAAAAAAAAGTACTTGTATATGTATTAGTAGGTCTCTTTTTTTTTAAGTAGGTCTCATTTTTAAATTTTTTAAAATTTTTTATTTTTAGTAGGTCTCATTTTTAAGAAAGAAATGTCTATCATGTTAAAGGGATGCTAGCAATTTACTTTATTGATTAAAAATTGAAAAGTTGCCAGAATTCTGTAGAAGGTTAGTTGAAAATGTAGCTAAGGTTACTGAATACATTTGTGTATTAAATTTCAAGTAAGGTTTTGGTGGGGTATGGACTTGGATTGCAGAGTGATTGCTGGGAACTGTGACTCACGTGGACCTTCCTTGCCATATATACTTGGGTTGGATCCTTAGCCCAACGTTTGCAAGTGGAAGGACCTTAGGGCAAGCCCATTAAACTTCTGAGTCACTTTCCTCTTCAGTTATGGGTATTTACTTGCTCAGGAGATTCTTATAAGGATTACAGGAAATAGCACAGAGCATGGCATATACTAGGACTACAAATATCATCCTTTCTCATCCTTCCGTTATTGAACAAGTTTTAAAATTGGGAATAAAAAGTCAGTAACCCAGCGGTTATAGTTGGAGACAGAATTCCACTCCTCCTCACTTTTTTTCCTTCTTCAGCAAGTGCTTATGAAGTGTGTACTTTGTGCCACGTATTGTGCTCCAAGTTGGGATGTAACGGTGAACAGGACAAGCCTGTTTTCTGCATTCCAGGGACCACAGTGATTCTAAAGTCAGTAGGGAAATCGTCAAACAAGGAACAGCAGTATGGTGTGCTGAGTGGAAGTGCTTGTACATGGTGCTAAGGAACAAGGGCACAGATTGAATCCTAGGGATCAGTTAGAACAGGATTTGGGGAGGAAGTAACATTTAAGCTGATACATAGGGAGGTAGGGATGAGATGGAAGGCAGTAGAGTGGTTGGAAAAAAATAAGTGAAGGCCAGCGGCATTAATGAAAGATTCTTAGGTGACAGTTTGCCTAAGGGAGAGTGGGAAGAGAGGAAGCTGAAGGAGATTGAGATTGGAATGAAATGCAAGACATCAGTGCCTTTCAAGGCAAATTCAGGAGTTGGGGTTTTGTCAGGGGCGGTGGGAAGCCATCAAAGGGAAGTTTAAAGTTCATATTTACCTTTGTGTAAGATATTTCATTTGCAGGTTGGAGAATGGACTAGAAGAGGGTAAGACTGGGGGCAGAGGGACCAGGTAGGCTGCCACTACCAGTTAGGTAGTGGCAGTAGGGATAGAAAAAAATGGATACGATATATGGGCTGCAAGTAGAGTCTTAGGATGACTGGCAGGCACCTGCTCAGGTAGCCAGGTTGATCATATGCCTTTCCTTGAGAAAGGAATAACAGGAGAAGGAAGTAGAAGGTTTGGAGGGTGGTAGAAAATGGATTCCACTTGACACAGGTTAAAAGTGCCCTTTAAATACCTGAGTATAGGTGACTGGTAAGCAGGTGGGACTCAGATGTCAGATCCGGCTAGAGATAAAGAGTGAAGAGTCATCAGCATTTATATGGTAATTGAAGCTACAGGAGCAGATGATACTGTCCAGGGAGAATATGCAGAGTAAGAAGAGTAGAGAGCCTAGGACCGACCCTGAGGAACACCAGTTTTAATGGATAGGTAGTGGATGAGAAGGAGACTGAGGATTCTTCAGAAAGGTAGGAGTGAACCAAGAGAGAATGGCATGATAGAACGGCAGCGGGTACTTAACACAAGAGAGAGATGGTCTGGCCTTATTCTCTTTCCCCACCCTCTGGCCTAGTCCCTTTACTAAAAAGATCTAGAAACTGAAAAGCTAATTTCTTGTAGTGAATGATTTTTACTTTGCTTCATCGTTTGCTTATTTATATTTTAACAAACATGTACCGTTTATTGTATGCCAAGCACTGTGCTAGCTGCTAGGAATTTAAAGCTTAGCCTAATCACCTTTATTTAGGGAGTTGATAGGGAAGGGAAAATGGCTGGGGAAGAATTTTTGGCCATGTGTCTGTGCAGTCTGGGCTAGACCAATCAAGGACTAATGAAACGTTTTCTTTTCTCCAGAACAAACAGTTCCAATTAGAAGCCATCTCATGGAATTAGGTCTAACAGCAGCAAAATTTGCTAGAAAACGAGGGAATGTTTCACTTGCAACAAGACTCCTGGCACAGTGTAGTGAGGTTCAGCTGGGAAAGACTACTACTGCACAGGATTTAGTCCAGCATTTTAAAAAACTATCAACTCAAGGTCAAGTGGATGAAAAATGGGGGCCTGAACTTGACATTGAAAAAACCAAATTGCTATATACAGCAGGTTAGTAAAGTGAAATGTGGTTAATGTCTGACTAAAATGAAGATCATGTGTATGAAAATGTGTATGCTATAAGGCAATATTAGAAAAGCTGATTTTTGTTTCAACTGTGGCAGAATATTTGCACCTTGAATAATAAATTACCTGTAATTGACTTACCTTTGGAATTTGGTGCTTTTAGAACGGTAATTTTGTTATAGTGTATCAAAGTAAGATGTATCTAGAGATCATTGATTACCACCAAATTTACATTGTTACTTTACCCTGAAATACTGTTAATCATTTGCATATAAGGCTTCTAAGGGCTGGTTTTTGGTTTTCTATAGGCCAGTCAACACATGCAATGGAAATGTTAAGTTCTTGTGCCATATCTTTCTGCAAGTCTGCCAAAGCTGAATATGCAGTTGCCAAGTCAATTCTGACACTGGCTAAATGGATCCAGGCAGAATGGAAAGAAATTTCAGGGCAGCTGAAACAGGTTTATAGAGCTCAGCAACAGCAGAACTTCACAGGTCTTTCTACTCTGTCTAAAAACATACTTGCTTTAATAGAACTGCCATCTGTTAATACAATGGAAGAAGAGTATCCTCGGATTGAGAGTGAATCTACAGGTAGGCTTTCTTTATTTTACTAGCTTTAAAATACCAATTTTAGAAGTTATTTCTCCACTGTTTTAAAATTTACAATGTTAAGCTGGCTGTAACTTGCCGCAAAAATTGTTTGCATGGAAATTTTGTATACTATACCGTTTGGAAGTAACTAAAACACATTTCTTTAGTATTTAATGCCACTGTGGAAGTCACCTAACTCTGCTGACTTCTGGCCTTCCCAGGCCACAGTGCTTTTATGGACTTGGATGTTTTTGCCGGCAAGAAGGTCCTGCTCCAGATACCTAAATCCCACCTCACGCTGGAAGGAGCAAGAAAGATACACGGTAGTTGCCTGTGGTCTCCTTGGCTCCTAGAGCACAGAAGCTCTAGAAGATGAAAGTTTCACATTCTGACGCTAGTGCTAGTAATAGAAAGGTACTTGACAAATAGGGTAGTTCATTCAGTGTTGGAGTGTCTGTTCTGTCCAGGTTTTACAGAGTGGGAGATAGTTAACCTCTTTGCTGATGAGAATATACTTTCATTTTTGTTGTAATGAAGCCTAGGCTTTTAATTACTTAGGTTGGTCTTATAAAGTAATTATAATCTATGTAATTTACAGTCTTGATATTCATAAGGGATGTGTCCTGTGATTTTTATAAATTTTGGCAAATGGCATTATAGCAGGTGTGAATAAAGATATTTACCTCATGAATTTTTTGACTGAATGAGATTGTATACTGATCACCTATATATTATTTTTGCCAGAATGTTCAAGCTTAGCCTAATCACGAGGAAAGAGCCAGTCATATCTAGAATTCAAGACATTGTACAACACGTGTGACACCTGTGTTGTCATGAGAGATATTTATGCAGTTTACAGGGTGATAATTTAAGCTGACTTGTGAAGCTGAGTGATTTCAGTATATTAGCCTTTTAGAAAAGCATAGTAAAAATGTGTTCTTTGATCAAATTTTACTGTAATATTCTGGAACTTAGTGATAGCTTACGGAAAATAAATCCCTAAAATGTTGGTAGGAATGCCATTTGAAATTTATGAAGGTAACATTGCTGAGTCCTTTCTTTCTTTCTTTTTTTTTTCCATTATGGCAGTGCATATTGGAGTTGGAGAACCTGACTTCATTTTGGGACAGTTGTATCACCTGTCTTCAGTACAGGCACCTGAAGTAGCCAAATCTTGGGCAGCATTGGCTAGTTGGGCTTATAGGTGGGGCAGAAAGGTGGTTGATAATGCCAGGTATGTATGTTGAAATGTGTAATTTATTTACTGCATTACAGGATAGAGATTTGAAATGTCTGCTGACATGTTTTGGTAGCTTGACATGACAAGTTTTGGTAGCTGGAACCAGTGACTTGTTTATTTTTATAGTCAGGGAGAAGGTGTTCGTCTGCTGCCTAGAGAAAAATCTGAAGTTCAGAATCTGCTTCCAGACACTATAACTGAAGAAGAAAAAGAGAGAATATATGGTATTCTTGGACAGGCTGTGTGTCGCCCAGCGGGGATTCAGGCAAGGGAAACATCATACGGTCTTTGGGGAGAAATGGTGTCAAGATCACTTTTATTAATTCATTGATTTTGAAGAGGTTGATCACATATACTTGATTAAATGTTGAATGGGGTTTAGGCAGTTACTGTTACAAATGAAAACTTTTGAGTTTTAATTATGATACTTCTCTAAGGAGAATGTAATACCTTGAGAAATCATTTCCTTAAGGTCCTGTTACAATAGGTGAAGTTTGTTTTATGTGAATTAAATTTCTCTTTTAATCGTTGATAAGAAATTAGGTTTTTAACACTAGCTTGGGACCTTTCAAAGTACACCAGTGCCTGAATACCACCCCAGATACTCTTGAGTGGGAAGTGGGTGTATGTATTTAAGCTTACTCGGTGATTCTAATTCATAGCTGGAGTTGAAAACCAGTAGACTAAATGAGCTGTAGGATTTATTCTCTCTCAGCTCAGAGTTCTATTAATTCTAGAATGTTAGAGCTGTTGAGATTTTAGATAGACTTTAAAAGTGTGGATTTTATTTCATAGGCTAAACTGTACTGACTCATCTTGCTCTAGACCAGCATGTGTCATGTGTGCCAGAGCTGGCATTATGTCTGTGCCCATTACTATAAAGAGAGGAAAGTCTTTTGTGAGTGAATTCTGTTTACATTCAAGCCCCAAACTGGAACAGATTACATTTAATGTTCTGCAAGCAGAATATTTACTGTAACTTAGAAGCATTTAAAGTACCAAAAAAAAGGGTCTTACATCCTTCATTAGCTGCATCAGTAAGTACATCATAGAGTGGCTCAATGATACTGCTGTAGCATGTATGAAACTAGATGTGAAGTAATGTTTCGTAGATGAGAAAAATGCTTTCATAGGATAGGAAAATCATGTACCCCCCCCACTTTTCTTTTGTGTTAAAAAAACAGCATTTTATGCCCCAATTTTCTTCAGGATGAAGATATAACGCTTCAGATAACAGAAAGTGAAGATAATGAGGAAGATGACATGGTTGATGTTATCTGGCGTCAGTTAATCTCAAGTTGCCCGTGGCTTTCAGAACTTGATGAAAGTGCGACAGAAGGAGTTATTAAAGTGTGGAGAAAGGTTGTAGATAGGATCTTCAGCCTGTACAAGCTGTCTTGCAGCGCGTATTTTACTTTCCTTAAACTCAATGCTGGTCAGGTAGGTAGCACGGTGTTCGGTTCTAAGAAAATGTACTTGACGTTTCTTTCCTAGCAGATGAAAACAATGTTCTTATTTCTGCCTTTCACCTTCCCCCCTTAGATTCCTTTAGATGAAGATGACCCTAGGCTACATTTGAGTCACAGAGCAGAGCAGAGTACTGATGATGTGATTGTGATGGCCACACTGCGCTTGCTCAGGCTGCTCGTCAAACATGCTGGCGAGCTGAGGCAGTATCTGGAACATGGCTTGGAAACAACGCCTACTGCCCCATGGAGAGGTAGTGGTCTAAGTGAAATGTTTGAGGAAAAGTTATTTCTGGGTGAGATACATAAGACAATAAACAAGCATTGTAGTTTCTTTATGTTTATTATTTTAGTGTGTTACAGAATACCTACATCAGTTGATTAGGACACCATGAACTGCATGTGACATACTCTTCTCTCTTGCCTTTCAGAGAACTAGAAGGGTGACAGGCAGGAGCTTTATGGATACAAAGTGAATTTTGGAGACAGTGGTGAAAATAAGTTTCAAAAATTTTTGTATGCCCTTTGTTAAAAATTATCTCTGTCTTTTACAGGCATTCGTAGAAAATACATTTTGCCAGAACATTGTTGAATTGCTTTGCATTTTGATTATAGCTCTAATGAAACTTGCAAAATAAGAACTATTGTTAGGTTCTTTGTTAACACAGGGAGAAATTTGAGGCCCTTAAAACTGATTCTGACACACATGAGGTTTTATGCTTTTGCATCTACTATGTTGACAGCTTTTAATAACTTTAAAGTATCCTTCTTTCTTCTTATCCTGAAGGAATTATCCCACAGCTTTTCTCACGCTTAAACCATCCTGAAGTATATGTGCGCCAAAGTATTTGTAACCTTCTCTGCCGAGTGGCTCAAGATTCCCCACATCTCATACTGTACCCTGCAATAGTGGGTACCATATCACTTAGTACTGAATCGCAGGCTTCAGGTATGGAATATTAAAATACTGCTACTTTAAGTAGAAATTATTTGGCAGATAATGTGTGTTAGGTAAATTTTTTTCAGCTTTCTGTTACAGAGTTGATGGAGTTTGTGGTTTTTTCCAGTAATAATAATTATTGTTTATTGAGAAAGTAACTGCTATGTCCAGCACTAGGGGATGTACTTTACACATGCTCCTCAGTCTCACAGTAACCCATTTAGGCTTAGAGAAATTGAGTCCGTGATCTCAGGTTCACCGATGAGCTGAGTAAATGGTAGATAAGGATGAAACCAAGCTCTAGACTCTGGCTGTGAGAAAACTGTTGAGACTCATTTTTTTAATTTATCTTCCATTTGCTTATAATATTAATAAATAAAAAAGCTTACTTTGTGAAACGGCAGAATGTCCATGATGTTTGGTTAATTTAATGCATGGAAGGCAAATTCGTTAAGTGAGTGCTGGAGTCGAATAGATTACCAATGTTTTCCTTAACTCAACATATGCGCATAGGAGAAAATCCAAAGTGTACCTAATTCTTCCATTTTCTTATAGGAAATAAGTTTTCCTCTGCAATTCCAACTTTGCTTGGCAATATTCAAGGAGAAGAGTTGCTGGTTTCTGAATGTGAGGGAGGAAGCCCTCCTGCTTCTCAGGATAGCAATAAGGATGAGCCTAAAAGTGGATTAAATGAAGACCAAGCCATGATGCAGGATTGCTATAGCAAAATTGTAGATAAGCTGTCCTCTGCAAACCCAACTATGGTGTTACAGGTACAAAACACAATTCGTATGTTTTTAAACAATTTTTATTATATTCCCCTCTCCCCCAAAAAACAACCTAAAAACAAAACCCATAAAAACTGTCATGGAAATATTTGAAGAACAAAAAGGCTTTTGGAATAATTGAAATTGGCTTTACAATTCAGTATTGGTTTTATAAGTCTGTGTTTATAGAATTAGTAATCAAGGTTCTCTGATTGAATAATGAACAAAAAATGCACACACGGAACTTGTAGTTTCTAGTGTTTGCAAAACTGCTGTGTGTGAACTTGTAGAAGAGCATATTTGCATGTACTGTGCGTGCAGGTTCAGATGCTTGTGGCTGAGCTGCGCAGGGTTACTGTTCTCTGGGATGAGCTCTGGCTGGGAGTTCTGCTACAGCAACACATGTATGTCCTGAGACGGATCCAGCAGCTGGAAGATGAGGTGAAGAGAGTCCAGAACAACAATACCTTACGCAAGTATGTTTTCATACACTTTTACTCTGAAAATGAAGCTACCTCCCACTCCCCCTTTTTAATGTAAAATATACAAAACATAAAACTTGTTATTTTAACCAATTTTAAATGTATAATTGAGTCACGTTAAGTTTACAGTGTTGTGCAACCATCACTGCTGTTCATTTCAGGAACTTATTCATCCCAAACATAAGCTCTGTACCCACTAAACAGTAACTCTCCATTGCCCCTTAACCCTAGTGCCTCTTTATCACTATTCTTCTTTTTGTCTCTGTGAATTTGACTACTCTGAGTACCTCATGTAAGTGGAATCAAAGGTATTTTTCCCTTTGTGTCTAGCTAATTTCACTTAGCATGTTTTGAAGGTTCATCCAAGTTGTAACATGTATTAGAATTTCCTTCCTTTAGCACTGAGTAATACTCCATTGTATGGATATACCACATTCTGTTTTGCAGTCATCTGTCAATGGACATTTGGGTTGCCACCTTTTGGTTATTGAGAACAGGGTTTCTATGAACAACAGTGTACAAGTATCTGACCCCCTGTTTTTTATTATTTTGTATATGATCCAATGGATTTGCCTGGGTCATAGTGTTACTCTATGTTTAACTTATGGGGGGATCACTAGCCTGTTTTCCTGCACCACTTTACATTCCCACCAAAAGTGCACGAGTGTTCCAGTATCTCCATATCTTCGCCAGTATTTGTTATTTCTTGTTTTTTAATATGGTAGACATCCTAATGCATATGAAGTGGTATCTCATTGTGGTTTGGACTTGCATTTCTCTAACAACTCATGATGTTAAACATCTTTTTGTGTGCCTTTCGATCATTTGAATATCTTCTTACACGAAATGTCTATTCAAGTCTTTTCCCCATTTTTGAATTGGGTTGTTTGGGGAGGTTTTGTTATTGATTTAGGAGTTCGCTCTGTATTCTGGATATTAACCCCTTTCAGATACATGATTTGCAAATATTTTTTCCCATTTTGTGCATTCTTTTCACTCTCTTAATAGTGTCTTTTGTTGCTAGTAACCCCGTTTTTCTGTTTTTTTCTTTGTTGCCTATGCCTTGTGCCATACCCAAGAAATGATTGCCAAATCCAGTGTCCAGAAGCCTTCCCCTACATTCTTTCCTTTTTTTTTTTTTTTTAAGATTTTATTTATTTATTTGACAGAGAGAGACAGTGAGAGAGGGAACACAAGCAGGGGCAGTGGGAGAGGGAGAAGCAGGCTTCCTGCTGAGCAGGGAGCCCGAAGTGGGTCTTGGGATCATGACCTGAGCCACACAGGCGCCCCTTCCCTACATTCTTTCCTAAAAGTCTTAGGTCTAAAGGTCTTTGATCCAATTTGGGTTATTTTTTTACATGATCGTATAAGGAAGGTAAGGGTCCGACTTCATTCTTTGAGAGTGGATACCTAGTTTTCTCAGCGCCAGGTGTTGAAAAGCTGCCTCTTTCATGTGCTGGATATTTTTACAATGCTGCGTTTTAAGTTTTAAGTTACTGTGCAAATATTTTATTTATTTTAGCTTATTCTTTGATACTGTTTACTTACATTAGATGCATTTAAACTCTTGTATGTTTGTAAAACTCTCGATGTCTTCCTGGTCAGGGAAGAGAAAATTGCAATCATGCGGGAAAAGCACACGGCTTTGATGAAGCCCATTGTGTTTGCTTTGGAGCATGTAAGGAGTATCACTGCAGCCCCTGCAGAAACACCTCATGAAAAGTGGTTTCAGGATAACTATGGTGAAGCAATTGAAAATGCTCTTGAAAAGCTGAAGACGCCGTCAAATCCTGCAAAGCCTGGAAGCAGCTGGATTCCATTTAAAGAGGTACACAAAAATCTCAAGAATGCTACTAAAATGGGAAATTCTGTATGAGATACAAAATTTGAATATGGGGACTCTCCTTACTTGGAATGTGAAAGATTTTGTAGGCCCATGGAAGGCAGCCTATGACCAGTTGCTTATAAGGAATGTGGAGAGAGGTATTTTCTTCATTTTGAGAATTTGGGAGCTAATGGGCCTAGGGCAGCAAACTTTTATCTATAGAGGGTTCACACTAGGAAGAATATACTGTAAGAAATTAGTTAAGGAAGGGGCCTGGCCTTGAACTAAATACTGATGGCTGGCTTTTTGTCTTCATAAGAGATTACAAAATTTAATCTTCTATATATAGCCTTTCTTAGGGGTGAGTATTAAGTATTTCTAACAGACAAAATATTCACATATAGCAACATCAATATTTTTAAATAACTGAAAATCAATTCTGCATAGGCTATTTGGGGATGATTAGCATATTTAAATATTCGAGAATCCTTATCTTTTTTTTTTTAAGATTTTATTTATTAGAAAGCATAAGAGCGAGCCAGCAGGAGTAGGGGGCAGAGGGAGAGGGAGAAGCAGGCTCCCAATGGAGCAGGGAGAAAAATGTGGGACTCGATCCCAGGAGCCCAGGATCGTGACCTGAGCTGAAGGCAGACACTTAACCAACTGAGCCACCCAGGCACCTGAGAATCCTTTTCTTTTATGTTGTGGTCCCCTTAATCTGTATTTACTTTGGTTTTTATCTGGTATAGCAACAGCACCATTATTTGGGGAGCCTATTTATTACCTTGTAGCTTTCTCTTTTTTTATCCTTTCTTTCTCGATCCCTTACCTTTATTGCTCCTGATTTCCTTACTTTAGCAATGAGAAAACCATTAAAAGGTGCGGTGTAGAAACAAAGAGTACACCTGACTTTAGTAAATACCATCCAGAGGAAACGAACAAATGCTAAATTCATAGTAAATAGCTAGAAGCAGAAGACTAGAACACTAACAAGAAGGATGAAGTTTATTGTGTGTGGCCTAGCTAAAACTTGTTTCCTTGCATTCCAACAGCAGTTTCTTGCTTCTTTGTCTCCTTTTCAATAAATCAACTAAGAAAACCAGAGGAAGAGATAAGAGGAATACTTAAAAAAAAATTATTTATTGATGCATTTCTAAAGGATGTATTTAGTTTCTGCCTGTTTCTAAACTTCATATAAGTGAGACCTTACATATATACGTGTGTCTCTGTGTGTGTGCGTGTATATATATATATATATATGTCTGTGTTTATTCCATAACTGATGGGTCAGCATTAGGATTTTATGATTCATCCATATTTTGTATACAGCTGAACATTGATATATTATGGGAAAATGCTACAGTTTATCCATTTTGTCCTGTCTGTGGCTACTTGGGGTGTTTCCAGTTGTCTTTTTCCTTTTACGGAACAAAGCTCACTGAAGATTGATAAAACATTTTCCACATGAAAGCAGAGCACAGAATTAATTCAGGAGCACATTATTAAGTTAGCTAAGTAGGGATACAACTGTACATGCGATCCACTCCCAGTGAGTTATTAGAAGGGGTTGTGGTGTTAATTCTGCATACTGAATTCAAGTGGTCAGAGCTCTAAATTGTTACCAACTTTTCAAGTGGCTTCTAAGGGTGTGTCTACTTGACACCCAGCAGCTGTCAGTTTTATCTTTTGCTCTATTGTAAGGACTTAATTGAATTGATTTGGCATTGGTAAAACGTAGCTTAACACGGGGAATTAGCTTGCTACAGCCCTGAATTTTGTGATCACAGCAGTGCTTTCCTTCCATCTACTGTGATTGCATTGGTTGTTTGGACAGAGAAGAAGAGACAGGTCTGAACAAAGTAGAAATCACCTAGGTTATATCAGCACACCAGTATTTCCTCTTTCAGGTTGGCCCAAGTATGTAACATGAAATTAAATTTGGGAACTACAATACGAAATTTCTGTATTGGTGTTTTAAGTTTACTTTTATGCCAAATTGAATGGAAGAAAGTTAAGTGTTGCAGTGATAACGTAAGCCTGTTTTTCCCCATCTTATAAATACAGATAATGCTGAGTTTGCAACAGAGAGCACAGAAACGTGCAAGTTATATCTTGCGTCTTGAAGAAATCAGCCCATGGCTGGCTGCCATGACTAACACCGAAATTGCTCTTCCTGGAGAAGTGTCAGCTAGAGACACTGTCACAATCCACAGTGTGGGCGGAACGATCACCATCTTACCTACCAAAACCAAGCCAAAGAAACTTCTCTTTCTAGGGTCAGATGGCAAGAGCTATCCTTATCTTTTCAAAGGTGGGATTTAAAAGAAGAGCGTTAATTTGATTATGGATGCTTTGGGTATGAATGTGCTGGGAGAGGATTGTTCCAGGTGAATAGCCTGGATTGTCTTGTATCTTCTGTGATTTTGAATGGAAGTGGTTGGAGCCTGTGTAGTAAGATTTTCCATTCCCTATTGTCTCTTTGCTTAAGACCTTATGCAAGCAGAACTGAGGTACAGCTAATAATGCTAGTATCTAATACCTTGTGACTGAATGGAATGTTCTCTAATGCTCCCATTATGCTCTCTTGGCTCTCAGTTCTTGACTGCTACTGTTGATTGAGAGGAAACACAAAAGTGATACATTTGTAACCCCATCCCCACCCCATTTGGTCACCACTCTAGCTACTTTAAATTTTGTTTCCATAGGATTAGAAGATTTACATCTGGATGAGAGAATAATGCAGTTCCTGTCTATTGTGAATACCATGTTTGCTACAATCAATCGCCAGGAAACACCCCGTTTCCATGCCCGACACTATTCCGTAACGCCACTAGGAACACGCTCAGGACTTATCCAGTGGGTGGATGGAGCCACACCCTTATTTGGTCTTTACAAACGATGGCAACAACGGGAAGCTGCCTTACAAGCACAGAAGGTTGATAAATTCAGATATACACGTACTTTTATTTGAATTTCCATAAAAACATATATTAGTCTCTTTCTTGTTCTGTGTGACTCATAGGCTTACTGTACTTGAGCATTTTGGTAAGTTTATAAATGTTACAGAACAGACTTTTGAAATATTTAGGAAAGTGTTTCTGAGGCACATTTAAATAAAGTTTTAAGAGGTGGAAATGGTGACATTTGGTTAATCTTATTCTAGACAAATACAGGGGGAGCAGCAGGTAGGGTGGGAGTGTGGTTGTTAATCAGTAAGTTGATATTTCACATCTTAATGATTTTTTTATTGGGCTTACTAGGGGTCTTTTTTTTTATATTTTAAAGATTTTATTAGAGCGAGCATGTGCGAGAGAGAACGAGGCGGGGGGAGGCAGAGGGAGAAGGAGACACAGACTCCCTGCTGAGCAGGGAGCCCATGTGGGGCTCCATCACAGGATCACAGGATCACAGACAGGATCCCAGGATCATGAGCCAAGAAGGTGGACACAACCGACTGAGCCACCCAGGCGCTCCCTGGGGTCTTTTAAATTAAATTTACAAAGAGAGCTTTGAAAACCAGTTTCTTTTAAATTAATTACGTAAAAAACAACTTTATATTATATTTAGAGTTAATTACTGTGATGTCATATTTTGTGCCTCTGAAATTTATGGTTTTGATTTAGACAAGGGATTTAATTTAGAATTCATTTAGCTAAGCATCTGAGTGCTTAGTATATATGCCAGGAACAGTACTAAGTGCTACAGAAATAAAAATAAATTTTATACAGTCTCAACCTCAAGAGTCCATATCTAGCCAAAATAATTATTCTAATTATGGTGGGTATGGGAAGGAGCAAAAGTGAAAGGGGTCAAGTTTAAAAAATAAGCATAGGAGACTGCAGAACAATTACTGAGGGTTAAATGAGAGATGGGAATTAGAGAGGGGATATCAGTTTTTGTCTGAATACTGTTAATTTTATATTGATGATTGAGTCGTATCAGTGAAGAATGAAATTTGTACGTAAACGAATGATAAATTTTCAGTAGAATTATAGGTTACAAAGAAGAATGTAAATGTTGAGTTTGAATTGGAGATCGAGAAAATAGAACAGTAGACCAAGTTTTCAATAAAGTGGTAGAACTTAATTAAGAGAAAGATAGGAAGGTTGTAAGAAAGATGCATAGTCCAGAAGAATTATTTATTTGGTATGTGCAATTTGGCTGGGAAGGTGGAGAATCCGCTCAAAAACCAGTTTTTAAAATACCATATTCAAAGTAATCTTTATCTTTATTTAAATAAAGTTGATTTTTTTTTTTCTTAAAAAAATTTTTTTTAAGGCCCAAGATTCCTACCAAACTCCTCAGAATCCTGGAATTGTACCTCGTCCTAGTGAACTTTATTATAGTAAAATTGGCCCTGCTTTAAAAGCAGTTGGGCTTAGTCTGGATGTGTCCCGACGGGATTGGCCTCTTCATGTAATGAAGGCAGTATTAGAAGAGTTAATGGAGGCCACCCCCCCAAATCTCCTTGCTAAAGAGCTTTGGTCATCTTGCACCACACCTGATGAATGGTGGAGAGTCACACAGGTATGTGTTTTGTTTTGGGGTGTAATCAATATTACTGTTTCTTTTGCCTGCTTCCTGTCTAGTCTGTGTTGTTCACCCTCCTCCTCTTCCCCCTTCGTCTCACTCCAGACTTGGTAGTTTGAGACCTGTATTTGAGTCTTGTGTTGCACTTATTTTCATAAGGCATGGCCATGACTGTGTGAGGGCAGAACAGAGGGGATTATGGATGAAATGAAAAGAAGAATAAAAGCTTGAGAAAGGGAAAAACTAGGGAGGCTGAAAATAGTTGTTTTGTTTTAAATCTAGCATTCAAATACTAAGTAGGACCAACAGGGACCACAGTGTCATCTGCTGCTCAGTGCAGAGCCTCTGGGACCACTTGCAGCATCCCTGAGGAGTGCTATTTAGAAACGAGGGAGTGGGATTATGGAATTGTGTAAATTTTGGAGCATCAACCATGTTGGAAGGAAAGTTGCTGATGGTGTTACATCTTGCTCTCCCCACCCCCTCTCCCCTCTTGTTTAGTCTTATGCCAGATCTACTGCAGTCATGTCTATGGTCGGATACATAATTGGCCTTGGAGATAGACATCTGGATAATGTTCTTATAGATATGACGACAGGAGAGGTGGTTCACATAGATTACAATGTTTGCTTTGAAAAAGGTAAAAATAAGTTGGACTTTTACATTTATATGAGGGTCAAATGTTTTTGATAAAAGGACAAAAATAGAACAATTTGTCTTTTCAAGGTAAAAGCCTTAGAGTTCCTGAGAAAGTGCCTTTTCGAATGACACAGAATATTGAAACAGCACTGGGTGTAACTGGAGTAGAAGGTGTTTTTAGGCTTTCATGTGAGCAGGTACGCTGTTTCTCTCATACCTTTTAATGTACCTGTTAAATCCTGTGGAATGAAAAACTGCATTTGAATGAGGAAACTTGTGGCAAAACCTGATTAAAACACCTCTGAAAACAGGTTCTACACATCATGCGGCGTGGCAGAGAGACTCTGCTGACATTGCTGGAGGCCTTTGTGTATGACCCCCTGGTGGACTGGACAGCTGGGGGCGAGGCAGGGTTTGCTGGCGCTGTCTATGGTGGAGGTGGCCAGCAGGCTGAGAGCAAGCAGAGCAAGAGAGAGATGGAGCGAGAGATCACCCGCAGCCTCTTTTCTTCCAGAGTAGCTGAAATTAAGGTGAAGGCAACGATAAGTCATCACCATCATTTTACTGGTGTTAACATGTCCATCAAAAAGCTGGGTAAAACTATCCTTTAAAAAAATATTTTTGAAAGACTGTCCTGTATAATACTGTGTCAGTGAAATAGGGCGATTTGATGTCTTTTTAGTAGGAAATGCTCCCATACAAAGACATACAATATATTGTGTGGCGTGGTGGTAACTACATGGTGTTGTTGAGATTTGAGTCTCAGTTTATGGCTATGTGAACTTGAAGGCAGTGGTTATCATTATCTGTAAAATATACATGGTTCCATCACCCCCTCAGGGGTTTAAATAAGAGATTTAAATAGAGTAATATATCCAGGATGTCCATCTAACATGATCCTTGTAGCAGATGTCATCATATCTCACAGTTGATCCTGTAAGAATTTCCCTAATCATAATTACCTTTTTATAGGTGAACTGGTTTAAGAATAGGGATGAGATGCTGGTTGTGCTTCCCAAGCTGGACAGCAGCTTAGACGAATACCTGAGCTTACAAGAGCAACTGACAGATGTGGAAAAACTGCAAGGCAAACTGCTGGAAGAAATAGAGTTTCTAGAAGGAGCTGAAGGAGTGGACCATCCTTCTCACACTCTGCAGCACAGGTTTAAAAGTGTTGAACACTTGTTTCTAAATATATGCCGTTAAGGAGAATTTTCATATTTGTGTAAACATTGTCAACTTGAATTAGAATTATTAAGCAGTTTACATAAATGATAGAAGCTCTCCCAAGGAATGCAATTTTGAATTAATACATAGGAATTCACCTAAATTTTCTGCTTTATTATATTAAATTGAAATGTTTGCATAATTATGGGAGATAAGTGGATATAGTGGTTAGAACATGAACTTGGATTCAGAAAACCTGAGGTTTGGGTTTCTCTCTACAGTTCGTGTCTGGATCCTTATTCATTAGTACAGTGGCAATTATTTTATTCACTTTGCTGAATTAAGCATTAAGCTAAATAGAATGAGCTAAGTGAATGAACCTTGTACAGTGCAGGTGCTTGGTAAAGGGTAAGTATGCAAGTGCCACACACTGCATGAGTCTCTGAGATGAAAAGATCTGTGAAGTATCCATCGTTTACACTAAAGACAACTCAACACCTGGCAGGTGTGGTGGGTTTTGAAAATGTTTTACTTAAAACGTTGTTGAGTATAGTTGAGAGAAATATGGGGAAAACCAGAGAAGTAAGGGACATTTGAGCAGTGCCCTTAAGATTGAAAAGGAGCTTACCAGGTAGTCCCAAGTATGAGCAAAATCAAGGTTATGAAAGTTCATAGAAGGAAGAAGCAATTTAAAAGTTTTTTCCCTCCTATTAGGTATTCTGAACATACTCAACTACAGACTCAGCAAAGGGCTGTTCAGGAAGCAATCCAGGTGAAGCTGAATGAATTTGAACAGTGGATAACACATTATCAGGCTGCGTTCAATAATTTAGAAGCAACACAGCTTGCAAGTTTGCTTCAGGAGATAAGCTCACAAATGGACCTTGGTATGGGTTGATTTATCTTAGATACACATGTTGAGCATGTGAGTTTTGTATTTCTGTGTTTATGTGTGGGGTTCTGGTTTGTGCTCCTTTCGACGACTGCTGGTTTGGAATAGTTTCACCGTGATTAATAATTGTCTTTTACCAAAAGGTCCTCCAAGCTATGTGCCAGCGACAGCCTTTCTGCAGAATGCTGGCCAGGCGCATTTGATTAGCCAGTGTGAGCAGCTGGAGGGGGAAGTGGGCGCTCTTCTCCAGCAGAGGCGCTCCGTGCTCCGAGGCTGTCTGGAACAGCTGCATCACTATGCCACCGTAGCTCTACAGTATCCAAAGGCCATATTTCAGAAACATCGAATTGAGCAGTGGAAGACTTGGATGGAGGAACTCATCTGTAACACCACAGTAGAGCGCTGTCAAGAACTCTACAGGAAGTATGTTGATCACACTTTTCTTGACTTCTCATGGGATTAAATGCAAAGTTGTTTTCAAATTCTCATTATCATGTGTGCATAATATTTCATTTTTCGGAAAGAAATGGTTTTGGATGGAAGCTGAATGGGGTCCTTTTTTTCTTGGTTTTAAGAAGATTTGAGGTCATGTTTTCTCTTTAAGATGGTGTGTTTTTCCTAATTAATTAAAATGTATCCCAGTGTCAGAGTGATGGAATCAGGGTAAAGAGAGCTAAACTCATTTGAGCTATTGCTGACTCACAAGTCATCTGGGAAAATTACTTGAGCTCCTGAGACTTTTTCTTATCTGTAAAAATGGAAATCATGGTTTCTACTATTTAAGATTTGGGGATCGATCAGAGGCAATATTCTCCAGTGTAAATGGGAACTTTTGGGGCACCTGGGTGGCTCAGTCAGTTGGGTGTCTGCCTTTGGCTCAGGTCATGATCCCGGGGTCCTGGATTGAGACTTGCATCAGGCTCCCTGCTCTGCGAGGAGCCTGCTTCTCTCTCTGCCTCTCTCTCTGTCTCTCATGAATAAATAAATAAAATCTTTTAAAAAAAATAAATAAATGGGGCTCCTGGGTGGCTCAGTCGTTAAGCGTTTGCCTTCGGCTCAGGTCATGATCCCAGGGTCCTGGGATCGAGCCCCATATCGGACTCCCTGCTCGGCGGGAAGCCTACTTCTCCCTCTCCACTCCCCCTGCTTGTGTTCCCTCTCTCGCTGTGTCTCTCTCTGTCAAATAAATAAATAAAAACGATAAAAAAAAAAATGGGAACCTTCTTTACAAGCAGGAGGTGGTTACATTGTAAACAAGCATCTCTCTCTCTTTGTGTAGATACGAAATGCAGTATGCTCCCCAGCCTCCCCCAACAGTGTGTCAGTTCATCAGCGCCACGGAAATGACTCTGCAGCGGTATGCAGCTGACATCAACAGCCGGCTTATCAGACAAGTGGAACGCTTGAAACAGGAAGCCGTCACTGTACCTGTTTGTGAGGATCAGTTGAAGGAAATTGAACGTTGCATTAAAGTTTTCCTTCACGAGAATGGAGAAGAAGGATCTTTGAGTCTAGCAAGTGTTATTATTTCTGCCCTTTGTACTCTTACAAGGTGAGTTAGCCAGCTTTGTACTAAGACCATTTTGTTGTCTCGAAAACATTCATACTTAATGAGATTTCCTGTCCCTTTTGTTTAATACCAAACTTAAGGTATGCTTTGACTTTCATTTCATTAGTCTAGCCCACTGTTAGGCTGCTTTACTTCCTTTCCAAGTTTGCGGTATCCGCTTTTGTGTGTGAGTATAGCTGAGTAGGTTTCACTGTACAAACCCTTGTTGCATTTAGGCGTAACCTGATGATGGAAGGTGCTGCTTCTAGTGCTGGCGAGCAGCTAGTGGATCTGACCTCTCGGGATGGAGCCTGGTTCTTGGAAGAGCTCTGCAGTATGAGCGGGAACGTCACTTGCCTGGTGCAGTTACTGAAGCAGTGCCACCTGGTGCCACAAGACTTAGACATTCCAAACCCAGTGGAAGCTTCTGAGGCAGTTCACTTAGCTAATGGAGTGTACACCTCACTTCAGGTGAGCGCTTTTTAATTAGGTTAAAATTGATGTTTGTTTTAGATATTAAACATTGTTCTTTTTATTGCTGGTTCAGAAAAGCAATTTGACTTACCCCTTTTAATGTTGCTTAATCGATCATTTAAAGATCAGTGTGACGTTTGTAGCCAGAAGTTGGTTACAGTTGCATAAGTTTGTTCTTAACACATGGCGTTAAACCTCTAAATGTATAACTTATTTAAACCCAGTAAACATTAAAATATATTTCTCACATATTTATAGGAATTAAATTCAAATTTCCGGCAAATCATATTTCCAGAAGCACTGAGATGTTTAATGAAAGGAGAATACACATTAGAAAGTATGCTTCATGAGCTGGACAGTCTTATTGAGCAGACAACTGACGGCGTTCCCCTGCAGACTCTAGTTGAATCACTTCAGGCCTATTTAAGAAATGCGGCTATGGGACTGGAGGAGGAAACTCATGCTCATTACATCGATGTTGCCAGGCAAGTGGATGGTAGCTGTGACAGAGCTGGGGAAGCCGGATGACAGGTTCTGGGCTCTGTGCTGCAAGTTTAGTTTTAATTTTACAGCAGATAGAATTACTTAAAAATGCTTCTATACAAATCTTAAAATTTTTTGTTATTTTAATTATTTATTTTTAAGGATTTTATTTATTCATGAGAGAGAGAGAGGTAGAGGCAGAGGGAGAAGCAGGCTCGTTGCAGGACTCAATTCCAGGACCCCGGGATCATGACCTGAGCCGAAGGCAGACGCTCAACCAAGTGAGCCACCCAAGCCCCCTATACAGATCTTTTTACAAAGTTTATTTATTTGGGGGGCACCTTGGTGACTCAGTTGGTTAAGCATGTGCCTTCGGCTCAGGTCATGATTCTGGGGCCCTGGGATCGAGCCCTGCATTGGGCTCCCTGCTCAGTGGGGAGTCTCCTTCTCCCTCTGCCCTCTGCCCCTTCCCACCGGTTGTTCTTTCTCTATTAAATCTTTAAAAAAAATAGTTTATTTATTTGGAAATAATTACAGATTGACAGGAAGTTGTACAATACATGTGTGCAGGGACGTCTTCTGTAGGCTCCATCCTTCTTGTGGTGTTAGCATCTTGCAGACTCTACTTCTGTGGCACCACCACGAAGTGGATGTCAGTACAGTTGACAGAGCTTACTGAGATTTCCCCAGTGACACATGCACTGGGTGTGTAGCTCCATGCAGTTTTATCACATACACACTATACAGAGTGTTGTGGTTTCACCATATGTGTGCCGCACACACGCAGAGTGGGGTGTGTTATTTTTTAATCCAGCCCTTGGAACACCATGGAAGCATCTGAGCCAGTTTAGTTAATAGAGTATACACCTCAGTTCAGGTAAATGCTTTTAAGTTTGCTTAAACTTTATAAGTTTGTTTTAGATACTGAACATGGTGTTTTTCATCTCTGAAATCCAGAAAAACAGTTTGACTTTGGAACCTGCAAAGGTTGGGTGGTTCCTCCAGCCATGCACTATGTCCCTAGCTAAGCTGTAAGCCCCTTTATCTCTGGTGACTTAAGACCTCTTTCTTCGGCATTCTGGTGTCGAGTTTACCCTAGAAAGTATAATTGAGAGAGAAGAAATGGATTGACCTACCACTTCCTCCCATGAGAAAATTCAAAGAAAAGAAAGTAGAATAGTATAATGAACCATCATTTTTCCACCTTTGGTAATTATCTGCACCTGCTTAAATTGTTTAAATTATTTATGTTGTTTAAATTGTACCGCCTCGATTATTTTGAAGCAGGTATCTTTTCATTTTTAAATACTACAGGAAGTACATATATCTAAAATACAAACTTATTTTTCTTAATCATGGTGCTGTTACTTCATCCCAAAAGTTAATAATTCTTTAATGTTTTCTGTTATCTGCATTCAAAATTTTCCTATTTATGTTTCTTTATAGTTGTGTCACCATACAGTATAAAAAATTAGTGGTTATAGCATAAACTAAATGTCAGCTAGATGATTTAGGTTATTTGCACAACAGCTTTATCATTTAAATTTCTAACATTATTTAAAAAGACGCTAAGTCGATACACCTTTCTTTCTCACTAAATTTCAGCTCTCATTTATCTCCCTTTAATATCTAATTCAGATTTCTCTTACCCTCAAATGGATGATTATTTACTTTTCATGTATGATTTGGGTGACAAACTTCATGCCTGGGGTTCCCTTACAGCTTGTTTCTACCTTGTTTTGGAGAAACTTTGATTATCTCAAGAAAAATATTGTATACCATCTTGTAGCTCTTTTTTCTATTAGAAATTGCTCTGGTTAGCCTTTTTAAATTCTCTTAATAGTTTTATAGTTATTTCTGTGTGTGTGTGTGATAAAGTTGAAAATCTAGTTAACATTAGTAACATGAACTGATACTAGTTGTAGGTACCAGGAATGCTGTTTTTGATTTTTTATATAATATGTTCAGAATAGTGTCCGGATACAGAAGCCATGATGCAAGTCTTAAGTTAATGATAACGTACAGGGTGAATTTCTGAGGACTTACACTCAATCTATGCACTATTCAAAACCAGGTGTGCCACAGATGGCAGGCCTTTGAGTTTATGGTCTGTAGTTGACTCTATCATATATGTGACAGTGTGAACATAGTTGACAATTTTTGCTAAGTCCTCCAGCTTTAGAATTGTGTGATTTTTGACATTTATTGAAGGTTTGTATTATTTTACATTCTTTCTGTAAAGTGAGACTGTAATATCTTACATAGTTCTTTTTAGAATTGTCGTAATTCAAGTTTGCATAAAATTTAATCATGTGAACATTTACTAATACTGAATTGGAACCATTAACTTCACATTGTGATGGCACTGCATGTCATTTTATCCTAACACTGTTTCCTGCATACAGAAAGATTTCTAGGGGTGCCTGGGTGGATCAGTCAGTTAAGCATCTGACTCTTGATTCTGGCTCAGGTCGTGATCTAGCGGTCCTGGGATTAAGCCCCGTGTGGGGCTCTGCGCTCAGCTAGGAGTCTGACTGAGAATTCTCTCCCTCGCCCTCTGCCCCTCCTCTTGCTTGTGGTCTCTCTCTCTCTCTCTCTCTCTCAAATAAATAAACCTTTAATGAAAAAGGATTTATTTTCTAGATTGCATGCTAGCTGTGACTCTTCCTGACCTTTTGTGTTCTCCCCCAAATGTATTATTTTTCAGTTAGGATTTTAATTCCCTTTTCTTTTTCTCCAGAATACTTCATGCTCAGTATGGTGAATTAATCCAACCAAGAAATGGTTCCGTTGATGAAACACCAAAAATGTCAGCTGGCCAGATGCTTTTGGTAGCATTTGATGGCATGTTTGCCCAAGTCGAAACTGCTTTTGGCTTATTAGTTGAAAAGGTAAATACTGATTTTAAGAATAAATAATGCACGTGTTGTAAAGTAGTTGTTCACTGTGTGGAGAGTGGAGAAATGAACTTTCTTTCTTTCTTTCTTTTTTACATAGTTAAACAAGATGGAAATTCCCATAGCTTGGCGAAAGATTGACATTATAAGGGAAGCCAGGAGTACCCAAGTCAATTTTTTTGATGACGATAATCACCGGCAGGTGCTAGAAGAGATTTTCTTTCTGAAAAGACTACAGACAATTAAGGAGTTCTTTAGGCTCTGTGGTACCTTTTCTAAAACTTTATCAGGTAATCTTTCACATTTAAACAGGCTGGATTTACTTGTGTAGAACTTTGGAAGGGGGCAGGATGGAGTAGGCTTAATTTAATTGTATGTTCATAAGGTCTTGTTTTTAAATAAGCATCATTATTACCTTATTTAACTTTGCATGAAATAGTTTAAGAAAATATTCCTTTTTTAGGATCGAGTTCACTTGAAGATCAGAATACTGTAAATGGACCTGTACAGATTGTCAATGTGAAAACCCTTTTTAGAAACTCTTGTTTCAGTGAAGACCAGATGGCCAAACCTATAAAGGCATTCACAGCTGACTTTGTGAGGCAGCTCTTGATTGGACTACCGAACCAAGCCCTAGGACTCACCCTCTGCAGTTTTATCAGTGCTCTAGGGGTAGACATTATTGCTCAAGTGGAGGCAAAGGATTTTGGAGCTGAAAGCAAAGTTTCTGTCGATGATCTTTGTAAGAAAGCGGTGGAGCACAACATTCAGATTGGGAAGTTCTCTCAGTTGGTCATGAACAGGGCAACTGTGTTAGCAAGTTCCTATGATACTGCCTGGAAGAAGCATGACTTGGTGCGCAGGCTGGAAACCAGTATTTCTTCTTGTAAGACAAGCCTGCAGCGTGTTCAGCTGCATATTGCCATGTTTCAAGTAAGTATTTTTCTAATGTGTTTTTCTCCACTATAGGAATTTGAAAACCAGGGGGAATTAATATAAAACAATATAAAGAAAAAAATATTTAGATGTCCTGAATTGTGCCAGCCCGCAGCAAAGCCAGCTTTTTGAAAAGCATTTTGATATTTTCAGTTTTTTCTTTGTTTCTGTTCCATATAGTTGAGAATATTTTGTGTTTACACTTTGTGACCTTTAACTTTGTTTCCATCAGTATTGTATGGTTGGTATTATCTGTGTCATTAAGTATTACTTGTAAATATAATTTCTAATGGTTGAATTTATTCGTTATGTGAATATGCCTCCTATATTACTTAACATATAATTAAGATTTTCTAAAGTGACTTCTGTTTCCCTGATGCTCTAATGATGTGGTAACAGCTTTGTGCATGAATCTGTCATCATTTGGAATTTGTTTTTAGGGGCCTGTTTTTGTCCTTGATTATTTAGGAGGCAGTATGACAACATAGGCTTTAAGGGTGGGATGGATTTGGATTCAGGTATATGAATTTGAGTTTAATTCTCCCTGAAGTGGGGACCATACCTCTCACCAAGGTTGAGGACTATGAGGGTTAAAAATGATGTTTTATATAAGACACTAAGCACAGTTATGTAAGACACTAATAAGCACAGTATAAATTGTAGCCCTTCTTCTTTCTTCTTTTCTTCTTCTTTCTTTTTTTTCCCTTCCAAATACAGGCTTCAGTATTGTCTGTAGCTTCAAACAGGTTGTGTAATTCATGGAGTAATATTTGGGGGCTGCATTTTCCTGGGATCTGTTTTGGCACAAACAGTGGTTACTTTGTATTACTTATGTGAAAGCTGCTTCCCGATGGTGGAGTTGGTGGCTTCAGCTCAGTGCATGGGATCAGTGTATTTCCTTCTCTTTGTGGTTTTATCATGAGCTGATGTTTTTAGTTTATAAATTAAGAAAAGTAATTTATTCACATTTTGAAATTGTATTTATTATATATTAACGGTCTTTCTAGCACATTGGAATCTTTTTGTATTTTTTCTTCTAAAAAATGTACTGTAAGTTTTATTATACATTCTAGTTTCTTCCCTTAAAAAATGGACAACTGTATGGAAAATGTTATAAAAATACTTAAAATTTTGTTGATCTGAACAAATGTTCATCATTTTAAGCCCTAAGTGCAATGTATTACTTTTAAATTGTAGCCCAAAAGTCTCATGGGCCTTCTGGGGCCTCCCTTAAAACATACAAGATGGCTTGATCCTCTTTGAGCAGTTGTCTGCCCCTTTCTGCACCTTCTAGGTTCTCTGTAGAATTCTTTGTTCTGTGACTTCTGCCATCATTTCTCTCAGTTACTTGCTTAGCCTCAGCGGGACAGTCTTCACCTCTCCACCCACTATCCCCCCATGCCTTTTCCAACCTCTTAACCGGAGATACCTTTTGGGGGGATTGTATACTAGACTTTTACATAGCCTTGGAAACATCTTCAGAATTACTACTTAGATGTTGCATATCACTGATCCAAGACGTCTTATTTAATATCAGCCATTCTCTACATTAGGAAATTTTTCACCTGGTTGTGATTCTTTTGTAATGTTTCTGCTATTACAACTTCTCTGCTACCTCACTTTGCTGCAGCTGGGTTTTTTTTTTCTCTTCCCCCAGTCCTAATTCACACCTCTCCTCCTTTTATCTCAAGTTGTTGTGTTTTTTTTTTTTTTTCTGCTGATTTGATTACAGTGCCTTTTCTTTGAACAGTGGCAGCATGAAGACCTCCTTATCAATAGACCACAAGCCATGTCAGTCACACCCCCCCCTCGGTCTGCCATCCTAACCAGCATGAAAAAGAAACTCCATACTCTGAGCCAGATTGAAACTTCAATTGCAACAGTTCAGGTGTGTTTTGTCAGACCTTACTTGAAGCACATTCACTTTGAGAAATAACCTACACTGTGATAAGGTGTTCAGTCTATCTACATGTCTGTCCTTGGCTGCTAAGCCACAGGGGTATACTCCTTTTGCACTTTTCTTTTTAATTTATATCTTTTTTTCTTACCCTCCAAAGTAACCAAATCTTATGGCAGCAGTGTATTTTTAACCAGGAATAGAGACAAACTAAATATTTCAGGTTTTTAATGGATTTGATGATTGCTCTGCCTTTATATGTTAAGGGAACCTTGGTGATTAGAAAAACTTGAGCATTTAATTTGTTTTTTGAAAGGCACATAAGCGGTTATATCTGGCTTACTATTCATATCTAAAAAGCTTAGGCTTTTTTTTTTTCATTTCGAGGAGAGTGCGCATGCGCGTGTGTCCCCATGAGTCAGGAGGGTCAGAGGGAGAGGGAGGGAGAGAAAATCTTAAGCAGGCTTCACAGCTCAGCACAGACCCTGACGCAGGGCTCGATCTCACAACTCTGAGATCATGACCTGATCCGAAATCAAGAGTTGGACGCTTAACCTAACTCATGCACCCAGCTTAGGCATTTTTTATGTGTAGTTAATGATATTTTATGCTGTCAAAGGCAATAGAACATTTTCCTGACTACTATTATTGAGTGTATTTCTTTCTTTCTTTTTTTTTTTTTTTTAAAGATTTTTATTTATTTATTTGACAGACACAGCGAGAGAGGGACCGCAAGCGCGGGGGAGTGGGAGAGGGAGAAGCAGGCTTCCCGCCGTGCAGGGAGCCCGATGTGGGGCTTGATCTCAGGACCCTGGTGTCATGACCTGAGCCAAAGGCAGACGCTTAACAACTGAGCCACCCAGGCGCCCCGCTGAGTGTATTTCTTTATCATTTCTGCCTCATAATTTAATCTCACCTCCTTTTTTAAAATAACAGGTCTTGATGATGGTTATCTATGTTTTCATATTGTGTCTCTTTACATCTCATGTACTCAGTAGTAACTGACATTTTTCTGTTCATTTTACAAATTAATTTTGTATAAAATCAAGTATAATCACTTCTGTAAGTTTTACATTTTTAATGAAGTGTTTCTGGAGCTCACTTCTTTGAAGATTTTGAAATATCTTTTCTCTACAGTATATTAGGCCTAGTTTTCAATTTTGGAAAATGAATATACCTGCTCTTTCCAATTTTAGAGGTGTGTTTCTGTGAGAGAAAGAGGGAGAGAAGCACAGAAAAGACAGGATGTGAATTCCTCCACCTGAAGTGTTGAATAAATAATGGGATAACTTTGTTATATAAAACCTTCCTTATGATAATATGGATAGATTTTTACTGTTATTTATGAACTTCTGAATTTGGGAGAATTTTATTTTCATCTTTCATAATCAAAAATATAAATGGGTTTTTTAAATTAAGTTTTTTATTTTAATTCTAGTTAAGATACAGGGTTATATTAGTGTACAGTATAGTGATTCAATAGTGCTATACATGACTCCATGCTCATTGTGATAAGTGTACTCTTTAATCCCCATTGTCTCTTTTACCCCTCCCCGCATTCACCTCCCCTCTGGTAACTACCAGTTTGTTCTCTATTGTTAAGAGTCTGTTTCTTGGTTTGTCTCTCCTTTTTTTCCCCTTTGTTCATTTGTTTGTTTCTCAAATTACATATATGAGTGAAATCATATATTTGTCTTTTTCTGAGTGACTTATTTCGCTTAGCATTATACTCTCTAGCTCCATCTATGTTGTTGTAAATGGTAAGTGGATTTTCTTATAGATAGCACATAAGGGCATTAGGAATTTGATGTAGCAGGTGTTTCATTTTAAAGACTACTTTATTTAAAAATGAAAATCTTGGGGTGCTTGGGTGGCTCAGTCGGTTGAGCATCCAACTCTTGGTTTGGCTCAGATCTCAAGACTCGTGATCTCATGAGTCATGGGGTTGAGCCCTACATCAGGCTCTGTGTTCAGGGGGGAGTCTGCTTGAAAGATTCTCTCCCTCTGCCCCTCCCTCCACTTGCTCACTCTCTTTCTGAAGTAAGTAGAAGCAAATTTTAAGACAAACTGAAAGCCAGTTCTTAACCTCCCCAGACATGTTTAGCCTTAAATATTCAAAGTGAAATAAAGATTAATTCCAGTAGATGTTATGTTAAAATGTTTTCTAAATTACGTATGTCCCATCCTGCTTCTTTTGAATCTCTCTTATATTTGTATAAAATGCTCACCAGGATTTGGAGAGTGTCAAATATTCACTGAGGTTCTGCTGGCTTTTGTAGGAAAAACTAGCAGCCCTTGAAGCAAGTATTGAACAGCGACTCAAGTGGGCAGGTGGTGCCAACCCCGCACTGGCCCCGGTACTACAGGATTTTGAAGCGACAATAGCTGAAAGAAGAAATCTTGTCCTTAAAGAGAGCCAACGAGCAAGCCAGGTATCGTGACCCACGTGCGCCGCCTTTGTTTCCACTTACGGGGTTCGACGACTGATGGGAAGTTACGCGTGGGATAGCCAGGGGTAGCTTGAGTCCACCCTCTAGTTCACAGTGCTGGGAAGAGGGGCTGATAGGCCTTGGTGGGAAGGGCTCCCTTAGGCTGAGCTCACAGCCAATTATTTCCCTAGACCTTTACTGCCTCCTAGCTAAATATAAAGTGGATTCAGCCTCTGTTGGAAAATAAGGAGTTTAATTCCATATTTGTCTAAGGTTCTCTTTATGCAACTGTGTTGACTCTGTGGCAATAAAATGTCTTTATGACCTTGTGTTCTGCCAGAGTTTGTGGATTAACTTCGTTATGATTGGGGGAAGGGGACAAAAGCAAAAAAAGAAAAAAAAAAGTTAGGTAATTTTCAATCAGGTATAAAATTAGGCTAATACAATGATTCTCATATCCTCATAACCAATTAAAATTTAGTGATTATCAACTTAAGTCCCACTTTATTTCTTCTATACTTCCTATTCCTCCTTCCCATCCCATTTTTAATGAAATCCCAAATATTCTATCATTTTTATCTGTACATATTTCAGTATGTATTTATAAAGGTGAGAACTATTTACATAATCACAATAGTACTATCATAGCTTAAAAGATGTGCATTATATTGTCAAATGTCCAGTTAGTATTTTGTGATCTTTATTGTGAGGTTAGGCAGGAGTAGAAGCAGAAGGGCAACATTCCAAATTGGAAATTTGGACATAGCACAAATAAACTGCAGCTGAATATGATAACGGTTTTATTATGAAGTAAATTTTCTGGGTGAACGCAAACATGTAGAAGATACTTTTACATATTGTCCTTAGGTGCTTTTAACCATCTTACACCTAAAGACATCAACCAAAACAAGGTGCATTTATTCATAGCCTTTATCAGGATTAGATCTATTTCCCAAAAGAGTCGTTGATACATTTTTCAGGACCAATTGTGGTTCTGAATTCTGGAAATGAATAGGTAGTATTTTTTCATGTCAAATTAAAATTACATTTCTTCCCTTATTGTGATGGTTCCATTCCTCTTTGCCTCTTCACAGGTCACTTTCCTCTGCAGCAATATCATTCATTTTGAAAGTTTACGAACTAGAACTGCAGAAGCCTTAAACCTGGATGCTGCATTATTTGAACTAATCAAACGATGTCAGCAAATGTGTTCATTTGCATCACAGTTTAACAGTTCGGTCTCTGAGTTAGAGCTTCGTCTATTACAGAGAGTGGTGAGTCTTGAATCTTGGTGTGGGAGTAAAGAGATTAGTTGATGAAAATGATAAGGCCAGGATTATGCCCTCGAAGTCCATGTAATATATTCACTCAGTTTACATTTATGCAGTGTGTGTCCTGTATATAAAATATTGTTATGGGATCTAATGATTAAATCTAGGGGTACCTGGCTGGCTTGTTCGGTGGAGGATGTGACTCTTGATCTCCGGGTTGAGTTTGAGCCCCACATTGGATGTAGAGATTACTTAAAAATAAAATCTTTTTTTTTTTTTTTAAAGATTTTATTTATTTGAGAGAGAATGAGAGATAGCACGAGAGGGAAGAGGGTCAGAGGGAGAAGCAGACTCCCTGCTGAGCAGGGAGCCCGATGTGGGACTCGATCCCAGGACTCCAGGATCATGACCTGAGCTGAAGGCAGTCGCTTAACCAACTGAGCCACCCAGGCGCTCTTAAAAATTAAAAAAAAAAAAAAAAAAATTGATGATTAAATCTTGCTCTTAGTCCCCCAAGGAACCTATTAATAATAAATAATACAATGAATTAAAAAGTTAAAAGAATTCTCAGAGCCATAATTGGAAGTACTGTGGAGGTTCAGAGGGGAGGAGAAATTCAATGTATAGCAAATGACTTAGATGCACTGAAAATAGGGTAGCAGACAGAGGGCTAGTGGAAGGTGAATGCTGGACAGGAGAGTTGAGTCCAGAAATAGCAAATTGATAAATTAGGTGTTTATATTTTGTGGGAAGGTTTTAGGCTGTGTATTAATTAAGAACCTCTGGTGTCTTTTTTTTTTTTTTTTTTGAGATTTTATTTATTTATTTGACAGAGACAACGAGAGAGGGAACACAAGCAGGGGGAGTGGGAGAGGGAGAAGCAGGCTTCCCGCTGAGCAGAGAGCCCGATGTGGGGCTCGATCCCAGGACCCTGGGATCAGGACCTGAGCCGAAGGCAGACGCTTAACGACTGAGCCACCCAGGCACCCCCCTCTGGTGTCTTTCTAAAGAGTGATTTACCCCGGGGTCCTAGATACAGATCATCTTTGTAATTCTAGATACATATTTTATGTCTTAAATTTTAAGCATTTATTCCCTATGTGATTATGCAGAAAAGTTAAAAATCTTAACCTGTATTTCATAGATTATTTAAATTATTATTAAATACTATTATTTACATAATTAGTTCATGACTTAGCAAATGAGGTTCTTTGTGTCAGCTTGAGTTACTAATACCTTTTGATGGTGGTGATAAAGGAAAGAATCTTATATTATTCCATCTGATACTTAAACAAATGTTTGTTCTGTTTAGGACACCAGTCTTGAACATCCTATTGGCAGTTCTGAATGGCTTTTGTCAGCACACAAACAATTGACCCAGGATATGTCCACTCAGAGGGCAATTCAGACAGAGAAGGAGCAGCAGATAGAAACAGTCTGTGAAACAATTCAGAATCTGGTTGATAATATAAAGACTGTGCTCACTGGTCATAACCGGCAACTTGGAGATGTCAAACATCTCCTGAAAGCGATGGCTAAGGTAAGACTAATACCACTGACACACAGTTAACTCCCTCCTTTTGTAAAATTACAGTACATAAAAATATATAGTTGATTTGGTAAAATAATGACGTAAACAAAAACACCTTCTCTTAGGTCACATCTTCCCATTTGTTTGTAATTGAGTTACTTTGTGTTTTTATCAACTTTTTTTTCCTTTTTTAAAGCAGGTTGTAGTATTCTGATTTTGTACCCAGAGAAACTGAGGGTTAAAGAGATTGATTCACCCAAAGTCCTATAACTTAACAATAGAGCTGAAACTTGAATGTAGCCTCAGAGTGTTTCGATCTCCCCAAAATCTTTTCCTCCTCCCAACCCTTATTCCTAGGCTCATATGAGTTTGTCTCCAAAATGATTTCTTCTCTTTTCCCTCCAGTAGACTATGTAATTTACATAGTAAGGAAACTGAGCCCCCAGAAAAGGCTAAATAACTTCATCATTGCAAAACAGCAGATCATTTAACTTGGGGATTTGTTTTTACTTGGAGTTTTTATTTTTACTGGAAATAAAATTTCTGTAGAAAAGGAGTTCCAGTGTAATAAACAGATTAAACACATATTTGAAAAACACTTATTACTTGTTATCCAAAAGGTGACTATCTTATGAGTAACTATTGAACCAAATTCCATTTCTCTTAATTCTTACAATACTGAGTCCAGGATGAGGAAGCTGCTCTGGCCGACGGGGAGGATGTTCCCTATGAGAACAGTGTGCGACAATTCTTAGCCGAATATAAATCATGGCAGGACAACATTCAGACAGCGCTCTTTACCTTAGTCCAGGCTATGGGTCAGGTGCGAAGTCAGGAACACGTTGAAATGCTCCAGGAAATAACTCCCACCTTGAAAGAACTGAAAACACAAAGTCAGAGGTAAGAATGCCTTCTGGCCTAAATTGAAAATGTAGTCAGAACATAAGCAAAACATCTGGTATTGTAAGTTTTGCTTAATTCAGCTTCGTTTTTCAGTTTTGTTCATATTTATAAGCAGTTACCTGGTGAGGCATTTCATAAATAAGCTATTTCATTTTGTATTTCAGTATCTATAATAATTTAGTGGGTTTTGCATCACCCTTAGTCACCGATGCAACAAATGAATGTTCAAGTCCAACGTCATCTGCTACTTATCAGCCATCCTTTGCTGCAGGTATGACTTCTCTACTTCAAAAAAGACCTGAATCTTGATCTGTTAATAATGTACACATAGATGCTAAGGTGTTTAATTACACTTTTAAGTGCCTAATATGTTCGTAGTCATCACCTTTTTAAAGGGCTTTTCTGTCACAACTCAAACTGAACACATTTTGGTTTAATTTTAAAAGTACTTGTGTGAGAAACGGGGCACCTGGGTGGCTCAGTTGATAGGCGTCTGCCTTCGGCTTGGGTCATGATCCCAGGGTCCTGGGATCGAGCCCCACATCGCGCTCCCTGCTCCGCGGAAAGCCTGCTTCTCCCTCTCCCACTCCCCCTGCTTGTGTTCCCTCTCTTGCTGTGTCTCTCTCTGTCAAATAAATAAAATCTTAAAAAAAAAAAGGTACTTGTGTGAGAAAGTAGAAATATCTTGTGTTTAAATCCTCTTTAAATGATTTAATTTTTAAAAAATAAGAAAATTTGTAGCTTCATTCCAGTTGGAGGTAAAACCATTACATATTTCTTGTTGGACTTGTGTGTATATGTGTGCACACACATGCACAAATTGGGATCATTCTGTGAATGCAGTTCTTGTTGTCTTTTCCCACTTAATATTATATTGGGAATTTCCTTGCCATCAGATAATCTTTTAGAAAATGACTTAATGCCCCAATTTAAATATCATTCTATGTCTTTACCGTATCAATCCCACATCGTTGGACAGTTAATATATTTACAGTTTTTTGATGCCACAACAGCAGTGAGTATCATTGCACAAATTTGTTTTTGAATGTCTAGCTCTTTAGGCTGTATTTTTAGGAGGACAGTATTTCAAGGGATAAGGACTTTAAGGTTGTAAAATCGTATTTCTGTTCATGGCTCTACATTTGTAGTTGATGTTTGAGAGAGCACTGCCCTGCTCTCTCCTCTTTGTCTTCCTCCATCTCTTTCTTCTGTTTACGTGTGAATTGAGCCACCCACTCTCTCTATAGCAGTCCGGAGCAACACTGGCCAGAAGACTCAGCCTGATGTCATGTCACAGAATGCTAGAAAGCTGATTCAGAAAAATCTTGCCACATCAGCAGATACTCCACCAAGCACCATTCCAGGAACTGGCAAGAGTGTTGCTTGTAGTCCTAAAAAGGCCGTCAGAGACCCTAAAACAGGGAAAGGTAATTAGTTAGAATAAGGATGCATTAAATATTTATACAAAGTGGTGGTTTGACTTAATGTATGTTTCCGTTGCTTCGTAGCTGTGCAAGAGAGAAACTCCTATGCAGTGAGTGTGTGGAAGAGGGTGAAAGCCAAGCTAGAGGGCCGTGATGTTGATCCGAATAGGAGGATGTCAGTTGCTGAACAGGTGACCATTTTTTAAACTTGATGTATCCATTTTAATGCTGCTGAAACAGTACAGGTTTAAGGATACCCTCACCCATGTCCTTGGTGGTTCATCAAGAAATAAGGAACTGAAATTTATTTTCAGAATTCAGAAGATTTTGAGTAATGGTAGTTCTGGAGTTGTCAAATAATAGTCACTGTTTTATTCTGATTCTACCCTTTTAGCACATTTCCTTTCTCCCCAGCCCTCTTCTAACAGAAATTTAAGGTGTGACTTGACCCCCCCCCCCTCCCGTCCTCCAGAGAGCAGTTAAGTTGCATTTTAAAGAGGACTATCTGAATGTTTCCAGTGAAACCAGGGTGAAGTTTGGGGTGCAGGAATAGTATCTTTAAAGTGTTTGGGGGTGTCAGTTTGTCTGAACTCATTACTCTGAAATTTTCTCATTAGTGTTATTAAAATTGTATATATAAATTTGAGAACGAATACCCACCCCCTGCCCCGGCTGTTTATTTTGAAATTTTTAAACCTACAGAAATGTTGTAGGAATGCCCATGTACTCTTTACCTAGATTTAGTAAACCAGTTGTGTTCCTACAGTTGCTTCATCTTTCTACGTATGTGTGCATACACTGTTTTTAAGAGCCATGTGAGAGTTATACAACACTTCATGCCTAAATATTTCAATATATATCTCCTAAACAAAACCTTATTATTAACTCAGGAAACTCACTATTGATGTTAACATTGACTGTTAACTCACATGCAGTCCATATTCAGATTTCTTCAGTTATCCCAAAATGGCCTTTATTGCTTAGCCCCCGCAGATCTAGTCAAGGCTCATCTTGAATTTCATATATACTTGTTCTACTTTTAGTTGCCTTTAATATCTAGAGCAGCTCCTGAGGAGTTTCTTTTTTTTCCTTTTATGACATTGACCTTTCTGATGTGTTCAGACCATTTTGTAGAACGTGCCTCACTGTATATTTGTCTGATATTTTCCTCATAATTAGGAATCAACATTTTTGGCAGAGATACTATGTCAGTGATGTGTCTTTGTGTGTGCCATCTTTTGTGTTATTAAGTTAGGTCATTTGGTCAAGGATAGTGTTCTCCTGAATTCTCCTTTACAAATGTACCTTCTCTTCTGTGGGGTAAAAATTTGAGACTGTGAATATCCTATTTTCTAATGTTTTGACATCCACAATTCAGTTTTAACATCAGCAAGAGAAGGTCTTTTTTATATTTTAAATGCTGTTACATAGCTGTGTAGGACCTGAAATTAAACTCTTCTTGGTCAAGAATTATTTCTTTAGGGTGCCTGGGTGGCTCAGTTGGTTAAGCAACTGCCTTCGGCTCAGGTCATGATCCTGGAGTCCCGGGATCGAGTCCCGCATCGGGCTCCCTGCTCGGCAGGGAGTCTGTTTCTCCCTCTGTCCCTCTTCCCTCTCGTGCTCTCTATCTCTCATTCTCTCTCAAGTAAATAAATAAAATCTTTAAAAAAAAAAAAAAAGAATTATTTCTTTAGAAATTGTCAAGTTTGGGGGAAAAAAACCCACAAAACAAAACACATGGATAATGAGTTAGGGGTATCTTTGCTTCAGAAGCTTTCTAGTAGGTTAATGGCTTGTGTACTTTCAGGATGGTCTATTTTTTTTTTTTTTTTTAAAGATTTATTTATTTGAGAGAGCTAGAATGAGAGAGAGAGAGTACATGAGGGGGGAGGGTCAGAGGGAGAAGCAGGCTCCTCGCTGAGCAGGGAGCCTGATGTGGGACTCGATCCCGGGACTCCGGGATCATGACCTGAGCCGAAGGCAGTGGCTTAACCAACTGAGCCACCCAGGTGCCCTATTTTTTTTTTTTTTTAAGATTTTATTTATTTGAGAGAGAGAGCATGCACATGAGCCAGGGGAGGGGCAAAGGCTGAGGGAGAAGCAGAATCCCTGCTGAGCAGGACTCTGGGCTCCATCCCAGACAATGGATCCTGGTCATCCCAGGATCATGACCTGAGCCAAAGGCAGACCCTTAATTGACTGAGCTATGGTCCTCCATGACTGTCTATCTTTAGCTGTCTGTTCATTTGTTTGAAGGATGGTTGGCTATGGTGCTTTTTATTGTGTTACTAAATTTCATATGAAAGAGAGTTAATGGGCTCATAGGAGTGGGGTAAGTATAGAGATCTTGATGCACAACTTTTGGTATAAATCGTCATTCAGCAGCCATATGTTGAGCATTTAACACACAATTGGGCTCTCTGGATTCTGTGGATATAGAGATGATTGTATCTCTTACTATAAAGGAAAATTTAGCTGAGTCAGAATCAATAGACATTTGTCAAGCACCCAACTGTATTTCAGAATCTGCTATGCACTTTTTTTTTTTACACTGCTTAAGCATTTACTTAGTGACTTCATGTGTGTACCCCAAGAGCACCTGTGGGGTCAGTGGGGGTTCTGTCTTCATCTAAGGATTTACAAGGCTCAAAGGGATTGTAACTTTCCCAAGACACACATTTTGTAGGCTGTGGAATTATGAGAGAAGCTCAGGTTACTTAACCATTCCCTCATAGCAACTACACATCCTTTGGGTAATTAATCTGGGTGATTAGAAACTTATTCTTGAACAACTCCTAGAACTCATATATGTCCTTTAAAGGTCTAAATTGTTTAAAATATTCTCCTGCCTACTTTTACAGGTTGACTATGTCATTAAGGAAGCAACTAATCTAGATAACTTGGCTCAGCTGTATGAAGGTTGGACAGCCTGGGTATGAATGGTGAGACAGTAGATGAGTCTGGTTAAGCGAGGTCAGACATCCACCAGAATCAACTCAGCCTCAGGCATCCAAAGCCACACCACAGTCGGTGGTGATGCAACTGGGGGCTTACTCTGAGGAACCCTAGGAAATCTCGGTGCGCTAGGAAGTGAATCCTGCAGGACAGCTGCACTCAGGGATACGCCCAACACCATGGCCTGCAACCCCAGGGTCAAGGGTGAAAGAAAGAAAGCTCACCGCCTGAACATGGAGATTGTCTTTCTGCCACAGAACAGCTGCAAACGTGTCAGGAGGTTAGCTGCAGAAAGAAATCGGGATGCCGCGGAGCACAGAGTGATTTGGAACTCCATTCCACCTGACCCTGTGTGTACAATCCAGGAAAAAACAAATCCCGCTCAGAAACAGAGAAAACTGGGGCCGCGAAGAAATCACAGCCAAGGAAGTTTTGATGCATTCAGATTCTCGTGTAACACTTGTTGCTTGGCAACAGTACTGGTTGGGTTGACCAGTAGGTACAAAAAGGCTATGCGATAAGAATTTCAGAAATGGACTGGAAATGGAGAGCTATGTAACAGATACACTACATTGGAAGAACTTACTTCTGAAATGAAGGGAAAAAAAAAACTACCCGTTGTCCTCCTCCCTAATCCCACACCATCTACCCACTCCCCCCCTTTACCTGATCTAGTAGATTAGCCATCTTTCTAATTTACTTTTATTTCAATCCTTGTATTTCATAAGCTTCCATCTCGATGTTAACAACTTATATTTGGAGTGATAAACAGGAATTTCTCCAAAACGACTGATAACATGGAAAATTCAAGGATTGTTTAAAGGTCTGATGATCACATACAAAATATAATTCTGGTTATTTAAGTCATTTCTGTGATTCTATCATGTACAGTTTCCAGAATTGTCACTGTGCATTCAAAAGTAATGAATCTAACAGACATTTGATTTAATGTACACTCCCCTTTGCTTATAGTGTGCATTTTTGGGAGGTCATTCAAATTTTCCCTCTTCTGCGATTGCTGTAGTTTCTTTCATAGAAAGTAGCTAATCCAATGTAACCTTTTACCTTTTTAAAAACCAGGATAGAATAGCTATTAGAGTTTTACATAGTTGATGACAGATTAACAATAAAGTGATGTTCTGGTGGAGGTAGAGTGAGATGTTTTTTAATTCAGTTTTCTCATTTGATACTTTTAATTTCCACTTCGTAAATTATAATTGCTTTAGTTTACCTGGCATTTTAGGACATGTACATGAAACATCAGCAAAGATGAGAACCAGCACCATCTTAAGTTCAATTATTAGTCTGTGAAGTACTTTACTTTTTGCACAATTTTAATAGTTTGCTGTGAATTCATAATCAAGGTTTCCTTAAATTTAGTATTGCACTTCAGTATTGTAAACTGAATTGTTGATCCAAAATAAAAATCGAGACTAGAATAGGATTCGTAAAATCACGTGTCAACACAAAGTAGAACACAAAATCTTGATTGTTTGAGTACATTTTTCCTGCATTTGAGAGGTTAGGACTGTGATCATTTCTTGTTGCCAGTCTTCACAAACTTGAAGGGTATTAAGGAAAAATTCTACATAGCTCTGGCCTTTTCTGTATTCTGATTGCCACGTTAATCCATAATCTTCACATACCCATGAGAGAATGCATCTCAGTGCTTTCCAAATACTTAGGCAAGCATTGCAAAAAAGGTGGTATTTTCAAATACCCCTGTGTCTGATAGCAAGTTAAGGAACCTAGTGTGTCAAATTTTATTTTCTTCATTCATTTGAACCTTATTTTCACAATCAAAACAACCTATCTGGAACAATAATGCCATATTGTGTTATGCACGTTGCTTTATTTCGTAGAGGCTGTGTGGGAGCTACTGCATTCATCACTTGATTACCTCTGCTCTCTCAAAAGTAAAGTCTTTTCATCAACATTCTTTATTGTCGTAAGGAAAGAACTTTTATCACAATGATAAAACAAATTCACACTAGTTTGTCCCTACAGGTAGTATTCAGAAATTGCTTTTTCTTTGGTAAAGAAGAATTCATTTTATTTCCTGTGAATTTCAGGCTTCAGAGGTACCTGGCACCTTACCCAAGCAAAAACAAAACAGCTTTATATCAGAAACCTGTGCCTCTGGTAAATTATCCATCACTTTTATTTCAAAATGGTCCCTTAGAGAACAGTGTGGCATATACATGTTTGGTTGTGGGGCAGATGTGAATAACTGAGGACTTATTACTGCACTCTGGACAGTAAGACCCCAGTCCGTGCAGTTTGGCTTCCTCTGGGAAGTCATTCTGCCGAGTAGCCTTGGTATTTTGAACTGTTAACAAGCAAATTCTGCAGATTTAATCACTGGTGAAAGGTCCTGGTGATAGAGCAGATTGAGAAGACAGGGCTATATTTGGGGGATTATCTTGTAAAATAAAGTTCAGAGTGCTTTTGTTATGAAGTCATTTTTGATGATACAGAATACCTATGGAAAACCAGGGATCTGCTCCTCTCTTTTCCTTTCTCTCTCTCTAAGATTCAGGGGGTATAGAATAACTTACAACCTCTTCTTCAATTCAGAGTACCCTTGGAAATGGAAGTTTATCTTGTGTTTTGTTGTCTTTGATTTTCTAAAATTGAATTTTAGTTGGTTATCTCTACAAAGCTGTGGAGGCTTAGTTGGTTTATGGAGCTGTATTTCTCTTTTAGTTTTTCTTTTGTGCCTTGCAGGATCTCATTCTTTCTGGTCATGAGTTCTTAACATAGTTTGCTAGATGATTATTAACATTGTGTCTGGCACTTGTGGTGAGTTGTTTTTGAGCTATGTGAGATTTCTGTGTGTGAACTGATAATCAAGCTCTTGATTGCTTCCCTAAATTGTTTTTTAGAGCCCAAACCCCAGGTTCAGGGTGAGGGTTTGTAATACAAAGAAAAACTTCCATCACTTCTGCCCTTAACACTTGCCACTATTACCTAAGCTTAGTATGTAGTTTTCTTAATATTGTCTATGTTTGGTGTTATCGGCATTGTTTTTAATTGTAGTTGTTCTGATGTGTGAAATTTAAGGAAAGAGCCATTAAAATATGCCGAGCAGGGCAATGCAAGTACAGCCAAATATTAGAGTTGATGTGCAATCTTAGGTCCTTTTAAATCTGGGGTATTATAGGCAGTACTTTAAATTGAAAAGTCTTCCTGGCCTATTTTCCTCCACATATTTAATTACTCTGGGGGCATACTTGTTTTGGCAGTACTAAAATCAAAGGAGCTGGTTCTTCTTTTCTCCTAATTCTTTTCATATTAAAGGAAGCACCTACAATTAGCCTGTTAGTCCTATTCATATACATCAGAAATCAGTGAATGCTTTACTGTTAGCACACGTACCTTTGTTTTAGACGAAATTAGATGAATGTGAAAACCAGTGACCTTCCTTTCTCTATCTTGGGCTTGTAAAATGTCAGTAATTTAGAGCTAGGACTCCCCCCTGCCCCGCCTTTAAATCAAGGAGGTAGACTATAGTGATGTAAGGGTCACTTAAAGAAGGTAGATTTTGTTTTCAGTACATGGGTTGTATTAGGAACATTCCTCCGATGGGGAAAACTAGCTTAGCGTTACAAATTTTTCCAAACATTGCAGAAGGGGAAATCCACTGTATTCTGAACCCCTAAGGGTTTGTTGCACTTTTCCTGCGTTTTAGACCTGGGTAACAGTGTCACCATCCCTTATTTACAAAAGGGCAAATGGACTCTGAGAATCTCTCCAGGTTCAAGGGTTAGTTGTACAAGAGGAACCCCTTGGAGTCCCTTGCTTTTCTATGGGAATTTGGGCTTACTAGGGAAAAGCTGTTTGTTGTGCTACTGTAAAACTGTTATACAATGAGTTTGATTTTTGAAGATGGTAAACTCAAGGAATTGCATGTTGTTCTGAAATGCAGGCTTGTAGAATGTTTTTCTTTCAAAACAGGCTGATTTTTTTCTTTTCCTGGCAGTCCAAGTTTCAGCTCCTGTTTCAAGTTCTTGTGTCACTTATTTTTCTGGTTTAAATTTCTCTTATATTTCCACCTGTAATGTCAGTGGCAGCAGCATACTTCACTTGTTAATTTACCCTTACCATCAGAGCAAGTTGAGTTGAACTGAATCTTCCTTGTCCTAGTAACATTGTATAAATAAAGTGGCTTCTCTGTACAAAAGGTTGTAATGCCTCCTGATGGATATAATTTTGTGATTGTATTTAAGATTAAAAGTTGAATAAATCACACCAGCTTCCTGAAAAATGTTTGTAATGCATCTTTTGGAAAACAAAAATACATGCCTACTTTCTGCATATTTGCATTAACACAGCAAAGATTGTATGAAAAACGTTTTTCAGAAAATAAAATCTTAAAAGACGTAGCATTTAAGCTCTGGATTTATTGGTTGAAGTAGGTTCCAGAAAACTTACTTTTGGAATATGGGTAGAGGTTTGGTTTTTTTAAAGTATTAATACCTTCAAAAATGTTTTTAAAGCTCAGTTCTCAATGTATTTTTTTTTTTTTAAAGAATTTTTTTATCTCCACACCCAATGTGGGACTTAAACCACAACCCTGAGATCTAGTCACATGCTCTACTGACTTAAGCCAGCCAGGCACCACTCAATTTTTTTTCCTTAAGATTTTAGTTTTTTGACAGCGTGCGCGCAAGAGAGAACACAAGCAGGGGGAGTGGGAGAGGGAGAAGCAGGCTTCCCGCGGAGCAGGGAGCCCGGTGCGGCCCGATCCCAGAACCCTGGGATCATGACCTGAGCCAAAGGCAGACGCTTTACGACTGAGCCACCCAGGCGCCCCTGTAATTTTTTTTTTTTTAGTCCTCGAAGTACTATAGTATTTTTGAGCAGCAGTGAAAATTTTAATTCTATGGGTAATTTCTAGTATTGTGTAATTTGTTAAGCTTAACTTTGTCAGTATTGAGAAACAAAACCACAGGACATTATTGATATGTGTATTCCCCTGGGGTGTGAAAGTTCTGAAGGAAAATAGAATTTAAATGTCTGGCTTGTTTTAAATATCTGGAAATCAGATTGCATTTTGTTGCTAGATCATTATAAGAAGATTTATGTTAACTGTGTTGTCATGGGGCACCTTTCAAAAGATCATATCCTCTTTTTATAGTACAAAAATAAAGCTCAAAAGAAAGCACTAAGGCTCAGGTCATGATCCTGGAGTCCCTGGATCGAGTCCCGCATCGGGCTCCCCGCTCAGCGGGGAGTCTGCTTCTCCCTCTGACCCTCCCCCCTCTCATGTGCTCTCTCTCTCTCTCTCATTCTCTGTCTCGAGTGGATGAATAAAATCTTTAAAAAAAAAAAACACTAAGGGTAGGTGTTTTTAAATAATTAAACCAATTGGAAGTTTACAGAAAGACCTTGTACCAGTGCTCCTGGACTGTGAAGTTGCAAATAGGCGTGGGAGCAAATTCTTTGAGTACCAAAAATACTGGGGAGAGGGGAGCCTGTGCTGCTTGAATTGCTTCAAATTTTTCACCTACCTCAATTTCATAAGCTGGTGTTGAAGTCTTAAGCTGTAGGTAGGGAACTTGGGTGAACCAGAAGCATTTTGTAGCAGAGACTGATTTCCCAAAGTAGAAATGTCATTTTTAAAGCATAAAAATTCTGTGGCTTCCTTGGAAGGAGATACTTCTGTGTCTCTACCAAGATTTTGCACTCAGTGCTTAGTATATTCATTATGTGGCTGCGGATTGGGACCTTTTAATTTTCTTTTGAAGAGGGAGGCCAGGGCCTGCTCCTCAAACTTCATAGCTTTAAAATCTCCCCAAATGGGATCTCTGTATCAACTGTTGCATCTTACCTACAAAACCGTATTTTTCACCCAAAGTGGCCCTTTATTGAAGAGTCCCCTTTCTTTGCAAAGGCACAGACGCTCTTCCCACCCCCAAGATCCACAGTAAATTTCACACCCTTCCATGAAACTCATACTGCTCCTGGCCCCACTGGCTTTCTTAGGGGCAGCATGTGTTGTCTTAAGAATCTGGGTAGTTATTTAAGGAATTCTTTTAAAATAAATTTGTGGCATTATATAGGTGATTATAAAAAAGATAAAAGGCTGAAAGGTAAAAGCTATGGTAAGGTTTCCTGAAACATCTCTGACCAGGTCAACATTTGGCATGACTGAAAAAGCACTTAATGCATTTTGAAATCTTGCAGAGAAAAGACGTGGAAGTAATTCATCTTAGTATTATCTAGTAGTTACTCTAGTTCCTAAATTACTGATGAATCCCACTGCTTAGCAGAGGGTTTACATAATTCCTTAGCAAGACCTCCAATGTAAGCAAGGTTCTGTCAAAAACCAGACCCTTCACGGAGAAGGAGCTCATCGTTTCATAAGTAACCGAAACGCCCCGTCCCACAAAGGTTTTCCCTGAAGACCCACATGAATAAGCCACCTTTGTAAATCGGTGCTTTTTTCCCCAAGTTGGAGAACTATGCCCAGATTCCCCCCTCCTTTCTCCATCTAGCTAAGGCCTTACTCTTAATGGTTAGATGGGGCAAACTGCCGACAATTTACAGAAACAGCTCTTTCACTTGTCCTCAAAACCTCATGGGGTGGGCACGAGTGTCCGCGTCTCAAGACTGGGCTAAACTGCCCAGGGGCCGGGCCAGGGCGGCGAGAGCGGCCGCAGGGGGGAGCAGCGAGAGCGACGGGCACCGGGCCCCTTTGATCACAGCGAGGTCAGCGTCACGCGCCCATCTGGGCCCTTCGCCTGATAATGCGTGTCCTGTTTCTTCAAGAACTCAATTCCCGCAAATCTCTTTAGCTGCTTTGAACTCCAGCAGAAGAGGGTCCGAGAGCCACCATGGCCGCCACCCCTGATTCTACCGCGGACAGACCAAGGCGCGGGGGGGCAGGTAGGGGGGAGGAAAGGCAGCGGCCGTTCAACCGCTTCCGAAAGACCTGGGCGGGGCGTCACACTGCTCCTGGGCACTGGTTGGTTGTTCCTTGTCCCCGCCCCCTCGCCCTGAGCGGCCTCCGTCTCCTTTGACCTCAATTTCAAGCCATGCGCTGGACAGCGGTTGGTCGGGCTCCCCCGAAACTTGAGTTCAATCCACCCAATGAAGAGCGGGCTTCGCGGAGACTGTCGGGAAAGGTGGCTGGCCTATATAAGCGGCCTGCGGGGCGTGCCCTAGCGTTAGGGTCGCTGTGTGGGTCTCTGTGGAAGGCTTGTTTGGGGGGCGGTGTGCGCCCGCTAAGGCAGCACCTCAGGGACGATGGCGGAGGGAGATAATCGCAGCACCAACCTGCTGGTGAGTCGTGAGGGAACCAAGCAGGGCCTCCGGACTTGGGTGGGCTTCTCCTGGCGGCGCTTGCGGCCTCGTTCCTATCGTCCGTGGTGGGCCCGGCCCTTCCCTCCCGGTTCCCAGGCGCAGGCGACGACGCCCGCCCCTTGGGCCTCTTGGGTAGGTGCAGTGTGGCGGTCACTAGACGTGTCGACCCCTAACATCCCCTGGGGAAGGTACAAGACGGGGTGAGGAGGGCGCGTGATCTGGCACCGCGAATGGGGAATGAAGAGGAAGTGGGAGAAGGGGGCCTGCGATAAGCCTGGGGTGAAGCCTGGGGCAGAGGGCCACGAGGGGCTTGTCGAGCGCTTTTGAGTCCCAGGTCCCCAGTCATACCCGAGTTTCCCCCTCTTTGATTTCAACCAGGCTGACCTTTCGTTCTTTTAACCTCATACTTGGACAGGGGTGGAGGGTCAAAGGGCCGCTGCCGAAATTTGTTAGAGCTGGCACAGCTTAATCCGCAGGGAGGCTGTGAGCTCAACGCAGGGAACTGGGACCAGGGTCCAGCAGGAAGGACAGTGGGAGGACCTTGCATTTGTCTGGAGTTTGTAAAGGAGGTGTGTGTGTGTGTCACGGGATGACTTTAGAGTAAGCAGGGGTCTGAAGGAACTGCAGTGACGTATCACAGGCGGACAAATTTAACCTCACTACGAGTTTCACGGCTCGATCTAGGCAAAAACGAGAGAGAGCCTTGTCTTTTGTCCGTTGCCACAATGAATAGAGGACCCAAAGAATTTAATCTTTGAAGTTTGACATTCCAAGAGCCCAGGTGCTAATGAATTAAGTGACTTTGCAGGGAAGTTTTGATTGTGCGATTTTCATTTTGCATTGGTTTCTAGAAATGCGTGACCTGTTCGTTTAAACACACACAAACACACTTCTCTTTAGTTAGCATAGTTAGCCCCAGCCAGGTTCCAGTTAAAGAGGATTGCTTGAAGCACAAAGAATTGCCCAAATTCACACAGTTTATTGAAATGACAGATCCTGGCCTGGAGTTCAGCTGCTCTTTGCAGCAGAGCAGTGTAACTTTAAGGAGAACAAAGCCTTTGGCTTTGGATTTCCTGGGTTCAGATCTTTTAACCTCTCTTGTATCTGTTACTTCATCTGTAAAATGAGGTTTGTAACAATACCACCCTTTTAGCATATTGGGAGGATTAATTAAAGTATAAGCATATAAAATACTTAAAGAGTTTCTGGCACATAGTAATCTCATATTTAACTATATCAAGCATGATATATAAAGTCAGAAATGTTGGAGTCACCTAAGTGATGAGTGTGGCACAGATAGAGAGCAACTTTATTAAGATTGGGCTGCACTGTCCTCTGTCTTTTGTATATTTCTCAGTGATAACATTTATAAGGGCACATGGGTTTCTGTCAGTTCTTTTTCCTGTATCAAAATCAGTTTAGGGGCTTTTTGTCACATTGACTCATTCCAGAAGTCTACTTTCAGCAGATTGTCAGATTTGCAGAGAAATTTGAAGTCTAACCAAATGTCCTGGTAAGTGTAAGAAGCACTCATTGTATTGAGATATATTGAGCTTAAGATGCCTCATGTAATTTGGTGAAAGTAGTTTTACTTAATTGTGCAACTGATGCCAGCATCTAAATGATTCCATTACACAAAGCTATTTTAAAAACTGAATGCTGTTCAGGGAGAGGCTTTCCTAATGGATTTAGAAGTAGGGGTATAAATCAATGAAATGACAAAACAACAGATCAATTCTCACCACCTGAAAAATGAGCAAACGTAAAGCAATCTAATTTTATATTTTGGGTGCTGCTACTTAGTAATGCATGACTTTGAGAAAGCTAGTTACCCATTCTGAGGTCATTTTCTTTGTTAAATGGGTCTCATTATCCCATATACTATGAGGGGCTCTATAAAGATTGTTACATGATGTATGAAGAGTAGCCCAGTGCTTGGACTTGGAAGGTGAGTGTTAAATGATAGGTTGGTCCCCCCCCCCCCCCCCCCCCGCCCCGCGCATTTGATTTCTGTCTTTGGTACCAAATTTGCAGAATTTTTTAGGAACTAATTTAAGATAGTGACTTGGTTGAGAGCTGTTTTACATTCTTGGTGTCTTAAAAAAATTTAACTCTCTAGGAAGAAATGTTGGGAGTAGTAAAATGATCGCTTTACATGTTGGTCTTATGTAGGCTGCAGAGACTGCAAGTCTGGAAGAGCAGCTGCAGGGATGGGGAGAAGTGATGCTGATGGCTGATAAAGTCCTCAGATGGGAAAGAGCCTGGTTTCCACCTGCCATCATGGGTGTGGTTTCTTTGGTGTTTCTGTAAGTGAGCTATTAAATTACTGTGGATTGTGCTTGTTATTAAAAAGGGCTCAGGTAATACACAGCCTCCATTTTTGAAAGTGCCTTTAGTCTTTTGTAATGTGTAATCTGTAAAGAATGCCTTTTCTTAGAGCAGTTCTAGTTTTCAGAATTTGTAGTACTTAGTAAACTTGGTAACTTAAAGCAGTTGAAAAAATCAGTGGCTCTCACACTTTTTGGCCTTATGACCCTTTACACTCCTAAAAAGTATTGAGGACCCCAAGGAGCTTTTGTCTCTTGATATTTACATTAACCATTGCAACTATGATGTCATCACATTCTGAAGCTTCCTGGAAAACCACTTGTGAGAAACTGAGAATGAAAAAGGCAGATAACATCTTTGAGACCCAAAAGACTTAAGTGAATAAACATCTTCAGCTAGGAATAGTAATGACTATGTTTTTCTAACCTTCATTTTTTTTTTTTTTTAAACAGGACTATCTACTATCTAGATCCATCTGTTCTGTCCGGTGTTTCCTGTTTTGTTATGTTTTTGTGCTTGGCTGACTACCTTGTTCCCATTCTAGCTCCTAGAATTTTTGGCTCCAATAAATGGTAGGTGGTATAATGATTTTGCTAATTTCTGTGAAGTTACTGAACCTGGTGGCTGTGATTAGTGTGCTGTAATTAAGCACATAGAATTGTCCAACTATTGGATACCTAGGGGTTAGGATTGTTGCTTTTATATGAAGAGTTTCTTAGCCGATTCAGTTATAAATCATGAATTTCCAGTACTTTTAACTCCATAGTTCTTTTATAGTTTAGCATTTATTTATTTAAGATTTTATTTTTGCAAGCGCGAGCAGGAGCCTGGGGGGGGCGGGGTGCAGAGGGAGAAGCAGACTCCCAGCTGAGCCGGATTCTGGGATCATGACCTGAGCCGAAGGCAGGCTTAACTGACTGAGCCACCCAGGGATCTTAGCATTTATTTCGCCTTTTTTTCCTTTCTAGACCTTTTATTGAAGTGAGGTTTTTTTGAGGTAATGTTTTATCAAATATTGCAGAACTCATACTGAGCTTTTCATAGAAATAGTATGTTTATATTTTACATTTATTTTCTTTTTTATTTAAGATACTATAGTTTGCAGGCTATTTTTGAATGAATATAAAAACAGTAACGTAAATTTTTGTCCATTTATTGAGCAGCTATTTATTGAATGTCTACTTTTTTGTTAGGCACTGTTCTGAGTGCTGTGAAATATTTTGACTCTTAAGATGTGTCTTGTGTTTGGGGCACCTGGGTGGCTCAGATGGTTAAGTGTCTGCCTTCGGCTCAGGTCATGATCCCAGGGTCCTGGGATCGAGTCCCGCATCGGGCTCCCTGCTAGGCGGGGAGCCTGCTTCTCCCTCTGCCTCTCTCTCTCTCTCTCTGTCTCCGACTCTCATGAATAAATAAATAAAAAAACATTAAAAAAAATATTAAAAAAAAAAAGATGTGTCTTGTGTTTAAGGTTGATGTTGACACAGTGTAGTGGTAGTTAGCTAAATGTATAGCAAGTGCTTCAGAATAGATGCATTAAAGTATTTTAACTTCCCTCTGGAATGTTGCATTTCTCACTTTTGATCCAAATAACAAAACTAGATGCTGGAGTAGATTTTTTTTTTTTTTGTCCTAGTTGCTTTTCTCCCTTGGTTGTTTAATTTGATCAGTAGTCTACATGTGCCTTTAGTTTTTTTTTTGTTCCCTGATAATAGCAAATTATAAAATAATTCTGTAAAATAAATAATTTTAAATACATGCCTTCTGGATCTTTAAGAACAAATTTGGACATTTTAGGAGATTTGCTTAAGTTACGGGATAATTAAGCATTTTATTTAAAAATGTTTCCCCTCTAGCAGAAAGGATTAGTGTTAGGAAATGCCCTTTGAATTGTTTTTCACATGTAGTAATGAGTTAGGCTGCTGTTTTTTGGGCAAGTTTGTAACCATGTAATGTAGCAACTTAACAAAGGAAATCTACTTCTGACCTTGACTTTATTAGTCAGATGACATTCTAATCTGCTAATTCGTAACTCCTGGAGAAAAGTTTTCAGAAATAAACACTGGTAGTTTCATGGTAATCAGTATGTGGCTCAGTCCAGAGCAATTTTATTTTTTGATCTTTTTAAAAATTTTTTGATCTTAATGAGGAAGGAAGAACACTGTTGCATAGCCACAATTCAGCCTTGACCGTGGGTGGCGTTTAACATCTAGTTGTTTACAAGAAGTTCCAGGGCTCATCAGGAACCCTTCTGTATCTATCACTGCAGTTTTACAGGGACTGGAACTAGAGGAGTGAAAGGAATCTACCCCCCCAGTGTAGGTTCTATGCCAATATATCTGTATAGCAAAGACAGTATAAGGGTGAACTTTTTTTTTTAATCACAATCCAAAAAACATTAAAAAAGGCTTTCTTGGATTATCTTTTTATATTTTTACTGCTGTTTTGTTTATATTTTCCCTCACTGGGACTAAATTTATAAAGAATTTGGATTTGAGCTGTTCGTTGCTGCCTTGGCATCAAGTGTATGAAGCCCAGCTGAGGGTATTATGCTTGGAATGCAGTAGTTATTATCTTAGTGAAGAGTACGCAGATAGAGCTGCAGGGTAGAAACTTCACGTCTTCCTCAAAATAGTGAGACACTGATGGGCTACAACCCAGAATTCTTTTGGATTTGAAAAATAATATAGGAGGAGAGAAATTAATTTATACTGATTTCTGCATGGCCCATAGTAGCCTTGAGTCTTTTGTTACTATAATTAACCAAATGTGGTTTTAGAAGCACAGATTACCATTGCTTTGTACATACACGTCTTTATGTAAAAACGTTCCTGAGTTTTCTTAATGGTACAGAAACTTTTTCACGATTATAAGATAAGTGAATTGTTTTTTATTTAAACTTTCTTTAGGGGATAGCTTTTTAAATTTAAGAGGATGATATATTTCTGTTTACTATAAAGACTTGCTTATAGTGAAGGGGAAGATTTTTTTTGTAGGACCACTGAGCAACAGCAAAGATTCCATGAAATTTGTAGCAATCTGGTAAAAACTCGACGCAGAGCTGTGGGCTGGTGGAAACGCCTCTTTACACTAAAGGAAGAAAAGCCTAAAATGGTACTTTTTTAATTTTGACTTATTTCAGTAAAGCAAAATTTTAAGATTGGGTCTATTTTTACTTCATTGTAGTCTAATGATAGCCTTTTTGTTTTAATAGTTTGATATTTATATTCAGTAGTTTGATTATCATTATCCATTGGTTTAACTCCTCTTGAGCACATTCATAAATGTATGAATTAGACTGAATTACTGGAAGTTAAATTCCAGTTCCATTTAATTTTGTACTCTAGTGGAGCAAAATTTTTGTTTTTACTTATTGAAATAAAAGACAAATACTTAAAAAGCATTTGTTCTCTTATCTCTTAGCTTCACATAAGGTCACAATGTGAATTATTAATTGTAAAAGTAGTATAATTTATTGTAAATTAATTTATACAGAGAATTATAGTAATTCTAGGAGGGAATGTGTGTAAATTCCATGAAGTAGATCTAGTGGAGTTTTCTATGGATTTTATATAATATATAAATACCAAGTCTCTTTAAAGAAAAGTGGATAAATACTGGATTATTTTAGTTTCCAACCTTTGAAACAACATCCTACAGTTAAGCTTCCTAGTCTTCTTCTAGGAGCTGATAAATTTTTGTTGTTTTCATTATTTAGTACTTCATGACCATGATCGTTTCTCTTGCTGCGGTTGCTTGGGTGGGACAGCAAGTTCACAACCTGCTGCTCACCTACCTGATAGGTAAGTCTTTGAGGAAGAACTATAGGCATATTCTGGCCACTGAAGTCTGATTGGAACTTAGTCAACAAATATGTGTGTGTTTATCAAGATTAAGGCACAGATGGAGGAATTGGGAGTATAGAGAGATGACTAAAACCCATGTCCTTGTTTTCTGGGAGTTTGTGGTCATACAGTAAATTAAAACAAAACATAATAACCAAGGTAGAAAGTGACATGCGAGAGGTAAAAGTAAGCAGTGTGTGTTATTTGAGGTTGAGGGGTGTGATAGCAGAAGTTTCTGGGGATAAATACAATGAAAGTAATGGATTTTTTATTGGTTCCTCCCATTAGAGTGCCTAATAGTCTGGGAAACTACTTCTATAAAATGTAATAATCTAGAGGAAATTAATTGCTGTCTCCTTCATTTTGTTTATTTTTAAGTGACTTTCTTACTGTTGCTTCCTGGATTAAACCAGCATGGAATCATTTTGAAGTACATTGGAATGGCCAAAAGGGAGATAAATAAGCTTCTCAAACAAAAAGAAAAGAAAAATGAATAATGCATCTGCTTTATTCAGTGTAATGAATGGCATATACATTGTCCTTGGGAACAGTTTCTGTTATGCTGTCTGGATACTAAAATGTTACAGAAGTAGCTCTTTGCTCTCCCTCTTTTGCCCTTAGTGCGTAGAAATTCAGACTTGCCGAGTAAGGCTTTATGCATAGTGTCTTCATGTGAAGTGTAGCTGGATGCATTCTCATCAGTTGGCCTTATATGGACGACTCATTCGTGAGTACGACTTGTTTTGATTTTTCTCCACCCAGGTTAATTGCATTCTTACTTTTAGGCAACTTCCTTTAAAATAATATAGTGGTGAACTTCACCTTTTAGTACAGTTAACTGTGACTTTGGATAATTAATTGTTCCAGTTGATCTTTGCTTTAGCTAGATACAAGTTAGTGGTCTGAGGCTACAGGAAGCTGGTTCTACTGTCTGCTTCCATAGTCTGCTTAAACTGCCTGGCTTCATGAATACAGAGACCAAGTTGACCACTTCCAATGAAGAGACCAATTAAGATTCACTCCTCATGCTGTTTCTATACAATGGGAGAAGAATCCTCTGGAATAAAATGAAATCAATTCCATGCCCTAGTATGTGCTGGTTTCTGCCTTGTGAAAAACTTAGTAATTTGTAAAAAACATTGATCTTTCCTCCCAAATGGGGAATATGACAGGCTTTGAGCTCGTCTCTCGTTGCTCTTAGACTTCAAGTTAGTAGATCCTTAGAGGCTTTTTAACAGCAGGCTTCCAGAAGTTTGTGTTTAGGATTTTTAGCATATTTTTAATTTCAGGTTTTCAGCTGACTGAAACTAAAGTACATAATAGGTTAAGACTCAGGTCTATGACCTTCACTCCAACACCAGCCAATAAAGGACAGAAGTCTTCCTATACTTAGTCAAGAGTCATTTCAGTAGAAAATAATCTTAGCCTACTAATTTTTTGAGACCAGACTAAGCCTTTGAAGGTAAGCCTCAAGATTCTTAGTTGAAGGTAATTGCTGGCTGCTTTGGCCCCCAGAGATTTGGCACAGGAGGTGGTGTTTATGCTGGCATCTGACTTTTTTCCTAGATCTCTCTCTCTGAAGAGTGCAAGGGCTGCTGGGGAGAGCAGACTTTTGGCTACAATAGGTGGCCTCTGGTCTACAGAGATTTTGTAACTGCTTGGAAAGTGCCTTAGAATCATTCTCCCTCTCAGTAGCTAGAAATTTAGAATAGCTGAAATCTGTAGGCATGAACCTCTGAGGGCCGAAAATGGGACATTTGGGAACAGTTCTTAAACTCTGATTAACTAGCTGTAATATAGTTTTGTGAATTTACTGCACTGATGCTGGACCTTGTGGTATATCTGTCCCTAATAAGTGTTTTCTCCCCTTCAATATTACTGTAAACAGTGGCACCCATTGTAGCATATGTTTGATTTTTTTTTTAATGTTTCCTATGAAAACTACAAACTACCTTAATTTTTACATGTGTTTCCTCATTGTAGATAAGCCTATCTTGCTATCTGGATTTTTTTGTGTATATGTGTTCTACCAATTAACTACTTTGCAGTTTTAATCTTGTATTATTTCTTCTACTTTGTTTTGTGTAAAAGGGGGAAAATAAAAAAGCTGGAATCCCTCCTTGTGTGTCTTCCTTTCTTTTTTATACCTTAGCTGTTAAGGTGTTTACATTGTTTACATGATTGGATTTGTGCATCCGGTTAATGAACAAACCTAGGTGATCATTATGTGCCTACACGGTTCTCTTTAAGAACAGAATGAAAGAAAAGGTGTAAATTCATTCCTCCAGCAAACATTCAGGCACCATGCTAGATGGAAAAGGAGACAGTAAGTGATGGCCAAAGATGAGCGTGAGAGGACCACACTGGATGAACAGGCAGGGAACAATGGAGGCTCGCGAGACATCCTGTCATGATTATCTCTGCTTCAGGTCCCAGCTCACAGTTCAGTGCTTGCTTATTGGTGTTTGACTTCTGTCTGCACTTTGAACTCTTAATTATGAAAAATTTTAAATTGGGGGGCACCCTGCTTATGCAGTCGGTAGAGCGTGTGACTCTTGATCTCTGGGTTGTGAGTTGGAGCCCCACAATGGGCATAGAGTTTACTTAAAAAAATGGATGTTTTTATCAATGGGCCTCACTGTTTATACTTTGTGGGTCTTGGGAACAGATTCAAATGACAAGCCCTCTGACCCTTGCCCCTCCCACCAAAAGTTTGGCTTCTTAGAATCTCCTGGGGTTTTGGTGATACCCAGAAAAGGGAAATTTTAACCCGGTCACTGTAGGTCTGTCCATGGTCACCTGATATTTGAAGTGCTGGTCTACCATGCATCTGTGATTCATTCTCAGGCTAGTCTCATTTGGCTGGCTTCCCAGGCCAGCTGTGACCACAGCAAAAGTCCCTTTTTGACATTTGCCTTGGCACCACCTCCAGTGGAGGTCCCATCATCCAAGAGTTTACAGGATACTGAGAGGAGGTCATTTGCAGTTAGTTGTGTGAAGAAGAGTGAATGGGGGCGCTTGGCTGGCTCAATTGGTAGAGCATGTGACTCCTGACCTCAGGGTTGTGAGTTCAAGCCCCACATTACGCATAGAACCTACTCTAAAAAGAAAACAACACTCTAAGTGCCCTGTCTACAGAAAAAAAAGTGAAGGGATTTTTGAGTTTTTACCAGTTAGTTTTTACCAGCAGTTTATCTTCCACATGTTAACATTTTAACAAGTCAGATCACAGTCCTATTTGAAGATCTCTGAGCAAGCAGGTTCCAGTTTGCCTGCAGCATAAATCACAAACTTGTGAGGCGATTTACAACTGGCCCTCTGTTCTGCCATTCCTTCACCCTGTTTTCCAATTTCAGCCTAGCTATTCTGAGATTTCTATTTGTCTTTATAGGATTCCATTCCCTCCTAGTTCTTGGAGCCGTCTACTGCCCCACACACCCTTCCTATTTTGGGATCAGGTAGTCCTAGATTCAAACCCCATTAAGTAATTTACCTAGTAGCTTAGACAAGAAATCACTTTTTTGCTTTGACTTTTTAAGATTATTCATTTGAGAGAGTGAGCAAAAGTGAGAGTGGGGGGGAGGGGCAGGAAGACAGGGAGAGAGAATCTCCCTCCAGCAGACTCCCTGCTGAGCACAGAGCCCAACATGCGGCTTGACCTCAAGACTTTGAGACCGTGACCCAAGCTGAAATCAAGAGTTGGATGCCCAAACAACTGAGCCCCCTTTTTTTTTTTTTTTAGGATTTTATTTACACATTTGACAGAACACAAGCAGGCCGAGCAGCAGGCAGAGGGAGAGACAGAAGCAGGCTCCTCACCGAGCAGAGAGCCGGACATGGGGCTTGATCCCAGGAACGCGGGATCATGACCTGAGCCAAAGGCAGACATTTAATCTGACTGAGCCACCCAAGTGCCCCTGACTTTTTAAATTGAGAGCAAATTAAGTCAGTTTCAAATTGAATTTAGTTATCTCATTTGCGAAATGAGGATAAAAGTACAGATCTCATAGAGGGGCATTATACATTTGTTTTCAGGATTCTATGAGTTCATAGAAAGGAAGCACATAGCAGCAGTTTGGTAGCCTTAGCACAATTCAGGACACAGATCAAATGGCACTTCTGTGAAATCTTTAGCAACTTTCCAGGCCAACTCTGCATCCCCACAGCACTTCATATCGGCATCCCATATAGCAAACTGCCTGGTATTGTATTCTTAGAGGTCTGTTTTCCCTGTTGGGATCTGAACCTCTTAAGGTCAGAAACATTGGGGCGCCTGGGTGGCTCAGTTGTTAAAGCTTCTGCCTTCGGCTCAGGTCATGGTCCCAGGGTCATGGGATCGAGCCCCACATCGGGCTCCCTGCATGGCGGGAAGCCTGCTTCTCCCTCTCCCACTCCCCCTGCTTGTGTTCCCTTTCTTGCTGTGTGTGTGTCTCTGTCAAATAAATAAAATCTTTAAAAAAAAAAAAAGGTCAGAAACTTCTTTGTCCCCGCAGGGTCTGGTACAACACGGGGCACATGGAAGACACTCAGATGTTGAATGAATGAATGAAGTGTATAAAGAGATAGTGGATGGTGCTATTTTTCTATTTATGTACAGGAAGGCTATTGAAGGAAAGTGGGGTTTCTTAACTCCCCACTGTTGCTAATGCCCTCAGTTTTAGTATACAAAACATTAAGTGTACAGATAATCAGTTAAAATAATTTTCATTAAAAAAGCAAATGGGAGGGGCACCTGGGTGGGTGGCTCAGTCAGTGAAGCATCTGCCTTCAGCTCAGGTCATGATCCCAGGGGTCTGGGATTGAGTCCTGCGTCGAGCTCCTTCCTTTCCTCAGCGGCGAGCCTGCTTCTCCCTCTCCCTCTGCTGCTCCTCCTGCTTGTGCGCTCTCTCTCTCTCTTGCTCGCTATCTCTGTCTCTCTGTCAAATAAATAAATAAAATCTTAAAAAAAAACAAATAGGAAAAAAGAAACAGGCACCTGGGTGGCAGTGTGTTAAAGCATCCAACTCCTGATTTCGGCTCAGGTCATGATCTCATGGTTGCAAGATCCAGCCCCAAGTCAGGCTCCAGGCTGGGCATGGAGCCTGCTTAAGATTCTCTCTCTCCCGGTGCTGGGATCGAGGCCCGCATCGGGCTTCCTGCTCAGCAGAGAGCCTGCTTCTCCCTCTCCCACTCCCCCTGCTTGTGTTCCCTCTCTCACTATCTCTCTCTCTCTCTGTCAAATAAATAAAATCTTTAAAAAAGAATAAAAAATAAATCCATCACCTAACAGCCATCTTTAAAAAAAACTAACAAACAAACTCTCTCTCCTTGGGGTAACTGGCTGATGGACATTAAGGAGGGCACGTGATGTAATGAGCACTGGGTGTTACATGTAACTGATGAATCATTGTACTCTACCTCAAACTAATAATATACTGTTAATTAATTGAATTTAAATAAAAAATAGATAAAAAAGAATTCTCTCCCTCCATCCCCTCTCTAAAAAATAAATGAAGGGGCGCCTGGGTGGCTCAGTAGTTGGGCGTCTGCCTTTGGCTTAGGTCATGATACCAGGGTCCTGGGATCGAACCCTGCATCGGCTCCCTGCTCAGCGGGAAGCCTGCTTCTCCCTCTGCCACTCCCCCTGCTTGTGTTCCCTCTCTCGCTGTCTCTCTCTCTCTGTCAAATAAATAATAAAATAAAAAAATCTTAAAAAATAGGGCGCCTGGGTGGCTCAGTTGGTTAAGCGACTGCCTTCGGCTCAGGTCATGATCCTGGAGTCCCGGGATCGAGTCCCGCATCGGGCTCCCTGCTCAGCAGGGAGTCTGCTTCTCCCTCTGACCCTCTTCCCTCTCGTGCTCTCTATCTCTCATTCTCTCCCTCTCAAATAAATAAATAAAATCTTTAAAAAAAAAAATCTTAAAAAATGAAAAAGCAAATGGTCCTTTTGTAATGTAAATTATAAGCAGAGAATTCTATATCCTGGAGATGTACAAACTGAGAGTTTTGCTTTCCTCAAGGTTCATTTAGGTTATCTCTACAGTGAGCGTGGGGCTTGAACTCACAAGCCCCCAGATCAAGTCACATGCTCTACCAGCTGAGCCAGGCAGGCGCCCATCAGGGTTCATTTAGGATTTGAGAAGTGGTAGGGGTGTGGTGGGGTGAGAGACTATACCAATAACTAATGTTGATTTAGCCCTCACTCTGCCAGACTGTGTTAATTTCTTTATTAATTTTTTTCTTATTGAAGTATAGTTGATGAACAATGTTATATTAGAGGTGTACAACATAGTGAATCGACAATTCTGTATATTACAGTGTTCACCACTGTAAGTGTAGTTACCATCTGTCACCATATGATATTATTATAATGTGTTAATCTCTTTTATATGGATTATTTCATCTATCCTCACAGCAACTTCAAGTGATTGTGGGCATCATTCCCATTTTACAGATGGGGAAACTGATTTGCCCATTCATTTATTCATCAAATATGTATGAAGGGCCTATTGTATACCAGATTAATTTTTCTAGAAGCTGTGAATATAATCATGAACAATACTGACCAAATATGTCCTTGCTTGGAACTTAATGGAGACAGGTAAATACACTTCCAATATTTCAGGTGGAAAGTGCTATGGAGAAAACTTAAGCAGGGCAATGGACTTACGGGGAACAGGGAGAAGGCTCTATGAGTGAGTGTGTGTGACTGAATAAAGAGCTGAGGAAAGCTGGGAAGCAAGCTTCCTGGCAAATTGAAGAAATGTTCAAGTTAGAGGGAAAAGCAAATGCAAAGGCCCCGAGGTGGAGTATACTTGGGGTGTTCAAAGAAAAGCAAGCTAGGGGAGAATGGTGGGGAATGGTCTTGGTGTGCTGGTGCTAGGAGGCAGGTGTGCACATCACAGAGGACCTTGTAAGCTTTCATAAGGAAATTTGGATTTTGCTGAGGGTGATGGGAGCCCTTGGAGACTATATGATCTGACTTAGGCTTTAAAAAGGTTATTCTGGCTTCCATGTGGGAAAAACAGGGATGGTAGAGGGAGGTCAAGGGTGAAACAGCAAGGTAAGTAGGCTATTGCAAATATTTCAGATGTTAGGTAACTAGCCTCAGGTCACTCAGCTGCAGAGAGGGCTGAGCCAGAATTTACTCCCTTCCAGGGTATCAGACCCTGGATTCAAGCAACAGCTAAAACTCCCTGTTGTTTCCATTGTCAAAATACATTGAGTATTTACTACATGTCAGACATCTGGCAAGCCCTTTGCCCCATTATCTCACCTGATCCTCACAATCATTTTCTTTTAAGTAGGCTCCAGGCCCAGCGAGGAGCCCAAGGCAGGCCTTGAACTCACCACCCTGAGATCATGACCTGAGCTGAGATCAAAAGTCCCCCCTCAACCGAGCCACCCAGATGCCCCCCAATAACTTTTAAGAGGGAAGTATTATTATTATTATCAACCCCCAGAGAAGATAAGAGACTTAACAAAGTTAGTTCTTGATCAACCCTGAGTTTTTATTTATTTATTTAAGATTTTATTTATTTGACAGAGACACAGCAAGAGAGGGAACACAAGCAGAGGGAGTGGGAGAGGGAGAAGCGGACTTCACGCCCAGCAGGGAGCCTGACGTGGGGCCTGGTCCCAAGACCCTGGGATCATGACCCCAGCCGAAGGCAGACGCTTAACGACTGAGCCACCCAGGCGCCCCTGAGTGTTTATTTTGAAACGTTTGCGGCTTCTTCCAACTGTGTATCCCAGAAGGAGAGAGAATCATTTTGGAGCCCCCGTAAACAAGTTATAAGAGTTAGGGTGAGTCTGGGCACCTGGGTGTCTCAGTCGGTTGGGCGTCTGCCTTCCACTCAGGTCATGATCCTAGAGGCCTGGGATCGAGGCCCCTGATCCGGCTCCTTGGTTGGTGGGGAACCTGCTTCTCCCTCTGCCCCTCACCCCCGCTCCTGTGCACGCTCTCTCTCTCAAATAAATAGATAAATAATCTTAAAAAAAAAAAAGTTAGGGAGAGTCATAAAGGTAGCGCCGACTTAAAAAATATTTTTGACTTCTTTGAAAAAATAATCTATACACAGATTTGAAAAAACAAAGTTGTGTAAGGAGAAAAGCAAGTCTTTCCAGTTCCTAAGGCCCCCTTCAGAGGCAGTTATCGATTTGTTCGGGTCCTTTCAGACCCGCAATTATAAATACCCAAATATAAAAATTTATTCTAAATGGTGAACTCTTATTACAACAGAAATTAGCAAATATCTAGGCCCTTTTCAGTTTTTCATTTTTACAGATTAAATGCCAGAAGGAAGTTACCTCTATCTTTTCCCTTGGTTTCCCCTGGAGCGGTCGATTCTATCGACTCTCTACGTCTCACCCCTTAAGAGGCTCCGCCCCTTCATCCGCCTTCCACCAGGCACTGTATTTTTTTGGCTCACCTTTGAAAGTCTCGCGATAGGCCACCCGCTTCCCATAACTCCGTGCGCTCGCCCCTCCCGTCCTCTTTCCGCCATCTTTCCGTGCGGGTGAGTATCTCTGTCTGAGCCGCTCAACATCATCCGTTGGCTATCCGGGCCATCCTGCAGTCTGAGCCTCGACTTCGGTGCTGTGTGATGATGCCACGGCCCTCCTGGGCCGAGGGTGCTGCCCTTGTGGGGGCTTGGGCAGGCGTAGGGGAGAGTCATGCTGTCCGCCTCACGCTCTGCACTTTGGGGAGGCCGGCCTATGAAGCTCAGGCCGCAGCACTGGCGGGAACCGGAGCTGTCGACCGTTCGGAGAGGCGGTAGCCCCAGCTTGGTCGGCGGCTCCAGGACCTCTCCTCAGTAGTTGAGGCAGCGCCTTGGCTCCGGGCGGCGGGAAGCATCGGGGACGGTGGCCGACGTGGGCTGTGCAGCTTCCCATTATTGCCGCCGCGCTGTGAGCTTAGGAGGCTGAGGCCACTCAGCAGGGAAGACTGCATTCTGCCTGGGATGGCAGTTTGCAGGGCACTAACCTGGATTTTCTGGGCTCCAGGATTTCCCTTGAGACTTGATCGGGCTTGAGGAGGCAGGTTGGATCCTTTAAGAGTCGGGGCTTGAAGCATCCTTTGGTCTCCATCCTTAGCTTTCCCAGCGTTACTAGAGTGTCTTGCAGTTTGTGCCCAGTAGGATGGAGTCGAGTCTGGTGCACGTAAAAAGTTCCTACTTGCCACTGTGGTACGGTTGTTGTCAGGACACGGTGGCTGGCGCAAGAACGGTCGTTTTATTAGTTATGAGTGTTAGTGAAAGTGGTATCTTTTGGATGTTAGGACAAGACTGACGTTGAGTGGGTTGATTTAAAGGACAGTGTTAATAGTACAGGTGCTGCCGGATTTGAAAAGTTTGGAAGACATACCCGGTGATGCTCAGGGCCCCGTTCTGAATAACGGACCGACTGTAGGCGATTTTGTTTTGGTAGCTGACATTGCGCTGGGGAACCTGTCTCCTTAGAGATAGGACAACTTAATGGTAGAGGCAGAAAGAAAAGGAGGTGTTCCTACTGGAATGATAGGGTGCCTTTGGATGTTGAGAATGCTGGTAAAACCTCTGTTTTTCCTCCCCTGAACAGCCATAATGGTGCGCATGAATGTCCTGGCAGATGCTCTCAAGAGCATTAACAATGCTGAGAAGAGAGGCAAACGCCAGGTTCTTATTAGGCCGTGCTCCAAAGTCATCGTCCGGTTTCTCACTGTGATGATGAAGCATGGTAAGTGTGTTGCTGTGTTTTACGTTTTCATGTGAGAATATTAAAGGAATCAGTTGTGTAGAAATGAAGGGTGCAGGAGAGCACTGGGAAGATGGGGGAGCAAGGTGGCAGTCATACTGGGGAGCTAAGATAGTTGAGTAGGGCTGTGGACAGGATAGCTTGGACAGAAGCTATTTTGAGAAAGTTAGGACTGTTGAAAGGAGGAAGTTTGTGACTCTTGCTCTGCTAGTAGTTCGGGAGCTAACCTGGCCTTTCTTCGTGTAGTACCGCAGCTGCAACATGCCATCCAGCATGCCACTGAACAGGTGCTGAGCTCTTCTAAGGGCTTTGGGATGGAAAGGAGAATTGTTACATGTCTTGGGCACAAATTAGCCTTTGAGATGGGCAAGGGGAAAATAATCCCCCTGTTAAAATTGTAGAGTGGGTTGTTTTTGGGTGTTGGCCCCTAAGTTTAAAATATTAGGCTCTAAAAGTTTTGATTCAGAGCAACTGTCTTTGCCAAAGCTGATTAGAGAAACAGTCACTGAAATGATGTGAAAGAACCCAGTAGGCCAACAGTGGGAATACTAGAGCATAAATATTTAGGTTTCTCAAACTCATATCTGCCCTATAATACAGCCAGTTATTTTCTGTAGGCTACATTGGCGAATTTGAAATCATTGATGATCACAGAGCGGGGAAGATTGTTGTGAACCTCACGGGCAGGTTAAACAAGGTAAGAATTGACTATTTTCCACAACGAAGATTCTTAAGAATTATCAAACATGGTGTTAAACATGTTGTAATTTCCCTTGTAAGACCAAATTTGTGGTGTGCTTGCTCTGTCTAGGTGAAAAAGGGGAGTTGATTAAAATCATTAATTTTTATATCACATTTTGATTGATTTTTCTCCAGGATTGTATTTGATCTAGAATTGTTAGTTGACCTGATGTTTGTGGGGTATGGGCCATCTGAAGGGAGATGCTGGAGGGTGGGGGTGAAAGGAGCACCTGATGGTACTGGTGTTTGAATATTGGATGGTCTGCTGCCTGCCCACTGGCTTGAACTTAACGCCGTCCAAGGGGGGGCTTTAATCCTAGATGTAAATAACTTTGTTCCTTCTCTCTTTTAGTGATTATGTTGTGTTTTTTGAACTGAATGTGGTTCTCTAACAATATTAATACTTATATATTTGCTGGTGTGGGCTGTATGGGTGTCTGAATTTTGTACTACCTTTCAGTTTGACTTGTCAGCATAACCTAGGGGATCTATTTGATCTTTTGACTTTGTGGCTTAATTTACTGCATGTATTTTGGGGATAGGTGTCTGTAACAAGTTAGGGTCCCTGAATTGCTACCCTGCTTTTTGTGTTCAGGTTTCTAGCTTTCAGATTTACAAGGAGCCTGACATCCTGTGGTCCAACACAGATGAGGGGAAAACAGGCCCAGAAATGAGTCGTGGTTAGTGGCAGGGGCCAGATTGATTGGTAAGGTTATTCCCTGGTCCAACAATTTGTTGTACAAAGTTGCTTCCCTATATAGTGAACTTGCTTCATGTGTGGGTGGATACCTAATGTTAGATCAAAACTACTGGGTGTGAAGTTTTTACGAGGGGTTAGAAGAGTTTTCAAGTTAATTTTGAGACTGTATTTTGTTATTGTTAGCCCTTAGACTCCAACGCCAAAGTAGAATTTGGATTCACTATTGTTTCTCACTTTGACCCTTACAGCGTGTTCTTGAAGTAGAAAAGGGTGTGTTTTTTTCCTAATTTTAGGAGTTGGGATCCTGAGATAGGAGTTACGCTCAGTCTCCCAACAAGTCGGTAGCCATTGGAGGAGCTGGTTCCAGTACATAGTTTATAGCACATCTTAAAACTGTCCTCCATAAGATTGACTTGATGTTAAAAAACAGCAAAAACCCCCCAAAATCTTAGTTGGTTAAGTGCTGTGCACCAAATTCCTCTTGAATATTCACTATATATAAAACTTGAGAAATAAACATGAGAAATAAGTTTGAGCCCAGAATTTCCCAAGTGGAACTCATTTATGGCATCCTTGTTCTGTGGTAACGTAATTTGAAACATTCTGGCTAAGAGGTAATTGAAATCCAGACCCTGCTCCTTAGCTGTCTGACCTTTTTTTTTTTTTTTTTCCAGATCTTATTTATTTGAGAGAAGAGAGAGAACGAGGAGGGCGGGTAGAGGCAGAGGGAGAAGCAGGCTCTCCGTTGAGCAGGGCCCTGAGATAGTGACCTGAGTCAAAGGCAAACGCTTAACCGACTGAGCCACCTAGGCACCCCTAGCTATTTGACTTTGGTTGGGTAAAACAAATTTCAGTTTTCAGTTTCTCTGAAGTTGAGTTTTCCTCCTTTGTAGGACAGTGTTTCTGCAATTACCTTCATGCAAGAGATGGATATACCCCATACTGTGGAAGTTTAATTGGGCTGAAAAGTAAGGTAGTGTTAGAAATTATATGAGAATTCTGGTTTGGTCACATCCTATGATCTGTCTGGTTTGGGAGAGGTTCAGTTCTATTAGCTGAGTGAGGGATTTTGCTGCTGGAATAAATAAAAGCCCTGGTGTGGTGGAGTGGAGGCCTCAGAAGAGTCTACTTGGAGAAAGGACTGTATTTCCCTATTCCTGTGTCCATATTGTGGGATTGCCCTTGACAGTTGACACTGTAGCTGTTAAGATCATGTCATGAAAAGGAGAACCTGAGTGAACCTCTGACTTGGGGGATTTGGGCCATTTTCAGTTGTTTGGGTTCAGATCCGCTTGCGGAAGTGTAACTGTTAAAAGATTGAGTAAGTTCTAACCTCATAGTCTCCTTTAGTTTCCTCTTAGGTATTTTGGAACTTGTGTAGATGTGGGCACACAAGTGTCTAACTGCTGTCTTAGTTCTCTGGAGTTTACACTTTAATGGTACTAATCCTAAGTGTTCTCACATGATCCATTTCTGGTGTATAAATAGGAACCTTTCTGCGTTGATACTTTGAAGTGTATGAGTGATTTGTAGACTAGGGATGTGAGCAGGGATGGGGTCATGTTTAGCTCTAATGAAGGAGTCTTTGGATTCCCTCAGCTTTTACTTTGTAAACCCAGTTGATCTAGCAAATAGCCTGCTAGTAGATGTTTGAACATTTATTGTGTTTTAAGATTTTCATATAACTGAATTAGAGTTGAGTAGAGTAGGTTCTGGTGGAGTTCTCACATTGGAAGATAGTTGTTGCTTTGTCCCAGTAGCAAACAGGTGGGATAACTAAGAACTCTGCTGTTTCTGCCTTCCACCCATTCTGCCAGATGAGTTTGGAAAATCTTGGCTGGGGTTGTAAATGTATCCTGGTAGTTCGCTGATGTGGAATACCAGTTCTTAGATTTTAGTTTAGTGTCTGGAATTTGTTTTTTAAAAATTCTAATATTTTGCACTTTTAGTTTATAGGTGAAGGACTTGAGACCCTCCACATTCATTTCAGCCTCACTATGTAAAAAAATTTTGACTACAATTTTGTCTTAAGGCTTGGTCTCTTAACCTCTTTAAAATCTGGCCATTTGTTCTGGGACAGCTCCCTAGCCTGTAGAGATACATGCTTTGAACCTGACCTTCCCCTGTATTGCCTTGGGTTCTCCCTCTTCTGTTGACTTTATTTATATTTTTAAATTTAAAGATTTTATTTGACAGAGAAAGAGCATAAGCAGGGGTTTCAGCAGGCAGAGGGAGAAGCGGACTCCTACTGACATGGGGTTTGATCCCAGCACCCTGGGATCAGGACCTGAGGTGAAGGCAGATGCTTAGCCCGCTGACTGAGCCACCCAGGCACCCCTTCTGTTGACTTTTTTTCTTCTTGCATATTTTTAAAAAAAATTGTCAAATTCAATTAGCTAAGTATAGTGCATCATTGGTTTTTGATACAATGTTCAGTGATTCATCAGTTCAGTATAACATGCAGTGCTCACCACATCATGTGTTGACTTTTTAAATACTTTTTCTCTTCCTAGGCAGGCATAGTCCTAACTCCAAATGACATTTTTTTTTTAAGGATTTTATTTATTTATTTGACACAGAGACAGCGAGAGCAGGAACACAAGCAGGAGGAGTGGAGAGGGAGAAGCAGGCTTCCCGCCAAGCAGGGAACCCGATGGCGGGGCTTGATCCCAGGACCCTGGGATCATGACCTGAGCTGAAGGCAGACGCTTAACGGCTGAGCCACCCAGGCACCCCTCAAGTGACATTTATATCAAGATGGCACAGAACAGTTACCCATGAAATGTTGATTTGGCTGGTTTCTGAATGCTGTTTGTGTACTAAGTTTCTCTGTTATTGGTAAGATGTGAACAATGTTTTCTTTTATGCTTTTACAGTGTGGAGTGATCAGCCCCAGATTTGATGTACAACTGAAAGATCTAGAAAAATGGCAGAATAACCTGCTTCCGTCCCGCCAGTTTGGGTGAGTCAGTTTTCCTTATTTAAAAGAAAATAGCAATGCTAAAGATTGCTGTGGTGCAGTTTGACTTGAGCTGAGTTTTTTGTTTGTTTGGCTTTTGTCGTTATTATAGTAGTAATTGTCTCCATCCCCAACCATCTTGACTCAAGGATTAATTGTTAGGTGTTGCCACATTTCATGTGCTAGGCTTCAGGTTCTGAGAGACCTGTGAGAGTCCAGGCTAACTGAGAGAAAGCAGATTTGTGTCCCCTTAAGTGTCTGCTCCTTTGGCTCAGTGCATATAGTTGATACTGTATGTTCATTGTGATCCCGTTCTATGGCTGGAATCACTTCTGAACCCTAGGCTTCTGGAGAAACTCAATTTGTTCATTCTTGGTAAGAGATGGAGTTCAAATCCTTGCTTTCCTAGTTTAAAGCTGTGAGGCCTTGGGTAGCTCATGGCCTTGGTTTCTTCATCTGTAAAAATGGTAATTATTCTCTTAAATTATTTTATCATCTGATTTAATTCTGGTAAAGAACTTCAGTATCTGACACAACACAGTAAGTGCTTATCTGTTTGTGGTTAAGAACTTAAGCCCCCACCCCCTCCCCAATCATATATTTGGTGATGTGGTTGAATTTACTCCCACTTCATGGTTACTGTGTTACAGGTACAGTGCTATGAGTGAGTCATTTCTGATTGTAATTATGATACTGATGTTAATGCCTCAGAGTTGGCATACCACCTTATGTGTCTTACCTCGATCCCCATAGTAACCCATGAGGTAGCCAGGCCAAGTGGGATTTCCATTGTCCACCTGACTGTCTCTTTACAGTAGCTTGTCTGTGATCATGTAAGTGGCAGAAACAATTCAGTCAAGTTTATAGCAACACTTTATTGCTTTAAACTGTCTCCTTACCTGAGAACAGAAAGTGGCATTTTGAAATTAAAGGAGTTCAGTTTTCATTTTCAATTAAGCTTAACAGCATTGTTTCTCGGTGTTAGCTGAGGGCAAGGCTGTGTGAGTGTGTTGTGTAGCTGAGGTCTTTGGATTTGGGTGTTTGGGTCCCAGGAGCTATGTCTGCACTGCTGACCAAGTAGGCAGTATTAGTTTCTGCGTCTTGTTATGGGAAAGCGTCTTAAGCACTTATGAATGTTGGTCTTTTTCTGTACCAGAAAGCCGCTCTGTGTTGAACTTTTAGGAAAAACTCACCAGCGTTTTCTTTTTTAACTCTCCATAGTTTCATTGTACTGACAACCTCAGCTGGCATCATGGACCATGAAGAAGCAAGACGAAAACACACAGGAGGGAAAATCCTGGGATTCTTTTTCTAGGGATGTAATACATACTTGCAAATAAAATGCCTCAATGGACTCTGGTGCTTCACTCGGTCGTTTTGAACTTTACAGCAGAGTTAGCAGGAGCATCTGCAGCAGTGTACAGCCTTTGTGTTAATTGGGGAGTGCTGTTTCCCTGAAGTGAACAAGGAAGTCTTGACTTGTGCTAACCCCACCATCCATGCTCATGGCTCACCAGAGGAGGTTGTATCTAGCCCTGAATGGCTGAATCTGAGTTGGGGTCCAGGTGGTGATGCTTTCTCTTCTGGAGTCTTATATTAACCCTGGAAGGAGTGGTGCCTTTCCTGTTTTTAGCTTGACAATACACATTTCATGCACAGTTGTTTACTGTGCTAACGATACGACCTGGCTACAGTTAACTGTGTAAGTGCTCCTAAGGAAGCAGGCAGGAAGCAAACAGCTAGAGCCCACAGATCACTAAGATGCATCTCAAAGTAAATTTGGATGGCATGTTAATAACAACATTTTAGCAGTATGTGTTTGTAAGACATTTAGGAAAATGAAACCTCGTTTAAAAACTAGTTTTACTGTAAACCTGTCATAAATGTATTCCTGGACTAGAGAAGAATTAGTTTGCTGGGCCACTTCACCTGGGGGAATGCTTGTAAAGACCTCCACCACCAGCAGGTGGGGCGGCTTCTGTGAAGTACACCAGGGCTCCACTGCCCCTTTGTAAGCAGTGCTGTCCAGTAATGGAACAAGAACCACTTTTAGTGGCGATGTAAAACTATTAAACAGTTTGGATTGGTTTTTTTAATAACATTTGTGTTCAAAATGATACACTTGTAACGTGTTGATAATGGAATTTTACTCCTTGTAATAAGTCTCTGAAATTATGTATACTGTACATTTATTTACACTTAAGGCACGTTTTAATTGTGGCTAGCCACTTTACATAGCCACATGTGGCTGGTGTTCATGTTGGACAGCACAGGCTAGACTTGATTCTTGGAAGGGCTAAGTCTGGCCAAGGAGAAAGAAAGCTTGGAGGAGAGCCCAGATAGGTCATTGTGCACCTGGCCAAGCTATATTTGCGAGGCAGGGGAGTGGGATGAATGGGGGCAGCTCACAGCAGCTACTCTTTTAGTCATGTAAAGCAAAGTAAGAAAAAAAAAACTGCCACATTGCAGCCCTGATTCCAAGAAGTCTAACCTCAAATAGGATGTGAAGTGTTAAGAGCTGTTGGATGTATAGGTTTGATTTTCTTTTTTTCCTTTTCAGAAAAGGATACTTCAAACTGTTTAGATTGTTTTGATAACTCATCTAGAAGGCTAATTTCTGACTTTCTGGTAGGTCAGACAGTTTTCAACACTCTGGTATCTCAGTCTGGGTAGGGATGTTGAATTTATCGCTGCCCTGGTTGTAAAGTGATCTCTGGCAAGTGACAACTTCTGTGGGTCTCCCTGTGTTAGGTAAAAAGAGAAAAATGACTCCGTGGGGATGCTAAGTGAGAGCACACTTGAAACAGCCCAGGGCTGGGTCATGGCAAGCATTCAGTAATAGTAGCTGAAAGGGATTACTATAAGATGTGGGAACTACTAGCAAGGAGTGCCAAGACTGGCCCTAGAGATGTGTTAAGCAATGGCCCCGGTTAGTAGGCCTCGCTTGGTAAAATGTTAGAAGAAAGCCAGTTGACAGGTGTATCTGGGTTTAGGGCCTCTAATGTTTGGAAGACCATGCATAATAAACATGGGCTTTAGGGGTTTAACAGACCAGTAATAAAGTTTGCTTTTCTGCTAAGTAGCTTTGATTTCCTTATCTGCATAATGGGAATAAGGGAAAACCTACTTCAAAGTTGTTAGGGGAAAGATGAGATTATGTAAAGTACAGTTAATTAGTACTTGATAGTCATATATACAGTTGAATTTGTCAGACACAGGTGGAGTGAGTCCAGAAGAATCTTTAAAGAGCCGATTGTTGATCGTTTCTGTTAATGTCAAGATTGTAAGCTCTTGGAAGACAGGTCATGTTTTGTTTACTATTGTATCTCACTCCTAACCTTACGGCTTGTCACAGTGGATGCTTCAGTAAGTACATCTTGATTGAATGGATCTTCATCTTCCTGGGCACTGATACCAGGTACTAAAATAGGACAAGAAAATGGCCCCATTTGTCCCCACCATTTAGTGGGGATCCAATGTCCTTTGAAGTGGTCAAGGGTAGAAAAAAGTAGGTGCTGAGGTAGGGAAAATTGGGTGGCCAGTTGATGGATTTAATAGCACAGGTCTCTTGTGTTTATGGGGAAGCAGATGGCTTTAGCCCATATTTCTGAGACCCAGTAAATAGACCCAGTAAACATGAGCTGTGGGCTGGTTGGCCCAGGTTAGACTCCCAAGGTTTGAGGGTCTGGAGACAGTTTAGGTTCCTCCTGGCAGGAAAACTTGCCTCAGGTGTGCTGTGAACGCAGTGTTCCCTCCCAGCCTGCCACTGCCACGGGCCGGCGGAGGTTAGGGGGATTAGGGTGGTGAGGAGTGACAGCTGCTTGGACCTACCAGATGCACTTTGAGGCAGTGTTAAAACGGGCCTTAGCACCTATCCAGACCCTGGGTTCTTAACCTAAAATCTATTGACATGTCAGAGACGAACTTTCTGAAAAGAACATGCAAAATTGGTAACAGCCACGCATTTTTCTGGAGAGGTTCCATACAGCATAGAGCCTTTGATCAGAAACTGAAAGAAATAGGTCAAAAGAACCACCACACAGATGTCCATGATCAGTGCATCCTATGTTCTCATTTAGAGGTGGTTTTGCCTTAACCTCTGGGTAATGTGGGTTAACTCTGGTAATGTTGCTAGATAGAAGAGCACAGAGTTCTCTGGGCAAGGGAGAGGGTCTTGGTCTGGTCAACATCTGAGAGGTGATTTTTTTCACTGAAGGCTAGGGAGTTTCCACTCCTGACCCCAAACAAAGCAAAGCTCTGGGAGATCCCAAATCTGATTCTCACTTGGCTTTCCAGTCTAATCCACTATTCTTCCAAACACCCACCAATCGTAATTCTAAATTGAACCCTTATGTTCCGCACTTCTGAGCCTTTGCTTAAGGCTCCCCCTGCCATGCCTTTTTCCTGTTCCCTGGAGATGTCCCTAAAAGCCAGCTTAAAAAGTCACTTCTGCCATCAATCTTCCCTCCAAAAGAACATGTACTGTTAATCTTTTCTTCTAAAAATACGAATGCCTTAGTAAGACTAATAGTTTTTAGTGCTTATTGAATGTTTACTATATGCCAGGTATGGAACTAAGCTTACATACACCACCTCATTTAATCTTGACAATTCTACATCATGGCTACTATTAACTGGCTCTAGTTTTTCAAGTGAATAAAGTGAAGCACAAGAGTTGTGAAACCATTGGTTCAAGATAACTACAAAGTGCCAAAGTCGGTTTAAATGCACAGACTGTTTCCTGGTCTTTAAGTTCTGTCTTGCCTTCTGGTCTTTAATGAGTATTTATAAGATGTTTACCATGTGTAGGCATTTGGGCTACAAGGGTGTACAAACATCTAGTCCCTGCCCTCATTGGAGCTTATTAACCTATATAAACTGAGCTCTACACAGGGGAACCTGTGCACGACCATCTCTGTGTGACCAGCGTGTAGTCTCTGTAAAAAGTCCTCTCTCCCTCATGGCCCTTGGAGCGTATGCCTTTTTTTTTTTTTTTGAGAACATGCTTTTAAAAGTGGAATCCCATCTAGCATCTGTGCTATACTATGTTGAGTCCACAGAATTCCTGGACCCAAGAATCAGGAGTAGAGTGGGATATAGCACTTTACAAGGTCATTGTCATGGCACCCAGGTCCCCCCTTTTTATGTTTGGATGATCTAATGAGCAGTGAAATTGCTGAAGACCACACAAGATAAGCCAAGGGAGGCAGTAAAAAAAAAAAATGAATGCTTACAAGAATGGACTCATCAAATGCTGGCCTCAGTCGCTAGCTGTGTGACCTTGGTGAGTTGCCTTGCCTGTGTGTCTGTTTCCTCATCTTTAATATGGGGATAATAGTAATACATCCTGTGATGGTTGTGAAGATCACATACAATGCTTGTAAAGTGCTGGAGTGGTAAATTAGAGCTGTTTGCGAAATACTCTGGTTCTCCCCTTGCTGGGCACATGTAGTTTGCAATGTGACCAATTTTGGCCAATGAATTTGCTGTGAATGAACAGCAAGTGATGTCTTACAAGCTGGAGCCTTTAGTGGCTAGTGGGAGACTTCTGTGCCTGTTTTCTTTCTGTACCAAGGAGTAGCTGCTCTATTACTCCAGGCCTCAGAGTGGCAATGCAGAGATCCAGCAGTGAGCGTAGGAAGAGCAAGAAGTCACCTGATGACTTGGATTTGTTACTAACGTACTGATACAAGCAATCTCTGAGATTTAGTAAGGGTTTGCTGAATTACGAAAAACAGGATGGGACACAATAACAAACTGGATTCTTTGGCTGGATATGATGTAGCATTTGTTGTTCTGAATGTGTTTTTTTCCCCATTAACCACCTCTATCCCCCTTCCAAGTGTCCACAGGGTCTTAAATACCCCCAGCCCCCAGCCGTTTGACAGATAGTCCCTGAATGGGGCACCTACCTCAAACCAGGTTGAAGATGCCTTAGGATATTTTGAACTTGGAAGATGTGAAGTTTTTCTCTTTAAAATGGAAATTGTAAAAATACTGAGTGCTCTTGATTGTCATAATTTCTGCCATGTGGAAAAAGTTACTTGGGATTGTCTATGAGCAGCACAGATAAGCTAGATCAGGTCTTCATGTGTTGGAGTCTGGGCTCTTCCTGAGATGCTGTTCTACCTCTTCCCATGTTGTATTTTGTGAGCAAGAAATAACATTCTCCTCTTTTACTTAAAAAGGGCGCCTGGATGGCTCACTTGGTTAAGTGACTGCCTTCGGCTCAGGTCATGATCCTGGAGTCCCGGGATTGAGTCCCACATCGGGCTCCCTGCTCAGCAGGGAGTCTGCTTCTCCCTCTGACCCTCTTCCTTCTCGTGCTCTCTCTCATTCTCTCTCTCAAATAAATAAAA